CATACATACATACATACATACATACATACATACATACATACATACATACATACATACATACATACATACATACATACATACATACATACATACATACATACATACATACATACATACATACATACATACATACATACATACATACATACATACATACATACATACATACATACATACATTATACATACATACATACATACATACATACATACATACATACATACATACATACATACATACATACATACATACATACATACATACATACATACATACATACATACATTACATACATACATACATTACATTACATTACATTACATTACATTACATTACATTACATACATTACATTACATTACATTACATTACATTACATTACATACATACATACATTACATACATACATACATACATTACATTACATTACATTACATTACATACATACATACATACATACATACATACATACATACATACATACATTACATACATTACATACATACATACATACATACATACATACATACATACATACATACATACATACATACATACATACATACATACATACATACATACATACATACATACATACATACATACATACATACATACATACATACATACATACATACATACATACATACATACATACATACATACATACATACATACATACATACATACATACATACATACATACATACATACATACATACATACATACATACATACATACATACATACATACATACATACATACATACATACATACATACATACATACATACATACATACATACATACATACATACATACATACATACATACATACATACATACATACATACATACATACATACATACATACATACATACATACATACATACATACATACATACATACATACATACATACATACATACATACATACATACATACATACATACATACATACATACATACATACATACATACATACATACATACATACATACATACATACATACATACATACATACATACATACATACATACATACATACATACATACATACATACATACATACATACATACATACATACATACATACATACATACATACATACATACATACATACATACATACATACATACATACATACATACATACATACATACATACATACATACATACATACATACATACATACATATACATACATACATACATACATACATACATACATACATACATACATACATACATACATACATACATACATACATACATACATACATACATACATACATACATACATACATACATACATACATACATACATACATACATACATACATACATACATACATACATACATACATACATACATACATACATACATACATACATACATACATACATACATACATACATACATACATACATACATACATACATACATACATACATACATACATACATACATACATACATACATACATACATACATACATACATACATACATACATACATACATACATACATACATACATACATACATACATACATACATACATACATACATAGCATACATACATACATACGAGAGAGGGAGATTGGGGAGAGAGTGGCTTGGGGGGATGGGGAGGATGGGGAGCGGAGGGAGGGAGAGAGGACGACAGAACACACCAGGGAGACAAGGGAGAGAGGAAGAAGGAGAAAAGGGAGAGGACAATGTCGGCGGACTGAGCCGGAGGCTCTAAAGTTTAATGTCATCTTTTCAATGCTTGTAACTCCTGTTAACAATCCTATATTCTGAGATCATATAATATAAGTCTTTTGTTGTTTTTCTGTGAGAAAGTTTCCAAAATGAGACAATGAGCAAGAAGATGGTATGAAAAGCCAAGGATTTCACAGATAACCGTCTAGACCAATAATTATTGAACACTGACTGTCAAGGAAGAAACGAAACCCTCCAAGAAGCATTATGTCCCTCACAAACATTCGCTCACTTATCTCTCTGTCTCATCTCTTTATCCCTTCACCCGTCACTTTAGGTTGCTAGGAAATGAGACTGGAGGGTGAAGGGGGGATGACAGGTAAGAGATAAAGAGATGGATAGTAGTACAGGAATTATTGCCCCGCCTCAATTCATATCTTATGGAATAGCTCCGGACGTCACATCCCTGACCAACTTCGCCTCGTCCATGATTAAGAGGCGAGACAAATAGAGAGGGAAGCCCATGACTCATGACATCCCATTCCCTTCTTCTATCCCTACCCTTCCTTCCATAGTTGGTCGTCTTGGGGTAAAAGAAGGAAGGGAAAGAGTATGAAGAGAAAGGGATGGTGTGTGATGGAGAGATGAGAGTGGGCAATGGTCCATTCCTAATCCCACTCTCTCCCGTCTCTCTATCCCCCATCGCTTTCTCTCGCATATCCACTCTTTCTCTCCGTTCATTTACCTAGCATGCGATTCCACGAGCTGACAGGTGGTGGAGAGAGGGAAGCGGGGGACGGTTAGCCCGCAGTCACATGTAGACAAGATGTTGGTGGGTGAAAGAGTTCAAAAGCCCTTGACTTCGTCATCCTGTTCCCTTTAATCTAATGCAAGTTGATGAGGGAATGGTATGAAGAGACGAAAGGATGAGATGAGATAATGGAAGCGAGCTCATGTCCCATCTCCTCTTCCCCTCTTCCTCCCTCGCCGAAGCAATTGGCAAGGGAAGAGGGCAAGGAAGAGCGAGTCCATTCCCTTCGCTCACTCGCTTTCCTACATCTGGGATAGCGTTTAGCCTTTGCATTTCCTTTCGCGCGCCATGAATCTCATCTCTTACTCAACGGTTTTGCCGAGAAAGCAAAGTGAACAGCGGTCAAGGGAATTGACGGACATGGTTCCTCAACTCTCAAACCGTTTTGCTAATCGTGGAAAGAGAATTTGCGAAATAAATGTCAAGAATTCTAAATCCCTTGTTTTCTTCATCCCCGTTCCTCGCTTTCAAATATCCTAGAAGTGAGAGTGGAAGAGCGAATGGAGGTGGACTGAGGGGATGCAGCTCTCTCTTCTCTTCCCAGCCCTCCCCAACGCTCGCTGTCTCTCCCTCACCTATCCACTGTTGATGGTTGATAGGCTTGGGAGTGGATAGGTGGAGAGGGAGTGAGTGTGAGTGTGTGTGTGTGTGTGTATCTCTCTCTCTCTCTCTCTTTATCTTGTTCAGCATCACCCTTTCCACTATCTTGTTATTTGTTGTAAAAAGGGAGATGTCAAGAGGATAGGAAAGGGGTGCATCTCTCACCATCAATTAGAAATAGAAGGGTTTTAGGGACAATAATATCCTTTCCCACTCCTTTCCATCCGATGCTTTCTCCAGTTCCATCTCACCCAAGTTTCAAGATTCTTGAATGGGGTTGGATAAGGAAATTTCCTACGTCTGGGATTACGGTTAAGCTTTTTTGCTTTCGTACACCGCAACCGCATGTCTTAGTCAAGGGTTTCATGGCAGTGCAATCCCAAGAGCAAGAGAGAAGGAAATGGGAATGTTGGAGCTTCCTTGATTGGCGGTTGAACTCAGAGAACGATTTGCGAGCGCGCCGTCAACCTTCAGCCTCTCTTTCCTCTCCCCATCCGCCATCCCGCTTCTCAGTCTTCTCTGTGAGGCATGAAGGGGCAGGATGAAGAGAGAGGGTCAAGTCAGAACAAGAGCTGAATGGACAAATGTTCCTAAAAGGTCCCTGCCACATATATATGTATATATATATATTTGTTTATTTATTTATATTTATATATATATATATACATACTGCCAAGAATAAAAGAGGTGCGCGTCGGCGATTCGCCTCGTGTTGCTGCAGCTGGTCTCGACTGAGGTGAGGGAACCTTGAAGCGTGCTGGACGTCGCCGTCCCCCCCCCCCCCCACCGTCGTATTCGTTTCAGGAATCCCCAAACACATGTCAGTGTTCGATGTTGGATTTCCTTAAAAACCACAAACAACTCAAAAAACAAACAAGCAACCCCATTTTGGGGGGAGCCTTGGTAGATATTGTCATAGTTCAGCTAACCCGGAATTGGCGGCTTGCATTTGTTTCGGGGAATGTGAGTAACTCCCCACACACCTCCAAGCCACAGGGCTCCAAACGCCTCCCCCCCCCTCCAGAAACGAGAACTGGACGCTGCTCCAAACCATGTTAAGAATTCAAAGGCTACCTGTTTCTCTATGCACCTAAACCGTTGGTGTGTCTTTGCTCGGTCGTTTCGAGAGAAGACCGGTTTTTGGGTAAAACGGCATGCTTCAGACGCAGGCGGAAAAGCTTGGAACAAACGCAGACAAAAGATGACAAAAGCGGAGAAAGGGATTTCAGGACATCTTGGATGAGCAAGGCTACCTTCCCGCAAGAACGAGGTGTGTCATTCCCCCAACAACGACCTTGTCCCGAACAACGACCATGTTTTTGCTTTTTGCTCGAAAGAGTTTGTGCTTGCACACATGGGCTTCGCAGGGAACTGCTACCTTCATACCTTCATCCGCCCGAATCGGTAAGCTTTGTGCAGAGCTTTTGGCAGAGGTCACTGGATGTCTCAAAGTCAAAGTAAGTTGCTGGTGGCTTCCGCTGAAAGGATCGCCGCCTTTGGAGGCTCCAAAAAAAGAAATCCCTGGCAAATCGCGCGCGATTTCTTCGGAAATGCCAAGAAGCTCCAGGCGCAAACGCTCCACGAACAGCTCTCGTCCGCGGCCCTGTCGCACCGGTGACCAAACCAATGTGAGTGAGTCTTGTAGAGAAAATGGGTTGCGTTGGTTCTCAGGGCGAACAACAACGAACACCAAGTTTGGGGGTTCCCGAATTTTCAGAGAAACCTCAACATTCAAACCTGAAAGGCAACAAGGCATGGCTACCTTTGCCAGGGTAACTGTGGCACACATCTTGCCACTGTCACAGAAAGGCTCTTAGCTCAGATCTTGACATGCAAACCACAGCCAAACAGTCCAAGCCACGCAAGCACCTTTTTCCAGCTATTACATCAGCTCCACTAGTTGGCCATCGCTTGACGCTTCAATAGCATACGACCAGTGCAGCGATCGCCCGGGAAGGCTAAATCTTTTGCCTCTGAGGCTGTTCTCCCATTTCACCCAGGAAGCATTCTCTGAGTTGACCTCCCCAGCAAGCTGCAAAGCATCGCACACCAGGCTCCGATCGTTGCAAAGCCAGGCACGAAGGAGCCCGTGTTCGTCCGTCGCCTCCTGAACGTCGCGATAAGCTCTTCCGAAGACAACCGTCACCTCAGGCGCTTCTCCGAGACCCTTCGATTTGATCATGCCCAGCTTGATGGCATCCGCACGATCCGCAACCACATACACCCTCAGGGGTGAGGTCCTCGAAATCGGGCGATTCAACCCCGCTCAGGACCATCGGGTAAAGCCTCCTTTTCACCTTTAAAAGGACCAGAGGTCTGGTTTGAACCGATGCCTCAACCCCTGGATGAAAGCAAACCAGCATGAAAACAATTGAGTTTGATATAACCACTGTTGTTTACCTAAGGAGTTCTACACATCCCAGATCCCTTGCCCGCCAGTGCACCCCGACCCTTGTCCTTTGCTCATCCTCCCACCTTCGGTATCCCCGAATCGCAGCCAGCACGTCCTCGATGATCTGCATCACCGGTTCGCTTCTGGGGTCCGAGGAGGTGAGCACAACGCGGTCACAGAGCTGTGCCAAAACGTAGGCGTACCTGGCCCGCTCGGTGCCTCAGTCCAGCAGTGGATTTCCAGTAACAAAGAAGGACTGGAAAAATCAGGGTTTTGCCCCCGCCGCCCCCCCCCCCCCCAAACTTGAGGCATTCGCCCTGGAAAACCAGGTTTCCCAAATACTCCCTTAAAATCAACGGGTGGTTGGAGCAGGGGCTGGTCGATTTTACAGGAACACAGGGGAAGGCTGCCATGCAACTGGGGTGCGATTCACCTCTCCGTCGCACCCGAAGACTGCGGTTACTTGGCCCTCTGTCAGGTCTCTGACCTGCCTCAAAGCAGCTTCCACCTCCTCCACCGAGGAAGCCTCGTGCAAGATGCCCAACTCTCCGTTGGGCCCTCTGTGCACCTCGGGTGAGGCCCTGTTGGAACACATGGGTGTGTGTGTGCTTCTTGAAAACGCGGGTAGCCAGTTTGGGGATATCTGTAACCAAACACAATGTGTTTTGGGGTCCCCTATTCTGAGACAACCCCACATGTACCCACAGTTGTTCAAACAACTTTCCCTTGGTGCCCCATTCAGGCAGTCACCTGGTTGGAACAAATTCTGCAATGACTCCCAGAGAATCCTGCCTGGGTAGTGGAGTCATTGGCCCAACCCTTCACCTCCTGGAAAATTCACCGAAATGGTCTAAGACTGCTTTGTCACTTTTGGGGCTCCCTTGTCACAAGTAATTATCACAAGTGGCCCAACCTAGTCTGCAGTGGGTTTCCCTCGGTTCGCCTGAACAACACACCCACAAAAGATACCCTTTGGTTTTCCTGAAAACCAAATTCCACGAAGGTGATAGACAGATAATAATTGGCGAGCGAACGAGCGGGGATAATGAATGACAGCATAAGATAGAATTATAATCATATTGTTAACCCAGCCCCACCCACCAGTCAAGGGTGGAGAGATAGGTGATAGACAATTAGTGCAATTAGTTCCTTTCCCCACCTTATCTCGCTTCTTGGAGATATGTGGTGAGGAAAGGATGAAGTGATAGACAGGAGACGGAGAAAGAGGGAAAAGATGGATGGGTGGACCACCAACCGTCATTCCATTCCTAATTCTGCCTTCACCCACCTTATCTCGCTTCCCGCGAAGGGCACCTCCCAAAACACTGACGCAGCTGCGCTTTTTCCTTGGGACACCTCTCAAAGTGGCGAGTTTTCCTTTGGGCACCACAGAAAACAAAAAAGACTCCAAAAAGGGAAACCAACAACTCCAAAGGAAAAAGGTACCAGTCGGTAGTACGAACTCCCAAAAGAACCCACCGACCCACGGAGCGCACCTCCAGCAGCGCCGGCACCGCCAGCTCCGCATCCGGTAGCTCCGTGTGGGGAGCCAAGACCTGGGCCGCGCACAGCGCCGCGGCGAAGGCGTCCAAGCTGCAGGCGCCCAGACGGGGCAGCGTCCCTTCCGCGTCCAGGCCCAGGCCGGCCGCACGCACAGAGAGACCTCGACTCCATGACCCCCCCCCCCGTGGTTTCCTGTTGGCTTCCCTTTGAAGCAAATCGCTCTCCCAAAAGCGACACGCATCCACACGCGTATTGCCGCTTCAAGGGGAAAACACCATTTCAAAAATTAAAAATAGAATTAAATAGAATGGAACGAGGCATCGGAAAAATTACGCAAATTGTAGCAACGAGACCCCCAGCCAAGGTCTTCTGCGCGCGCACGTGCAGGTTGGAGCCCTGGGGATCTGCCGCAAACTCTTCAGGCGCTGGAGGCAGCTCCAGCTGCGACCGCAGGAGCTCCAGCAAGTCGCTCTTCTTGGCCGTTTTGGGCACCTCTTCTGGATTTCCATGAGCAAAAAAAGGGGATGGACCAATTCGGCTGGTTGAATTGAAAGGCTGGTCGGTTGATATTGAAGGCTTTCTTTGGTTAATGTTTACAGGCTTCGCGGATGGTTGATTGATTTCAACGGCTTCTTCGGTTGGTTGAAATTTCACGGCTTCATGGTTGGTTGATGTTACAGGTTTCCTGGTTAGTTGATGTTACATACCTTTCGGTCGGTGGGTTTCAACGGCTTTCTGCGGTTGGTCGAATTGAACGGCCTGTTGCTTGCTTGATGTTCACGGTTTCTTGGCCAGTTGATGCTACAGGCTTTTGGATTGATGCTCGACGGCTCTTTGGGTTCGATGATGAAACAGGCTTCTTGGTTGGTTGATGTTACAGTCCTTTTGGTTGGTTAATGTTACAGGATGTTACAGGCGTTTGGTTGCTTGATTTGGACGCTTTTTTGATTGGTTGACTTTAAAGGCATGTTGCTTCGTTGATGTTAGGGGTGTCTTCTTTGGTTGATGTTACAGGCTTTTGCGGCTGGCTTATTCGGCGGCTTCTTGGGTTGGTTGATGTTAACGCCCTTTTGCCTGGTTGATTTTAAAGCCTTTTTGGTAGGTTGATGTTACAGGCTTTTTGGTTGGTGGATGTTACAGGCTTTTGTGGTTTGTTGATTTTTCGGTTGGTTGATTTAACGGCTTCTTGGTTCAATCGACGTTACTGATGTTACAGCCTTTTTGGTTGCTTGATGTTGACGGCTTCTCGGTTGGTGGATGTTGACGGCCTTTTGGCTGGTTGATGTGAAAAGCTTTGTGGTTGGTTGATGTTAGAGCTTTCTCGGTTGGCTCACTTTATCGGCTTTTTGGTTGTTTGATTCTAAGGCCTCCTTGGTTGGTTGATTGAACACGCCGTGTGTCAGGTTGACGTCGCAGGCTTTTTGGTTGGTTGATTTCGGCGGCTTTGTCGGTTGGTTGATTGCAACGGATTCTTGGTTGGCTAATGTTAAAGGTGCTTTTCTTGGTTGGTTGCTCCTGGGTTGGCTGATGTTGAAGGCTTCTTGGCTGCTTGACTTTAATTCATGGCATTTTCGGTTGGTTCATGTTACAGGCTTCTCCGTTGGTTGATTCAACCACTTTGTGGTTGGTTCTTTCTCGGAGCCTTTTGGTTTGACGGGTACAGGAAAACCGTGTGCTTTTGCAAACGGAACAAGGATTAGCAGCGTGGTTGCAACCAGGGCGCAGCTACTCCCATGGCCTCCAGCTTGGCAACCAACTCTTTCCTTGCAAAAAAATAAATGCTGCCAAACGAGGGGTTCCTGGCCAAAACCCCAGTGGTCACCGGAAAAGGCACTCTTTCTTGAAGGGAAACCCCCCTCGGAGAAAAAAAACAAAAAAGGCACCCCAGGTCTTGGAAAAGCAGTTGTGAAACGCCTTTTGGTTCCACCTGATGGACCAGCCATGCTTCTTGAGGAGCTTGCCGTAGTCGTCCTCGAATGTGTCGAACGGTGACTCCAGCTCGGAGCTGTAGCTGGCGAAGAAATTCCTGGACCGCGTCTCTGGGCCGACCACTTTCTGCACCGAGCCGAAACCCATCTCCGAGCGCGTGGACGACACGTCGAGGACCAGGTCAACATCAAGGCCTTTGAACGCATGGAGCGACTCTGGAGACACCTGGTGGGTCAAAACCAATGGACCATTTTCCCATTTTAGTCTATTTTTATTGGGGATTGGGATGTTCACTGGGGGCCATGGCCACCTGGGACACGGCGATATCGATGTTCTGCTCCGCCATGCCCGCCAGCATCTCCTGCACAGCGCATGGGGTCAAAGCCCTTGACACTTCCAGCTGGTCGTAGGCAATGAAGGACCGCCGCGGGTCGATCAAGCCCGTCTTGTCGGCGCCGATTCGTGCTTCCAACATCTTGAACCTTGGTGGCTTTTGCCACCTGCGCAAAACAACGCTGTCTTGTAGGCTATAGTGTGGATACAGTTTGTATGATACACTGCAAGAAGCAGGTTCAAACAATATCCAACCCAATCGCAGCCAAGGAGCAGCAGCCAAGATGCCGTCCTCGCCTCCATCTCCGCCCCCACCACGGCCACGTGTCGCACTCCTAGGTCCCCGAAGAAGGCCCCTGCCAGGCGCGAGGAACTGAGTGTGGGGGGTCGAAGCGTCAGGGCCCGCAGCGACTCGGACTGAAACTCCTGGAAGGCCGCCTGGCGCTTTGGAGCTAGCTGTGGCTTGGGTGGTTTGGGGTGGAAACCCCCCATTTACCTGGAACCAGGTCCATTCCAAGTCCGAACCACTTTGGTTGCCAACTCCCAAAAGACGGTCATTTGACACCCTTTTACTTGGGGGTTAGGATTCATCAACCCCTGAGGATTCGACACAAAGCCATGGCGATATGACCATCCAATACTGATGCAGAGCTGTCGGAGTCATGGGAGGGTTGTGGCCCTTCTGAAACATTGTCACTAAGAGAAGTTGTCTCTATGAAAAATAGGCTGGTGAAAATGATCAAGTCGGGTCTTGCTCTAAGTTCGGGTCCCTCAAAAAGTTGCAGGAGCGGACTTCGATCCCCGGAAACCGTGACCCACTTGCACCAGGACCGCCTCAGCGTCCGCCACGTCCGCGGCTTCCGCCAGCACCGCCGCCACTTTGCGGTGCGCCGCCGCCCGCAAGACGTCGCGGAGGGGGAGGTCGGGGTCGGCCACCAGCAGATCCCCCGGCTGCGCTCGGTCCAGGACGTCCACCAGCCCCAAGACCGTCACCTGCGCTATACCAAAGGGGGTCCCACCTGCATCAGCCTTTGACAGCTGGGAGTCTCTCCAAACAGTGGCTTGTCCTTACCAATTCGCTTTCCTCTTTGTCTCCCTCTGAAAATCGCTGGCTTTGTCTTGGTTACTGTCTTAAAACTGGCTGGCTTCCGCCCCTCTAAAAATTGGCTGGCGGCCCTTTTTCCCCCTTCAACATCAACCAACAAAGTTCCCCAATCCTAGGACAATCCCGTTTCAGCAGCTAGAGTTAAAATCTGCCTATTCCCAGGAAGTACATTTACTCCAAATACCACATGTTTGGTGGATTTGGAAACAAAAATCCATCTTTTTCATGGCAAATACCTCCTTCTGTTGCCAGGGGTTGGCATTACTCCTTCAAGCACAAACAGCATTCGGTGGGAGGAGTTGCCGGGGCCACGTTTTTTTTCCCAGTTCAAGGGAAACCCTGAAACCCTCCCAAAAACATGTATACCTAAGGACATGGCCCAAAACCCCTGGCCCGTCCATGCTCGCCTTGGGGTCGCCGAACACCGTGGCGCTCGCAGCGCCGGCGCCGGACAGCACCTCGTCCAAACGGGACGCGTCGCCTTCGCCCCGCCGCCGGGCGCAGCGGCCGAGCGACGCGGCCTCGCTGCTGCCCAGGCCGCTGCGACCCAGACGGGACACCTGAGCAACGGAATCGCCCGACGCCCCAGGCAAAAGCAATTTGAACTTGGGCAGCCCCCAAATAGCCAAAATATGGATGTGCTCTTTTTGAGGGTACCCTTTTGGGGTGGGGTGAAGGGGACACAAAGCAACCTACTCATGTGGGGGGGGTCCCCATTTGAGGCAAACCCCAGGGCGAAAGTTATCCTGAAAGCAATGGATATGGACAACTAGACCATGCCACTGGCTTTTACGCTTGAACATTTTTACATGGTCTGTAATGCACAGGGGTTTCTACGTGAGGAACCCCAGACTGGTTGTCTTGACCGAACCTCGCCTGCTGTATTGCCGCCAGCAAGGGATACCGGGCATTTTGAGCCGTCGGCTCGGCGTCAGAGTCACTGGGAGGAGGTTGCACCCACTCATCCAGTGTTGGCCGGCCACCACTTCCTACTTTCAAGTATTGACTCAGCTTGGTCACTGCATCAGCATCAGCGTCATCCAAGCACTGTTGCCCGTGATCGCTCTTTTGCCGCAGAGTCTCCAAAGTCTTGTCGAGAGCCTCCCCAGTGTGCTCAGAAAAGCAGGCAGCAAGGGCTCTGGCCAATCGGTCATCTCCGCCTGGCAACTCCAGCTCCTCGTCGAAGGAATTCACCAGATTTTCCAGTTCCTCCATCGCTTTCAGTCCAGCTGGCGTCGACTTGGTGGGATTTGCATATGAGGCGCTCAACCCACAGCTGCTCACAATGCTGTCTTGCTTCCGCAACTGAGACTCAATGGAGGACAAGGTCGTCTCCAGCCTATCCTCCGCGCGCGCGAGGCGCGCAAGGCGGCGAGCCCTGGCCGAAGCCAAGCCCAGAAAGCCAGCCAAGAGCGGCTTCGAGCGACTTCTTGGAGCATCCGCGCGAAGGCGTTTCTCAGCTCTCACACCTTTCGGACTCGCCGAGAGCGGCACAGACGTGCCCAAAGCCCAGGCGAGCTCCATGGCAGTGACACCAAAGGAATGTCGGAATGTCGATGGTGATTCTGTCTCCCCAACTTGTAAGTTGATGTGCTGAGATGATGCTGGTGGCCAAGACTTGCTCTTACGTGCAGTGTCGATGAACTTAGCCATCAGACATGCAGTGGCCATGTTCATCTCAAGACACGCCAAGCTCAGCAATTGGAGGATTGTGACCAGAGTTTCCAACGGCTTGAGCCGCGCGGCGGCTCGGAATTGGATAGAGCTCGAAGCCTTGCAACTCGCTCGAATTGCGGGGATTGGGTGCTGGGAAATTCGAGCTGGGAAAATAACAATAGTGCTGCGCAAGGACAGTATGCTAAGACTTTGGATAAGACATTGAGGGGCTGAGATTGGCCCAGGTTGCAACTGCTCTTGCTGCTAAGAAGTTGAGGCCCCTGGAATTGGCAGACACATTTCTTAACAAACTTGTCTGATAAAACACATGGAGGCAGCCAAGAAAAAGCCGCAAACGCCCACGGGTGCAAGCGAAGATGCCGCTAAGAAATTGAGCCCTTGGGGAAATGCCCGTCCGTCAACCGAAAAGGCCGCCATCAGCCCTCCAGCCCCAAAAGTCTCAAAGATCCAGGGAAATAGGTGTGATACTGTGATACTACTACACCATTTGTTCTCGCACAAGCTTCTTCCCTGCCAAAATTCAGGGCGCAATCCCTCAGCGGTCTCTTCCGTTCACGGGCCTTTTCGAGAAATACGCAAATGTTGCAACGCGGCAAATCAAAACAAGGTTCAGGAATTGCACAGCGCTTGGGCTGCCTTTTCTGACTCTGTTTCATATCTAGCCTGCCCTAAAATATGGAGAAACAGCGGACAATAAAATACATACAGGTGATAATACTTGTTAAATTCTGTGAGTCAATTGAAACATATCATGTAGTTGATCATGTGCACAATGGTGCAGGTGCATCAACACATAAAGGTATGAATACAATATGTGCAAATGCAGCATGTGTTGAAGTGGAGACCCCAGTCGGAACCCCAAAAAACATCATAGACTCCTTTCGGGGGACCTTGGGGGGTGTTCGTTCATCTGCAGATTGGAGACAGGGAATCCTTTAGTTAAAGGGTCATGGGTGAGCCCGTCCTGCCCCTGGGCTGTTTTAAATGGATTGGTCAATTTCATCCAGAAACCCTATTGGACCATCACTAGAGAGAGAGAGAGAGATGACTCTTTCGTAATTCGAAGTAAAGAATCTATTTAGGACTGGCTTTGAACAGCCAAGGATATAATTGGCCTGGCACCCTTTCAAGTCAGCCCTACATGAGCTAGGGTGGTCCTTTTGCCACACGTTGGACAAGCTTTGGTTTCATGCCTCCAAGAGGAATCCATTACCACTTTTCAGGAAGCCATTTGTATTCATAGCAAGTCAGTCTTAAGGTCAACTCTGAAACGAATTGACGGTTCGCCATCGCGCCGTCTCCCGACTTACAGACTGTCTCGAACACGCCTGGAACTCCCGCTTCACATGCAGAAATCGGAAGTGGGCGTCGTCGTTCCAGCCTGGCACAGAAGAACAGCGGGCTTGGATAGCAAACTCCTTAAAAGGAGATGGAGATCGCTATGTGTCAAGGCACCCAAAAAACTGTGACGTTCCTTCTGGTTTCCCTTCAAGCAAGCTGAAAAGGGAAAAATCCTCCAAAAAAAAGAAACGCACATGGCACACACATCTGGAGAGAGCCAAAGGAAATTTGGTTTGCCCTAGATCCCATTCCCCAAAAAAGCGAGAGGCAAACCCCACGAAAGCGACCTCCATTTGGCGAACATCCGCGGACATGTGCTTCTCTTTTGGTTCCAAAACGGTGCTGAATGCTAAACAGTACACAAGTGGGCGTCGCTCCATTGGGCAAATTAAAGCCCATCCCAAAGGTTGGTTTCCTAGCTTCATTTGTGAATCCGACCTTTCCAGAAGCATCCCGTTCCGTTTGGCAGATTGCCACATGTCGAAACTGCTTGTCCAAACAGCACCCGACATCAAATTCTTGAGGTGTCCCTCAAACCCAACCACCCGCCCCGAATCCAAACCAACCCCCCCAGAAGAAAAAAACAAAACACATCCATATATATATATATGTATAAATAAAACACAATTGACAAAAAAAAAAAAAACAGTTCGCCGCCTGCCCGCTTCCGGCGCAGGTCCGCGAGCTCCTGCTCCATGTCCGCCACTGCTGTGGCGACCTGCTCGCGGGAAATCCGGGTGGCAGCTCGCGCGGGACCGGGGGAAGGGGCGAAGGGTGTGGAGCTCATAAGAAATAGTTTAGCTTCCCCCTAAGAATCGCTTGCATTGGTAGCTTGCAGGCTTTTTCTTGGGTGATTTCCCATCTACCCTCTTACCCTTGGCAAGAACCAGGGCTTCAAAGCCCCAAACTGCCAAGCCAAACCACCAATTAGCAAATACCTGAATCACGGGCCTTGCCCATGTAGAGAAAACAACATATGCATGTATGAGAATATATATTGTGTGCCTGTTGTTGTTTAGTTGGGTTTCCGTCATACAGTCAATGCTTACGGCCAGGCTTCGGCCAAAGGAGCACCCCATCTTTTAGAACGGATGCCCTAAATATGGCAAGCCAGGGAACCGTAATATGCCATGGTTTTGTGGTTGAGTTGGATGGTCTTTGCAATAGGTAGGGCACCCCCTGCGATGGCGATTGAAAAGGAAACCAACAGCAGAACCATCTTTGGAGGGGCTTCCATTTGTCTAGAACCGGTTTTCTCAAGGGGAGACGAAGACCAAAAAGGAAAACAATCCATTGGAGGTGTGCCCAACATTGAACACATGGATGTGTCTCAAAATACAGGGTCAAATGACGATGTGTCCCTCGGTTTTCCTTTCAGACTACAAAAAAGGGAACCCTCAAAGAAAGACACGCCATGACTTTCCATATTAAACAGAGGCGCCTCAACAGGGATCCTTACATTCTATACCTGAACATTGCAACTTGTAAATGGTGGTTTCCAACTTTATTTTGGTGTTGAAAAAGCCATGTTTCAAATGGTTGCAAACTGTTTAAGGAGCCGTTTCCCTTTATTTTGGTGTTGAAAAAGCAACATTTTTAAGGAGCCCTGCTCAAAATGGCAGGCTCTGTCGATTCCTTCGCAGGCGCGCCTGGGAGTTCAAAGCCTCCAAGCCGTGGCGGTAGTCCTACCAATGGGTCTCCGAACGGGACCCAACAGGCGGCTGGTGCCCTTTGTGGTTGTCACGGGAAACCATAAGGACCACATAAATTGTTTTGGGGGAGGTCCGACTCCGTTTGTTGAGAGCCCAAATGGACAACCACCAAATGAGCTTCTGGCCGCACCTGTTTGTGCTTGGGATGTCCTTTATTTACCCCTTGGCAGGATGTTCTCATCGCCAAACACCCACCGGGAAAGACCATTATTTGGGTGTGGTTCAAAATTAAAGAGCTAGGGCAAACCGCAGGTTTTAGTCTTTGGTTCTACCAAGGTGGCATTCTTGGGGATTCCACGTTTTTTTTTCTTTATTTTTTTTTACCAACCACCCCAAGAAGTTGAAGTCCACAGATCCAACCCACGACACCTCGCGCTTGGCATGGATCCGAAAGGCTCACAAAACCTGCGGCTCGATGACTTGAAAAGGCACCCTGTCCTTTTCCGTGGTCGAACAACTGGTACAACAAGCAGAATCAGGTTTTTGAAAAAACCAACAACAAAAAAAAACTCCCTCAGCAGATGGAAGCTGTGGCCCTTGTCGAACATGGTCCGCCTTTCTGATACCAAAGTTGTGGATCCTGATGCCGATGGCTAACAGAAAACAGGCGGCCAAAGCCTCGTTTTGACAGCTTTCCGGCGCGCAGCGCACTGCAAGGCGATGAAATTGGATGTGGGGAACGTCAACTTCGGAAAGGACCAGTGGTTTCAAGGCTTGGGGAACCTCACCGGAAATAAGAGTACCCTGCCCCAAACATGGACGTCCTAAGGTCCCTTTTGCAACAGGGCAGCAATCTTCCAAAAGGGGGCGGTGTGCTTCCATGTTTGTTCGCGGGTGGGGTTAAAACCGAAGGTCGACTCTACCGACTAACTAAACCTGTCCGGGATTGAAAGTACACCAAGAGTGGAAGCCAAAAGGTCAAAGTGTCGGTTCTTTGGGCAGAAAGGTCCTATTCATGCCCCGACGGAGGGAAGGATCGCCGTTCAGCTTTTAAGCGCCCAAGATAAACTCAGCCTGGTGGATTTCCAAAGGCGCCAGCCCTTTTTGTGTTGGTTGATAAGGGAAACCATTCCCCATAGCAAGATAACAAAGGGTGCCAGGCAACTGGGTAAGCCTTCGCGAACAAGTGACTCCTCCTCATCTCCGAGGTTTTGCAGCAAGTCGTCTTCTTCGTCACTCAGATCGCAGCGATCCTTGCGGGAATGAATCGAACGGACTGCGCCACAAAGGGTCGGAGCGCTTGCAAGAACCGGAGACACATGCTGGCTCCATTCGCCAGCCAAGGCCTAGCAACCGTATATATATATATATATGTCAAAGAAAGCCATGCTTTCTGGATTTGCACAACCAGGATCTCGGCGGTGAAATCCGGCGGTTCCCAATTTGTGCTTTGGTTGCCACTAAAAAAACCTGTCGTCAGCCCCCTTCAGACGGGACCTCCAAAATGAGCTTAGCCCCCGCCCAAAGGAAGTTCGAGTGGCCGCTATTGGCCCCAGTTACAATTGGGGGCTTCAAAAGGGGTTTGGTCCTTCTAGGTTGTTTAGCCTGTTCTATACTTTCTGTTGTCTTGGTTGCTCACTCCCAGCGGCTGCTTTTTTGTGGGAAAACAAAGAGGAACAGATTGAAAGCTCGGCCCAAGGGACCTGAAACTGAAAGGTCGACCTCTTGACGAAACATCGTTGCCAAGAGAAACCAAAAGATGAGAAAACCAAAAGATGGGAGGTCAGCGTTTCGTAGCTACGAAACTTTCAAGCTTGGCTTTGGATCCGGTTGGGACTTTTGATCCTGCCCAAGAGAACTAACAACTGCACTGAAATTTTGCGGATCGCACATCCCAGCCTGGTGAGATGTATCGCAAGCTGGATGTACCTTTGTACCAGAAATCCCCTTTTTGGACTTGTCAGTCTGAAACGCCAACCCTTCCATCTCAGTCAGCCCCCCCCCCCCGGCCTCGCGGTCTGCGCGATCAGCCCGATCCGTGCTGGAAGCTGGCCAAAGGTGCTCGGCGGCGAGCTGGGCACCTTGACACTGACCGCATCTATCAGGGGTTTTAAAGGTTAAAGGCTAAAGGCAAATGGACCAAAGAAACATATACATTTGAAAAGGTCCCCTGTCCCCTAAATTGGACTGTGTGCGTGTATTTGAGGATACCCTTTGCCGGTTGGTTTGGAGGAAAACCACGAGGCAAATCGTCCAAATCCCTATGTGGCACAGACCCATCTAAATTTGAATTTCCAGCCCCCGCTCCCCTTGAGTAGCTGTCAAATGGTCCCCAAGACATCCCCTACCGCAGGTCACTTATCAAAGCATTTTGGCATATGAGTTCTATAGATTTGTGTTTGCCACTGAAGCGGGCTTCCCAAAATCAAGTCCGGAAACTTGGAAGCGTTGCTTTGAGGCTGGATCAGGGACCCTCTTTTTCTGCTGGATCAAGAAACCCTCCCCGCCCCCGGGGCCCCCCCGCCCAAGAAATAAAGACAAGACTCGAACGGCGAGCTCAGTCGACTGGCAACTCGGAAATCTTCCAAGGTCCCCGCGGAGCTTGGACCGTAAGGTGGCAGACTCCCCTTCCAGCACAGAGGCCTCACCCAAAGGCCAAAAAGGCAACATTGGTCCCGTGGCTAAATCGCGCCACCAGATTTTCAAGGTAACCCGAGGCCAATTGTCTGGCTCTACATGGCGGTTCCTTGGTTACCTCATGGGACATCGCATCGCTGTTGGTTTGTTTTCCGCATGGCTCCCGCTTCGTTTCGTCTGGAAGCCTCTCGGCCAAATGGTCTCCAACAGCTCCTTCGCTCCCTGAAGATCAAGAAAACAAGACTTTTCCTGGTTGGGTCATGGGTCATGGGTCATGGGTCATGGGTCATGGGTCATGGGTCATGGGTCATGGGTCATGGGTCATGGGTCATGGGTCATGGGTCATGGGTCATGGGTCATGGTTAAAACAAGTGTGAAGGTTCCTTCGAGAACCCACAGAAAGTGTCTCAATCATGAATATGTTACCGCGATGTGTCTAATCCCTCTAGCCCCACACCCAATACCAACTGATTTCAGGGGATAAGGTATGATGTCAACCCTTGACTAAAGAAGGATCTTTTTCACTTACTTACTCTGGAAAATGAGGTTGTCCAAAAATACCAACTCGAAAAAGCGGCTGCTTGGAGCTCTGAGGAGTACATAACCAATGGAAAGCGATGGGCTCCATCAACTGAAGGCTCCCAAAAGGCCAGGCTGGGCCATGATGTCTAGGTAAACCAAATCCCTGTCCGTTCCCAAATCACGACTCTCCACTTATCCGCTACATCTCTGTGATCCACCAACCAATCCTCATGTTCGGAGCTCTGTGCTTCTTGAAGAGGTCTGGAAATATCAAAACTATCCATCTCCTTGCGGAATCCTTGAACGGAAATTGCAACAGACTGGATATTCAGCACCCAGTTTGCGACAGGGTTGCATACCGCAATCCATTCATTTGTCCTTGAAAGTGCCATCCATGTCCCACTCGCTTGCTCCTTGAAAGCCAGAAAGGAAAACTCGCTCATTTGCTGCCTTCTCATTGTCGTCTCAACAAGTCTCCAACCAGCAATCCAAGAATTACCTGAAGGATGTTTGAACCCCCTGTTTGGTTGGAGTTCAAAGGGAGAAAAGCTTCTTTGAGCGGGTCTCATGCCTAGTTGTTTTCTAAACAAAGTAAACAGACTCCAAGTACCCGCTGTCTTTTTCAGAAAACCAGGTTTCTCAAAAGCACGCCAGACAAAAATCCAGGGTCCTTGGAGCTTCCGGGCCCCGATTCTTCGTCTTTTGGACTCCGACGCTCGGCTTCCCCGGGCACCTCGGCGGCCAGGTGGGGCGCCTGACCTCGCACCGCCGCGCCCACGGAGCTCAGCGCCGCCTGCAGCTGCAGCGCCTGGCAGACGGAGACGATTCGCGCGCGGGGTCCAGCGGGGCGCGTCTTTTGGATCGGAGCCACCCCTTCCCCCCCAAAAAAAAATAACGGACCTCGGTGTTCCTTTTGGCGAATACCTGTGAAACCACCAAAAAGGGGCGGAACCTAGAAGACACACCCAGGGAATTGATAAGTTGGTCACGCAGGTTATGGCCTTTTGAGTCCGCTTGAGTGGGGTTAACCTTGATAGGCTATACCCAAGTGGCCAGCCACTTACCCACTTGCCGGAACATCCAAGGAGAATCGATTTTGGGGTGGGAATGACCCGCCGCGATGTGAGAACATCAGCAGTTGGATGGTTTGAGGGGTTCAGAAACCCTCATTCCCTGAGAACCGTCCAAATAGGGCCAACACAAGGGTACCCTCAAAAAACACCAGCCCTAAGTTGAAGCTGAAGCCAACCAACGTCAACAAAATGTTTCCCCAAAAATTATGGCCTCATTGTTTCATCATGACCAAAGTCACCCCCTAAGTGATGGGTCAAAGGGAAATTCCCAAATAGTATTGCGTCTAACTTGACGACAGGTGGCCCAGAAGCATAGAAAGACGTTAAATAAACACTGACGCCCGCCTCTCCCACCTGATGAGATCGTAAACACGTCGATGCCCCTGCTCAAGCGTAGCTTCTGATGAGCAAGCTTAGCATCATGCTGCGGGAATGCACTTTATGTACAACTTTGCTGCGAGCCTCGTGCCATGTCCACGCACTTCGTACACTCACACAAAGTTGCAGCTTTGCAGCTGGAGCTCCGGAGCGCACTTCGCGTAGGACGCCACCCTATTGCGACGCGAAGCCTGTCCACACTCAAGCGCACAGAATGAGCCAAAAAGGTCCTCGAATCAATGAAGGAAGCCAGGTCGTGGAAGGCACGACGTGCATGGCGTGCGGAGATCAGTGCCCTGGACTGCATGAAAGCTTGCGCTTTCTGCATCAAGGGTCTTTCCTTCCTAGGGCAGGTCTCAGCCTATTGTAGTCTCATGACTTCTGAGCCTGCGTGGATCCTGGAACAAGTCTCCGCGCTGCTTCAAGTAGTAGGTGGTCAAGCAGTGGACTGCCTTGTCTTCTTTGGCCAAGCGCAAATGGCCAAGCAAAGCCCGCCAAAGAACCGAGAAGACGAATGCTGTGCAGGGTCGAATACACCCACATCTCCACCAACTTCAGCAAGGACTCATCAGCAAGATCTTGCCCTCCATACTCGAAGGCGCTCGTCCGTGGCTGGGCTGGCCTTGGGCCTTTCACATCCCAGCAAGTGAGGGAAATCAGCAATCCTCAGGCGACGCGTTGGAAACGCACCATGGCAGCAACAAAAACGCAGCTGCCAAACGAAGCATGATTGTCAAAGGTCATGGTGGGATTCTGGTCTGCCAGACGCACATGCTGATCCAGAGTGTTGAGCAGGAAACTTGTTCCCTCGCGACGCTGTAATCAGAAGAGAAGAGAGAAGAAAGGGGAGAAGAGAAGAGAAGAGAAGAGAAGAGAAGAGAAGAGAAGAGAAGAGAAGACAAGAGGAAAGAAGAGGAGAGGAGAGGACAAGAAAAGAGAAGAGAAGAAAAGAGAAGAGAAGAAAGAAGAGAGCAAAGGAGAGAAGTAAGAAGAGAAGAAAGAAGAGAAGAGAAGAGAAGAGAAGAGAAGAGAAGAAAAGAGAAGAGAAGAGAAGAGAAGAGAAAAGAACAGAAGAGAAGAGCTGACAAGAGAAGAGAAGAGAGGAAAGGAAAGAATAGGAAAAGAGAAGAGAAGAGAAGAGAAGAAAAGAGAAAGGATGAGAAGGGAAGAGAAGAAAGAAGAGAAGAGAAGAGAAGAGAAAAGAAGAGTAGAAAGAAGAGAAGGAAGAAGAGAAAACAAGAGAAGAAGAGAGAAGAAAGAAGAGAAGAAGAGAAGAAAGAAGAGAAAGAGAAGAGAAGAGAAAAGAAGAGTAGAAAGAAGAGAAGAAGAGAAGAAAGAAGAGAAAGAGAAGAGAAGAGCTGCTTGTCAGTGCTGGAACTGGGCCACGGTCATGTGTAACAAATTAGGGTATCGGTCGGGTATCGGTCGGGTATAGGTTGGGCATCGCTCGGGGTATCGGTCGGGGTATCGGTGGGAGGGGGGTAATTTCCAAAAAACATAATCCAACCATCCAAGTCACAGTTCCCTGCAGCCTCATGTTTTCCTATCTTATGGCTTCGGTTTTCAAGTCCTGCTCGTGTTCGCAAACCATTGCAAAATCCCAGCTGGCAAGCTAAATGTGCTCGGCGCCAAAAGCCTTCTTGGCATGCACCACGCGCATGACTCGAGTCAAAATGGTTGTAAAGCGAGTGTTGACTTGGAAAGGTAACAAGTTGGGGGGCGTCGGTTCTTGGGGCGTCCCCTATCGGTTTTGCATGCCTAAAGGAATCTGCTCATGCGATAATGTTGTCGGGCACTCAGGTAATTCAGATCAAGCCACACGGCAGCAATCCATGACGTATCAGGCAAGTTCCCCAAATGGCATGTTTTGGCACCAGCTGGAAGAGAAACTCGAAGGGAAACTGATCCATATCGCTCAGCAAGCCAACAAACGGCTTTGATCGCGCACAAAAGCAAAGGCGCGATCACCTTGCGCGGTCTTCAGGATGTCCTGGATTACTGCTCGAGACTGACCAACGCTCATCTCCGCCTGCGCGGGCCCACATAAATGTCCACCATGCCGCCCACATCAGAGGACGGCTTCTTCATGGTACACGCGGGTCTCTTCAAGACCGTGCCTGCAGGCCCCTTCATGGCTCAAGCAAATGGATAGCCTGACTGTAATGCGCTAGATGAAAACATTTCTCTCAAAAGACAAACATGTGTTCACTTACTCGATTTTTCCCGTTGAAATCACATGCCTGCTCTTGTGTCTCACTCTCTCAAACCAGGCGGCCGGCCACGCGTTGTCTGGCCATTGTATTTGCCCGAAAACATGTCCCCAGTAACGGCCCGCTTCGTGGCATGACTGTGGCACCTGCAAAGCATGGGGCTCACTCCGCCATCTGTCCTTCAAAAGCAACTTTAGTAGCAAACACGCCAAAGCTCCCAATCCTTAGGCAACGAGAGCTAGCCAGCGCCACGCAACTAAACAAAACCACACGAACAAATTGCTTCCGGAACTGCTAGCCACCGTGAAGCACGCGTGATTATCATACCCTGCCAGCCCCTTGAGCCAAGAAGGTACGCCAAAGAAAGCAGCACGTGTGCAATTGCACTCAAAAACACTTGCGAATACGAATAATTTCCCTGTGGCCCAACATTGCAAGAGCCAATGGCTAATATCATCATCATGGGCGGCGGCGAATGCCGAAGGCCCGCTGAGACACATAAAGATCATGAATCACCATGATAGAATTATACCTTATATCCAAGAAAGGTTACCCCAAAAACGCCCGGATCACTCGCGCACCCCACCTGCGATCACTTGGGCACCCCACCGGCCAAAATGGACCGCGGATCACTGACGCACCCCAGATTTCAGATCACTTGCGCACCCCAGATGCCCAAAACGCAGGGAAAAGTGCATTTCGACCGCCGGCCCCTTGACCCGACAACCCCAAGAAACGGATCACTCGGGCACCTCACGGGGCGCTCAAGCGATCCAAAACGGAGTGCCTAAGCGAGCCGTTTTCGGGGTGCCTAAGCGAACCCGCGCCCCCCGGTAGATTGTAACAAGAAACCCGTGGTCCAATTCGTGGTGGTTTGATTTGTTTTGACCCATCACATCAGCTCCGCTGCAGCTTCCTTCGGCCTTCGGCCTCAGCTTCCTCGCCCCCGGCGCCCCCGGTGCCCCGCCTGCTGGGGCGCCTGCTTCAGCCGCTCCATGTCCCGCAGCCGGAGCTGCGCCAGCAGCTGCCGCAGGCCCGCCACCTCGCTGGTTGGACCCTCTGGGAGTGCCAGGTGAGAGGGTAACATGGCCATGGGTAAGCCCGGTTAGCCATCCCAATCCAACCACTAAAATAGGCTCTAAATGGGTGGTGAACTCACCTACACCAAAATGGTACCATTGGTTTTGACCCACAGCCATATACAAATATGGGTCCCAACACCCAATACAGGTGAAAGGAACACACACCCATATACCCTAAATCAAACAGCAGAGGCGACGCCCAATTTCATTCAGGGAACCGGTGGGTGGCCTTGTTTGGGTGTTTCTTCACATCGGAATCGGCCCAAAATGGTTGGCTTCCTTTAGTTTCAAGGCCCTCAGCCTGTGAACGTGGCCCCTCCCCTTTCTCAAAAGCAACCTGCCTGAAGCCACATCTCATTCGTGGCATCCTCTGCCTGGCCGCGAGATAGCGAGCCAAGGACTCCGAAAGTCCCATGATGTGAGGGCTGAACCTGACACAGAAGATCCTCTCACGACATGTTGGTTTAATAGTACCCCAGCCCGGGGTTCCCCGAAATTCATCCTGAAGGAACGGTGTCCCCATTCGGGTGGCTTCTCAAAAAAGGAATCGGTCCCCTAAACTGGCAAAGGCAAAGCAAAAGGTGTCCTTTTTCCCCAACAGCTGAAAGCTTTGGGGTCTCAGCCCAGATAGGCTCCGGGGTGGTCCCGGGCGACCCTGAGGTAAGGTTCCACGAGGGTTCCACCAGGGTTCCACCAGGGTTTGATTAGGGTTCCACGAGGGTTCCACGAGGTTCTGCGAGGGCTGCGGGGTGGTGCGAGCACTAAAAAGAGCACCGCATGCTGTTGGGGATATCACCTGAGCTTATGATTTAAAGGTTCGAATCCCGTTTTGACATCCTGATTGGGCAACCATCTCGACTCTCCAGACCAGCTGCAGCTCGCCTGGGCATCCTCTGCCACCTCTTGCCTCGAGGCAACGCAATGAAAACTCGAGAACACTTGCAGGACTTGTTCGGATGTCTGAAGCCAACAACGTCTCTGAGCCCTGCATAAACTGAGAATTTGTTGCTAGCGGAGAGGGACAATGAAGAAACCCGGCAACCCTGAAAAAAAGGGGTGTAAATTTAAGAAACAGGGCTTTTGCTTGATTACTGAAAACCACAAGTTCCACACAAATGACCCGGTTTTGTAAATTGCACGTATTTAAGCCGCACAAACCCCATATTTAACCGTACTAGCACCGTATTTTTCGTACTGGTTCTAGAAACTACATATTAAATCTTAAATTTCAGAAAATTTGCACACCGCTTTTTTCACGGTTTGGGTGCTCTAGGATAGTATTACTTGTTGATATCTTCGTCACCATGTTGGTAGAACCAAAAGTCGATGGGTCTGTGGACTCAGCTCATTTGGGTTTACGTTTTCTTTTTCTTTTTTTAACAGGCTCGGTACCCTTTTCAGGTGGGTTAACAAAAGCCAAAATGACAACTCAGCCACTCTGGGGTCCAATCCCTATTTTTGACATCCTTTTGGAACCCGCCCTTGAAGGGCTCCAAAAAGCGGAAGCAGTGCTTGAAGGGGTTCCAAAAAGCGGAAGCAGTGCTTACAGTTTGACACGCCCAACGTTTGTTTGTTCCGGTGACCATTGGTTGTGGCAGCTTGCTGTTCCACATTGCAACCTCTAGAATGATCCCTAAGAACCACCTACTAAAAAGTTGAGCAACCTGACCCACTGGACGCGCACGTCGATCCGACACAGGCACCCGCGCCAAATCCCCAGCTCCGCCGCAGAACCAGCCACCTCCGCCTCACAGCTGAACAAGTAGACGTCATGTGAGTGATCGAAACCCGGTATCCAAAGAGGCAAGGCATGTCAAGGATCAAAAGCGCTCGTCGATATCCGCATATTTGGCAAGAGGAGTGTCCCCTGATCTTCACTTGGCCGTGGGTCAAAACTATGTGCCCAAAATGGAACCCTGACGGACGAAATAAGCCCAGCGGTCCTGGCGGTTCAAGTTTGGCCCACACCTTAATTGGCGGTCCATGACCTGGTGGTTTAAAAGTGGCCCATACACACCGACCCGTGCCCCCCAAGCCCAGCCCAAACCCAAACCGAGTTTTGGGGCCAACACCCCGCCTCCAGGCGTCTCGCCTCCCAGGCCAAGCCTCGGGCCTGGGCAGCTTGGGAGCCACGGGCACCGAAACGGTCACCCCCCAAAAAACCTCCCAAACGCGTGCAACACACCGGTTGCCAAAGAGATTCCAAGTCACTCAACATACCACCACCCAAGCAAGGGTTCATCCCCCCCAAAAGAAAGCTTCACCCGGTTTAGAGGAGGGAACTCCTGAACAGTGTAAACATTGTGGCTATATTTAACCATTAACAGTCATTGTTGTAATGCTGGTTTGAATCCCGGAACCCAACATCCGTGTTAATCCGGGGAGCAATTTGCAAGCTCCAAAGCTGATTCCTGGTCAGTCGAGTTGAACCTGACCAGCGGTTTGCGCTGCCCAGGGCATGTTCCAAATTTAATATCCAGAAGGCGAACCACCAAAGGAAGGCTGCCAGTGCAAGCTGCTTTCAAAGATAGCGAAGCAAGCTCGATGCAGGGATCTACACTAAGCGTAGTTCACTAGACAGAACTAAGGAATCCAAGGGACGTTCAACATGGAGCTCGGTGAGCTAGCAAGCGATAGTTGGGGGCAAAGGATTGCGAGCCGTGGAATGGTCCATGGTTGTCAGAAAATATGATATCATCTTTCCATGCATGATTGCGCTTGTACTGCGCCTACAGGGAAATCGTATGGCTTCACTGGGTGTACAGAATACCGCTTCCATAGGTAACTTGGGGTTCTGCATTGTTTTCCAAGCGGATCTGCATTTGTTCTGCAATACTTCTAAAACCTGGAGCAACTAATCCCCAAACAAACTTGACCCGCCTTTGACCCCCCCAAAAAAAACACAAAAAAAAATGGCGCGGAGCGGCAAAGAGAAAACTACCTCGCCTGCTCGGTCCACTCGTGGCGCTGCTGGCTCAACTTGCTGTGCTGCTTGTGGCTCTGGGCGGCCTCCACATCCGATCCCAGGGCTCACCGCTCGCCCCGACTCCCAAGACCCTCCGGTTGTTTGCAGGGTACTTGGTTGAAAAATCGGGTGGTCCACTTGTTTTTTGTTTTTTTTACCTCCTGCTTTAAAGGGTTGGCGTGATACCCCAAAAAGGCGGCTATTTGGGGTGTAGCGGGTCTTGGCCCAAGCGAAAACTGAAGGAAGCCCAGAGCGGCACAGGATGCCAAAGGGCACGAAGGTGACTTGGGTCTGGCAATTTGGCTTGTGGCACCCAAATGGGTAAGATTGATCGTGGTTTTATTCGGGAACCAAACGCATCAAAACATGGAACACCTGTCTTGGATCAGAAAACCGCAAGGTATGATTCGGAATGGGGAAACCTATATGAATTGTACTGCGTTGGCCTTACTCTAATGCGCAGTCAACCAAACCTACCCTATTCGATGCCGGCTCGTAGACTATCAGCAACTTGTTCTTTCATCGACTCTTGACCGAGACGAGTCAAAACTCGCCACTAACATACTGTTGCGCTCTTGGCACAAAACTTGGGCGAAACGCAAGTTCAAACATAAGGAGCAACCAACGAAAGTTGGGCTGTCAAATAGAAGCACAGGAAAGCATCCGCAAGGCATTTACGGGACAGCTCAACGCGCCGTGGTATTGTCTATACCATTGTTGCGATTGCTAGAGCTGGACCTGTCTGTCACAATGAGTTATGTGTTCATGCAAGCTGACATCTTCGATGACAAACTCCTCAAGACGCCTATTGGCAATGTGGGCGTTTCACCCTGTCTCAAATGGTTGGAGCCGTCATTTGGAATGGAGAGCAAATGTAACCATGTATATATATATATATATACATACATATCGGTGGGGGTTCGTCAAGAGTCCCAACTGGAAACCATGTCAACTTCCATGTGTCTTGGGAATCGACACCTCAGACTCAAAGTGGGTGCCATAAGCCTCAGGTGTCAATCGTCAAACTGGCCTCACGGCTCTCTATCTCTCTAGCCCCGCTTGCACAAACAAAATCCGGGAAGCCTGTGGCCAAACGTGGCAATTCGAGCGGTGTCGCAAGGTGCAGGTACCCGATTGCTTTGGACATCTCGCATGACTGAATGCACTAAATTGGCATTGTTCATGCTTTGTCGACTGCTGACCAAGGCAAACTCCCCCAGTGTGCGGTTGATTTCCCGCAAAAAAGACCGGCAAAGGGAGACTAGGTGACACTCAAAATCTGGTAAAGTGGTCGGCCCCAAACCATGTGCAGAAGGAATCGCTTCCATGTGCAGAAGGATTCGCTTCTTGCCCGGGACCGCCCAAGCCAACCTTCTCCGGGCACCGGTTTTTGATTGCCCAGCGATCCTTCTGCACTCGGCCCAGCTTTTCGAGGATGTCCTTGTCCCTCGCCCGCGCCGACTCCAAGGACACCTGAGGTGGGTTCGCATGGGGCAAAACCACCGTAGTGAAAAACTGGGCCCAGTCCCTGGAAGGGCTAGGGGGGGGGTAGAGACTTTGAAGGCCAAGCAACTCAGTTAGGATTGGGTCTACCTGCAAAATGAAAACAGTTGTCCACTCAACTCATTCAGAATTACCTGGCAGCCTCGGGCGGCGCGGAGGGGCTGAAAAGAGTAAGCCGTGAAAGCATCACCTCACGCAGTTTAAAAATTGGAAGGGTTCAATGGAAGAGGGTTGACCTGTAGGTGAAAAATGGGCAAATCCGTTTTCCAGCTAATCGCGAAACGAATCCACTGAAGAGATATGATATGAACTTCTACTAACCCATGGGAATTCCAGATTCCCATAGTGGGCTAATAACCCAGGTCACTTCGGCTAAAGACGGGCCACGTGGTAAACAAGCTAAGCCCAACCCCCCGCGCCACACGGGCTGAAAGCCATGGGGCCCCACACGATCAAAAAGGTGGGGCTTGGCTTTCGGCAGCGATTGAACGAAGCCAATGATTCAATAAGTGCAAAATATAGGAGCTTCATAAAACGTGGTGTTGTAACTGAGGTTCGTATTGATCCCGAAAATTGAAATCAGAATTGGATCCCAAGAAAAGGACCTACACCGGGTTTTGCTCATTGACCCACCGAATCGGTGAGCTACTTATAAATTTCAATTTGCCCACACAGTATGTAACCAGGAGAATTCATGTAACACCTACAGTGGCAAAAATCCCTTTCTGCGGCAACTGGAGAGGCCAAAGTAAAAAACGTGTGTTTCCTTTGATGCTTGGCGATTGAAAAATGGAGGCACTTGATTCATGCTGTGCGCAACCAGTCTTACTTCAACCCATCGACATCCATGTGCCACGCGCCTTCGGCATTGGGTCGCGACCTCGGACAGAGGTCTGGAAACCCCCCGGCCAAAAAAAAGAAAGACAACACAGCATGAATGCCCGAAAAATTGCCAGCTAGCAGGCGTTCAAAAAACAAACGACAAGAAAACCCAAAGACCCAAAGGTCGATCTCGCTTTGGTTGCAAGTCATTGACTTTGTATTCACTTGTTTGCCCCTGTCAGGGCACGAACAATTGGTCTTTTTTTGAGTTTGTGGAAATCCTGTGGGAATTCAAGGCTGAAACCATCCTCAAGCCCAGACCAACGGCTGCAGATTGTCTGGGCTTCTGGTCAGAACTCCTTCTTGTGCCGTGGTCAAGCTCGTGAACAAAGAAAACAAAGCCCGGAGAAAAATGCCTTGGGCATGGTACTTTTGCATTTTGGCTTTCCTCGAGGATGCTGTTTTTGTTCAAATTTGGTCACCCATGCAAAAGCTTTCTCATGGCCTCGGATGCTGCGCGATTGTCGATATCCTTGCATGTGAGCTGTTTCTAGTGTTGGTACCCTAGTTTTTTGCACTTTGTGCAGTGATGAACTTGTGAAGGCGCCTTCACTTGCACTTGGCGGAGGCAGGGCGCTTGTAGGCAGAAAATGCAACCCAAACATTAGTGGGAAAACTGTAAACGTACAGAACAATGCTAGATGTAGTAGATGTAGTAGATGTATGTATGTGTATATATATATTATGCATATATGCTAGAAATATTCTGCAAGAGTCTGCGACAAAAGCAGACACTGTGATATAACTCCTTTAATCAGCCCTTGAAATTGCTATTTGTTGTTGTTGTTGTTGTTGTTGTTGTTGTTGTTGTTGTTGTTGTTGTTGTTGTTGTCGTTGTTGTTGTCGTTGTCGCTGTCGTTGTCGTTGTCGTTGTCGTTGTCGTTGTTGTTGTTGTCGTTGTTGTCGTTGTTGTCGTTGTTGTCGTTGTTGTCGTTGTTGTCGTTGTTGTCGTTGTTGTCGTTGTTGTCGTTGTTGTCGTTGTTGTCGTTGTTGTTGTTGTTGTCGTTGTCGTCGTTGTCGTCGTTGTTGTTGTTGTTGTCGTTGTTGTTGTTGTTGTTGTTGTTGTTGTTGTTGTTGTTGTTGTTGTTGTTGTTGTTGTTGTTGTTGTTGTTGTTGTTGTTGTTGTTGTTGTTGTTGTTGTTGTTGTTGTTGTTGTTGTTGTTGTTGTTGTTGTTGTTGTTGTTGTTGTTGTTGTTGTTGTTGTTGTTGTTGTTGTTGTTGTTGTTGTTGTTGTTGTTGTTGTTGTTGTTGTTGTTGTTGTTGTTGTTGTTGTTGTTGTTGTCTTGGTGTTGGTGTTGTTGTTGTTGTTGTTGTTGTTGTTGTTGTTGTTGTTGTTGTTGTTGTTGTTGTTGTTGTTGTTGTTGTTGTTGTTGTTGTTGTTGTTGTTGTTGTTGTTGTTGGTTGTTGTTGTTGTTGTTGTTGTTGTTGTTGTTGTTGTTGTTGTTGTTGTTGTTGTTGTTGTTGTTGTTGTTGTTGTTGTTGTTGTTGTTGTTGTTGTTGTTGTTGTTGTTGTTGTTGTTGTTGTTGTTGTTGTTGTTGTTGTTGTTGTTGTTGTTGTTGTTGTTGTTGTTGTTGTTGTTGTTGTTGTTGTTGTTGTTGTTGTTGTTGTTGTTGTTGTTGTTGTTGTTGTTGTTGTTGTTGTTGTTGTTGTTGTTGTTGTTGTTGTTGTTGTTGTTGTTGTTGTTGTTGTTGTTGTTGTTGTTGTTGTTGTTGTTGTTGTTGTTGTTGTTGTTGTTGTTGTTGTTGTTGTTGTTGTTGTTGTTGTTGTTGTTGTTGTTGTTGTTGTTGTTGTTGTTGTTGTTGTTGTTGTTGTTGTTTGTTGTTGTTGTTGTTGTTGTTGTTGTTGTTGTTGTTGTTGTTGTTGTTGTTGTTGTTGTTGTTGTTGTTGTTGTTGTTGTTGTTGTTGTTGTTGTTGTTGTTGTTGTTGTTGTTGTTGTTGTTGTTGTTGTTGTTGTTGTTGTTGTTGTTGTTGTTGTTGTTGTTGTTGTTGTTGTTGTTGTTGTTGTTGTTGTTGTTGTTGTTGTTGTTGTTGTTGTTGTTGTTGTTGTTGTTGTTGTTGTTGTTGTTGTTGTTGTTGTTGTTGTTGTTGTTGTTGTTGTTGTTGTTGTTGTTGTTGTTGTTGTTGTTGTTGTTGTTGTTGTTGTTGTTGTTGTTGTTGTTGTTGTTGTTGTTGTTGTTGTTGTTGTTGTTGTTGTTGTTGTTGTTGTTGTTGTTGTTGTTGTTGTTGTTGTTGTTGTTGTTGTTGTTGTTGTTGTTGTTGTTGTTGTTGTTGTTGTTGTTGTTGTTGTTGTTGTTGTTGTTGTTGTTGTTGTTGTTGTTGTTGTTGTTGTTGTTGTTGTTGTTGTTGTTGTTGTTGTTGTTGTTGTTGTTGTTGTTGTTGTTGTTGTTGTTGTTGTTGTTGTTGTTGTTGTTGTTGTTGTTGTTGTTTTATCACGTGAAACGCAGGGCTGGGGGCACTGGCCTCTCACAAGGATTTTTACAGTATAAGGTCATGGATGAGTACCACTAGTGCCAGTAAACCATGTTGTACATTTGAACATGTGTCAAGGAAACATTCCGGGATGAGTCGTTGAAGCCAGGTCAGAAGGCTCTTGCAACGCACAGCATCGAAATGAGCCAACCCCTTCAATCTAACGCTTCAAAAGCAAGGGAGACGGGGAGACCCAAAGTGCTCAAAAAAGGCAACCTGACGACTCAAATCACGACTTTTTCAGCTTCCCTTGCAAAGGTGGGGCCCGGAGCTTCCCATTTACCCTCTGCAAGAGCCAAGGTTCAAATCCCCAAACTACCAATCCAAGGGACTAATTGAGCGTCCCAAACAACGGGGGGGGGTGATCATCCGCAAGGTAGCCAAAACCTCGGTTTCTGGTGGTTGGCGAACTTCCCATAAAATACTTGTCAGTTTCTATGCTGGAAACCACCACCCACATCCTCCCAAAGCGCTGTGTTGCAATCCAAGAGGCGCCGCTCGCCATGGAAACGGGCAGGGGTCTACATGGGCATGTCTCGGAATGGGTATCGCTTAAGATTGGTATGTATGAAAGTGTGTCTCAGGATGGGTGTGCCTCAACGGAACATGCCTTAGGTTGCTATGGCTTGGAATGGCTATGGCTTTCAACGCGGGGGAATTCCTCTTGGTTTTAAAGGGAAGGCAACAACTGGGCCCGAGTTGACTGGCAAAGGCTTGCACTTTCTACCAGAAAAAGTGTAAACGCTTGCCAAACCCACGAGTCAGTTTGAGAAGGAAACAAAACGACTTCGTAAAGTTGTCAATTGAGACACAAATCTGTCACATCCGACTAGTCATAATCCGGTGACTGGAAAAGCAACTAGGAAACCTGAACAGAGATCCAACAAGTTGAGGGCCCACCTGGGGGTTGAAATGGGTCGAAACTCGCATCTGCAAACTCCTTGATGGCTTGCGTTCGCGTCGCTTGTCTGCACCTCTGACATACCACGATGACAATCTCTCTCCGTGATTTATGAGTATAAAAGCAATAGGCGATGTGTGCTCCCTTGGCTCCGGCTCGAGAACCACAATTTCTAAGTACGCAAGTACTCCGCAACGGCCAGTGCTTTTGGCCAGTCCGCGCGGGCCGATTCGTTTTATCTCGCGTGGCATACGTCAGTCAAGGCCTTAAGACACATTTGAATGCATCAGCTTCAAACACAAGTTGATTTAGCCTCAGCTTTCATAGTGGGCAGGTTCCCAAAATCCTGGATCGGCTGGTAGCCTGTCACTTTGTGCTGCGAAAAGAACCACCCACGATTTTGCAACCCCCCCAGCTGTCTCTACTGGTGAAACCATTTTAGCCCTGGACCAAACCAGGACCAAAAGCAATGCTGGCGCCGCGAGTCTCCGAGTAGAATGGTGATCACTCTAGGGGTACCTTTCCCATTCTTTCAAGGGATCCTTCTTTCCCTAAAACCTCCAGACACCCAGCGAAAACGGCAGGATTTTGAAAAGAACGATGATTGAAACCAAAAGTAGGCAAAGGGAAACCATCGCTGGGCCCCTATTTTGACACATGCCCAGCCAAGGACTGGTATCTTTATTTTTTACAGACTTAGCGCGCAGCATGCGGTCTCCAGGAATTCAGATTAGGTCCCGCTCAATTCCCGGGATGCACCAATGGAGCTCACCTAGATGCAACGGTGCGCAAAGCCACTTGGCAACACCAAACACTTGACTATGACTTTTAAGAGTCGGAACCACAGAGTGGTGGACACACTCCCCAAAGGATGTCCACCAAAGGGTCCCAATTGAAACTCACACCCACCTGGATATAACCTCAACCCCGATTTGCTCTGGAATGATGTGCTTTGCGGCAAGCATGCCGGATTGCCGGGAGTCAGGGCCAGGTCAGGGAGCCGGGAATCATGCTCTACTCCGGAATATTCTGTCGTAATAATGCTACTTGCGAATAATTAATTTCTCGGGGATGCACCACATGCCCATGAGTGGGCCTTTTGGTGTCTTCAGGCACAAAGGTTGTATGCATTCTACTGTGCACATTCTGTACTTGGGCTTCTACGGTGTTCTTGGGACCTGACTGGTTGGGTCCTTAGTGTCAACTTGGAAATCAGTAAACATGCTTGAGCCTCAATGGAGCTGCCAGGTCTTGTTCCCGTGCCGGTTTCTAGCGGGGAGGCAAGATTGCCTCTCGGGTCCCGAACCCCCCTGAGAAACGCATTCGAGGGAGTATCAGGGAGCAACATCAATTCCTAGCTTCTATACTAGTCAGTACGGAAAACTCTGAAACAGATCTTTCACCCCACCAGGGGTTCCACCCCAAATCCATCGATTCATCGGGAGGGGCCTGGAATCAGACAACCGCCTTCTTCCAAATTTCCCCCACTTGCCAACCTGCAGACATTTAGATTCACAAGAGCCCTCTCTCCCTCCACGTTCCCGCTAGATCTTGCTAAAGGGGAACAAGGCTGCAAAGCTTTACCAACCATGGTTCGGGTCTCAAGAATTGTTGTGAGGTGCATTTCCATGTTGAAGGGGTTGGGTAACTCCTCATTCAAACACATTCTCCCATTGCTTAAACAACCTACTCTTGGTCTGGCCTGGCTACTCAAACACATGTTGCCCAACCCTGCCATATTGCTACTTCCCATGGAACATCAGCTTATTGGAACAGCGGGCCAGCAGGGCAACCCCACCTCCCCCCCCTTCCACTTTTAATACGGGTTCCCTGTGCCATGTTTGTGGTTTGAAACACCTCTTCAGAAGACCAGTTGAGCACCAGAACCCAGTGACGCTTGGTTCTACTAACATGGGGATAAAGGCTTGGCTCCAAATGAACCAAATAGCGGAACCACCTACTAAAGCGGTTTTGGGCGCTGCTCAACTTCCGTGTGACTCTCTTTTGCTCATGTTTCGCTGGATGCGTGCGATGCCTGTTCCCCCCTTGGTTCAAATCCCAGGTGTTCAAAGATTCAACTTTCACCTAGCACGGAGCACAAGTCTTTATGGATGACTCGCTTTTGTGGCTCGCTGTTCAAGTCCCTCGTGTCCTTTGTGTGGTTTTGGACAGTGGACACCATCTTTTTCGTTGGAACCACCAAAACCCCGCGAAAAGCTGGTACGCCCTCAAAACGAAAACGACACCCTACCTGTTGCTCCATTCAAGTGCCCAAACGGGATCTCGTCGATCACTTGTATGACAAAGCCAGTGGTTCCAAAAACCCACAGATCTAGGGACGAGGCGAAGGGTCCATTTGGACATGTCTTCTTGGAGGCTAAGGTCGTTGCTTTTGTTGGACCCTTTGAAAGGAACCCCACATGCAAAGCGCCAAAACCTGGAGCTTCCGATTTCTTGTTTTCAGTTGGTCCCCTTTTTTTTGAGTGGTGCGGATCCCCGAAAATCAGGCGGACTCCGCGCGTGACCCCAACCGCTCGGATTGCCAGCGGCGGGGGTCATTGGTCCATTGCCATCGAAGGCGCGGGCGCTCTGCCTCGCCTTCCATGGAGCCCTGCTGGCCCTCCTTGGTGAAGATCCGGGGCAGCAGGCCCTTCTTTCCTGCGGAGAAAAGGAGCGAAGACTCCATAGGTGTTTTTTTTGGGGAAGAATCGATGGGCTTCCCTGGTAAATGGAAGAAACCCCGTCGAAACCAGTGCCATCTATTTTGAACCAAACTAACCTAAAAAGGACACCTGTGGTGAAGACCGGGGATGTCGAGGTTGAAAAGCAGGAAGGGTGCAACTCCTGAAAGCCCATAGGTGGTTTAAGGAGCAAGACAACTTGGGTGAAGACTCTGCCTCTTCCACCGAAATGAAGAGCCTCCCTTGAAAAGGGCTTCTACACTGCCAAACGGGCTGCTTATTCATCCCACAAACAGTGGAAAAGGCAAACCATGGTGAAGACGGCGGATGTTGGATTGAAACATGAGGGAGGTTGTTTCAGGATTGAAAACCAAGGAGAAAACATGGGTGGTACCACCAGGAAGTTGCTTCTAAGCAACGGGCACCAACAGCAATGAACACCAACAGGAGGTTTTAGCAATGGGGACCAACAGGAGGTTGTTTCAGCGAAGGGGGCCAACAGGAGGTTTTTCCTGCAACGGATAGGAGGCTGTTTTTTCAGGCAGGGGCTTAACATTGAACATGTTGCGACACCGCACAAACTCCACAATGCACCAGTTGGGATGGACGAAACGCGATCGAACTACTGCTCGATAAACTCACCAATTCCAACTGGTTCTAAGTGGATTTTGTCTATCCAGAGTAGAGTTTGGGAAAGCACAGACATAGACAAACGCCTGGTCACATGGTAAATTTAAACTTCTGCAAAAACGCCACGGGCTGGGAAGAAACAAACACCTCAAGGACATGGCTCATCTTGACATAGAAGGCTTGTAGGAGGGCACTAAATGACGAATGCTTCCCGGAGATCTGCGAAAACTGCGGCCTCACACTTGCGAGGCCTGTAGAAAGGAAAATAACCACCAAAGCAGACATGAAGAAAGGGTTCCAGAAAACCTTGGAGCCTGCACACAATCACTCCCACTGTTGGGCAAGTGTCTGCAGACGGTCTTCGGGGCGTCCGGCTTGACTTTCCGCCAGACCTCCGATCGCCCATCTGGGCCAAGCAGCTCCAACGTGCAGCCCTCCGCCGTCTCCACCTGCTTCACTTGGCACAGCGCCTCCCCCTCGCTGGATGTCATCACAAAATCCGGCCCCTCGCCCGTGAGCTGCATCTCTACATCCGGGTCCTCCACATATTTCACCTCCCCAGATGCCGAGATCAACGCGATGGTGGTGTCGCCATCCGGGTCTTCGAAGAGCCACCTGCCTTCGAGCGCCGATACCATGCGCGCGCCGGAGCGCCGCCGCGCGCGGAGCAGTCCCGTTGTGGCCAACACAACTCGAAGCCAACTGCGGTGGCAAGTCACTGTCACAGTGCGCTGCTTCGATGGAAAACCCTCCAACATATAATGTTGAGCATGCCCAAACCCTCTGATAGCAAGGCGTCCTTTCAGGCACGGTATGTTGGAGGGTTCTCAGAAAGTCTTCCAAGTGCAACTCTGTCGTTGACACCAAACCATGCACATCGTTTGAGTGGAGAGCTGGCTTGCGGCTCCAACGTGTTAAAGCTTTTCAGGCCTTACTCCAAGCCCAAAATAACCAGTAGTTCTGGGCGCTGCTGCTCTATACTGTTATGTTCTGTGCTAAGGAGATTGGATACAACCACCCTCCCACCAATCTGGTTTCCATCATGCAAATTGCAGAGCCTCTACAAGCACATTCGTTTACTTTCGATAGCCTCCGTATGTAGAAGTTGGCAACCCGAACACACATGGTTGGTGCACCTTTGCACGTGGTTCTTGGGGCCAACCAACGCCTCGAGAGGGTCGCTTCACTTTTCAGGAGCGTTTGGACAATTAGGTGGGGATCCATGTCCACCAAGCACTCAAAGTTCCCCTGGTATGTGGTTCGCTGCAATTCATAGCCACATGAAGCCTTCGTTATGTTTGAAGCGAGTTTGGAAACTGTGCGTATAGTAGAGGTCGGGGGTACATGCAAACATGCATCGTTCGGTCTACAGGCCAAGTTTGTGTGATTGCTCAAGGATGAATGTGGCCTTTGACACTCTTGTGGGCTTGCCATTGAACCACAGACTATACGCACTCGCTGTTCTGAATATTGACATTCATTCATGTCTGGCATGGTTGCGAAATCGGCGCGCACGCCCGCTGTGTCCAATTTTGGGCTCGTGCGCACATCAGCCTTCGCTTATTTTCAAGCAGCTGTTGGATCACCATTAAGCCGCTCAAGCTGCCAATGGAGCAACTTCTTGGGAGTCCGGTTGTGGCAGCTGACGAACGAACTCGATCAGCAACGGATTCACCACATCTGGTGCTTCATCATGTGGACAATGCCCGATGCCTGCGCCAGGAAACAAACCCAAACATACAAGGGTGGTTGCAGTCCTGTTTCAACAAGTGTGCTGAACAATTGCCCAACCACTCCGCCTGGCAAAAGATCGATTCGTCGCACTGGCAAGAATCGATCAAGAGCTCGAACTCGTTTTGCAGGCGTCCATGGATCTTTGTCTCCCAAGCAGACCTTACAGCCAAAACTGGTGCAATCATACCTTTTACTGGGTTGGATCAATGGCTGCACAGCACAAATGCGCAAGCTATTTCAGCTTGGACGCCCAAACAGGAAAGCTCGTCATTCTCGGATCAGCCAGAAGCCTCGGCAGAACGCTTGCGCTCTGGTTTAAACAACCCCCTTACCTTGCTCAGTTCCACTCATCAAGTATTCGCCGTCCAAGCAATTTTGGGGCCTGCTTTTGGTGTTTAAACGGTAACAAATAACACCGAAAAGCCAATTTTCCCCACTCGCAAGTTGGTGATCTTCAAATGTCTCGCGCGTGTGCCCAAAAAAGATGTAAAGAAGTAATTGGGCTTCTTGCTGCACCTCTTTATGGTTGAATTTGTCCCTTACCCTGCACTGTGGCAGCTGTCCAAGCAGCTGTTCTGGCAATGGTCCAGCGGAATAAGACAGCGTATCGAAGACCACGTCCGCCGCGCCTCGCGAATCGGAGTGCGCTGTGAATCGTTGGCTATGGGTGGCTCGTCTTTTTTCCAAGGGTAGCCCTTTGAAGGTTGTTTCAGCCAAAGGGAAACCATCCATTTTGGCGGGAGGTTCCTCAGTTAGAGACGACCCATATACGGTCCTTTTTCAACCAGACTTCAGTGCCTGGGTTTGACACATCCCAAAAGCTCCAGTCAAACCAGCTCAAGCATTTGTGCCTTGCGTGTCCTCCCAATGCCTGGAGTCAGTAGAGGTGAAAGAAGAACATCCACCAACTCGTCCGTCACAGTTGAGGGATCATGGTACGGCTCCTGCGGTAGGCGAGCTTGACCCAACGAATAAGGTTGGGACTTGGCTGACCGCCCCGCACAAAAAAATGAAACAAGCGGCACTTGAAAAGTGGAGCTCTGGTTTGGGGACCTCGCTGATTGGGTTGTGCTTCGAAAAGCCCAAAGCGACTTGGGCTGTCCTCTTGCCCCTGGCATTACTTGCGCTCGGTAGAGGCATGCAACACCCTGCCCTACAGACTTGGAGGCTTCGAGAGGACCCAGACTTGGAGGTAGAGAAACGGGTTGCCTCGTAGTTCAAGAGGCGTTTCCATGCCTTGGCGACGCACCAAAAAAAGAGAGGACCCCTGAGAAAAGCACAAAGAACTGGAACATGCAAGGATTGGCACCGTCCGCCTCCTTGCAGGGTTGGGCCAATCCCTTGTTGCATTGGGCATGTTTGAACCACCACCTCCTTTTTCCCCTAAGGGGGCCAGGGTCCGTTTGATTAAACTCAATTTGCCAAGTCCTGGTTCCAATTTGCTGCCGCATCCTTCAACAGAAAGGGTGCGGTTGCTGAAAACTCCCCGCTCTCCAAGCAAAAAAAACGAGAGAAGTGGGCCACGCCTCTCCTTCAAGATCTGCTTCACAATGTCCTTCTTGGCGAGAAAATCGAACAATCCCTGGCCGTTCTCGCGGAGCGCGCCCTGCACTGCCGAGACCTGGCTCGGGCTCAAGGTCAGACGGGTTTTTTCGCACCAACCCGTTTTGGGGGACAAACCAAGGGGTGGACGTCTAAAGCAGGTTTGGAAATACCGGGCCCCCATTCACATGGAGACCCGAAAAGGGGTTCGCACAAAAGCAGTGGTTCAATAGGCAGGGAATGAGTTGGAATGATCCTATGAAACCATGGCCTGTAGGTTCCTTCAAGATGTCCGACTGAGAGCCTCCCCAAACACTTAGCTTAAGGCAAAAAGAAAACACTTTGGCACACAAACACATTCTGTGACTTGGATCCCTTCGTCCAGTATGCAGTATGGCAACCCATGGCAACCTGAAAGGCTTGCCCAGTGCTTCACCATGGCTCTAGGGGCTCTGGGCAAATTGCAAGAAGAAACAACAACACAAAACTATGGGACACCCCCAGTGCAGGAACTTCAACACAGGCGGTCGCTCGTTTTGCCCCCTGGAGGTTCTATTTTTTGCTTAGCACCGGCTCAGATAGTGAGACCCCTGAATGCGTCCCTGACACCCGATTCTTTTGTTGCGGCATGCTTCAAGCCTCCAAACCTATAGCAAACCACCCGGCGACAACCTCAAAACAACCACCCACAACTGCAGAGCCAGCCCCAAACCCAGCAAAGGCAACCCTAAACCCACCCACACCTCCGATTCCGCCCAAAACAGCAAGCTTCAACAGCCCAAGCCAGCCCTCCAACTCCTCACCCCGCGACATTTCGCCCGCCAGTCCTAAGCAATGCAATCTGTCGTAAATCTGCTTGTCCGTCCATCCGTCCGTCCGTCCAACCAACCAACCAATACAGGGGGAAAAGTGTCTCAGCCAGGGTCCGGGGTGGGGGGGGTCCTCCTCACTGAGCAGGGGGGTTTTGGGTCAGGAGGCCTCACCTGACGGGTTGGCCATCCTGGCCAGGTTTTTTTTCCTGTGACCCCCCCAATGGTAAGTTATGGTAGAGACTTGGTAGCGATCAACTCTCAAGTACTACTACACAGGGACCCCCCTCTCGGAAGGATAATTCGTGTTTAAAGCCTCCCAAATGACCCACCTTCCCTGCCCGAGCCAGTGCGGTGCAGTGTGTTTCCTTTTTGGTAAGTGGTTGAAAACACTTTGTCTCACTTGAATTGGTGGAGATTTGAACCCCTGGTTCTTGAAGGGAAATGAGAAACCCCCCCTAACCGCCAAACCACCTTTTTGAGGGCGGCTGACCTGCAAAACGACGAAAACATCGAGCTAAAAAAACCCGGTTTCGAGAAAGTGCCTCAAACAAATGTCAATGATCAACATGACTGTCTCACTTTACAAAAAGGGTTGCAAAGTCAAACTAGGACCATGGTTGGGCAACATGTGTGTAAACAACCAGCCCCGCTGCCCTTCTAAACCAAAGAAGCCAAAAATGATGTTGTTGTTTTGGCCGAAAACGGTGAAGGAAAGCTCCCCAACCCTCAGAACCTTACTCCCTGAGTGGAGTGGTCTGGAAAAAACATGTTGCTGTTTGTCACAATGGTCGAGACCTCAAAAGTGGCTCAAATCAAGTGCACCCCAGGCCAAATGGCCATGGTTCAAAATCCCGTACCCACAGTGAACCACTCCCCACTAAAATCGACTAAAATTGGTGGTGCACCTACCCCAAAATGGTACCATTGGTGTTGACCCACAGCCAAATGACTGAGTCAAGAGGCGATTGGAGGGAGAAAGTCCGGCTGCTCAGCCACGTGCAGCTCCCGGAAGTTGGGGTTCAGGATCATCAAGCCGTTGAAGAGCTCAGCTTCGTCGAGGGCCGCCTGAAGGCCTCTCTCACGCTTCCCAAGTGGGTGTGGGTCAAAAATGGGTACCCAAAATGGAACCCTGGCAAATGGAACCAACGACTAAAACCTGCGGTCCCCTGGTGGCTAAGTTTTGACCCATACCCAAGTGGTTTGGGGCCCGGAAACTGGAGCTTTGGCGCCTAGGGAGCCTTCCCATTTGGCCTCGACAAGAACCAGGGACCCCAAATGCTGCGTGGGCCTGAACCCGTTCACGTTTGGAATCAGGGGGGCCAAGAAAAGGCTGCACGTAAACTTGCAATTGTTTGCGAATGAAGGGGAAATGAAGCAGCGATGCCTCTAAATGGTGAAACCCCAAGTTGGATAGTTCCCTTTTCCGTCCCTTTTAAAACGCCGGCCCACGTCTCGTAGCCGTCAAGATCGGAAAGATAGTGTGCATCCAAAGGAGACCCCGAGGTGGCCAGACATAGACCCCTTGCAAAAAAGTGACTTGTTGAGAGGGAACGTGGAACGCCCAAAAGGGCAACAGGGCAAAAAGGCGAGTCAAGTCTGGCAATCCAAAAACCACCCCAAAAGAGGCACAGACTTGGAACCCTAAAGCACACGAATCCACGAGGTCCATCACCTGCTCTCACCCCCGGTCCTGAGATAGATCCGATGGAGTTGGCCACCAACGCGATGCCTCAGCGAGCGAAAGACAAAGAGAGCGAGCGAAGGCGACAGAGAGCGAGACCCCAAAACAACACACGACAGGGTCAAAATACAAGTCTACAAAAGGATATTGGACTATCAATAAGTTTAAGTGCCCTCTTTTGCAGTTTCCCCAATAGAGCACAGACTAGAACCAACCTGAAACGTTTCGGTAGGATGGCATTCATGTCAAAATGGACAACATTCTGTAATGTCGAGATCAGCATCGCTCACTTCTTTCTCAAGTCGTGCCGGAATTCTGTTTGAGACCTCAAGTCCGCATGGGAAACTCCTGAAGGACAAACAAGCGGTAGTGAACAATAATGCGATTGCATCTCACAAGCGGCAGCGGCATGAATGCCAAGCTGGTGAGCCAAATAGCCCATGAAGCACACCATTCGAAACAAACATGAACAAGTACATGCGTCGTTTCGATAGGATGGCATTCATGTCAAAATGGACAACAGTCTGTAATGTCAAGATCAGCATCGCTCACTTCTTTCTCAGGTCGTGCCGGAAATCTGTTTGAGAGCTCAAGTCCGCATGGGAAATTCCTGAAGGACAAACAACCCCCAACGAAGCTTTCAGGAATATTCCACGCCAGAAGCCCCTCCAGAATGCGGGAATGTTCCGGCACGATCAGCAAGGAAGCGACCAGCCTAGCCTGCCGTTGGCAGGGAAAAGCTGGGGCTTTGGCCGGGCGTGCCAAAGGTCTGGCAATGAAAAGCGCGTTCATCAATCGAAAGGCGGAGGAGTATCGAAAGAACAACGACTCAACTTGTCTGCCGCTCGTTCTGTTCTCCAGGAACGTGCGACACGTCTAGTTGCATGTGAAACTTGCACGCCATCAAGGAAAGCCGCTCCAAACAGGAACACAAAGGTGAACAGGCGATTTGCGCCTGCCTCCGCGGCTGTGTTGTCGCTCAAAGAAGGGACCGCAGCCCCAAAACGTTGGAAAGGAAATCTCAAAGCCAATGCCTGCAGCAGCGCCATCCGAGCCAGCGTCTCACAACGCGAAATGTCTCGTTGCATCACAGGGTTGACAGGGACCAATGGTTCAAAGTCTTGGAAGACAAACTGTTCAAAAAACCATAAAAATACAACATCGCCATCGAAAGCAGCACCTCCAATCTGCGTCATGGAAGAAGAAGCGCGAGCATCTGCTTTCCCACTCCAGATTGGAGCTCTCCTCCAGCAACGTCGCAGGATGTTTTTCGCCCTCTTTGTGCAGAGTGGGTGCAGCGTATTGTTAGCCAGCGCTTGTACTGTTTGGTGCAGGACTCTTTCCACAGGGGTTTCCCTGATGCGCCCCTTCCCGAGGAAACAGTGTTGCAGAGTTACTGGCAAGCGCAGATTTACCATGTGATTGGACCATACCGCCGGGTCAGCCGTTTTACCTTCACGTGACGCAGCCCTTGAGCTTGCTACTTCAAGACCCAGACATTTCCCTGAATTTCCATCTGACGCAGGGTGTTCCTACAGGCTACAAGAACGACATTGCGCCTTCGAACTGCTTTCCTTTGAAGCAACAACATTGGCGCTTTCAGAGCCCCGCCCCGCGAGGCTTGTCGCTGATAGCACAATTTGCGGGTTGTTATCCCAGAGCACTCCACCCTTCCTGGGCCAAGGGATGTGCTGCGGTGTTTTCCCTTGAGACAAGAGCGACGCCCTTTGCGGGCCTTTCGCTGACATCAAAAGTGTGCACAAGCGCGTATCTGTGAGACATGACCAACGTGGGCTTCTTCGGTTCCAGTTGGACAACAGTCTATTCTTCTATAACGTGTGGTCCTTTGGGGCAGGATTCAGCACACACTGGGGGAAGCTTCATTCTTCGGCTTTTTCACCACGTCGCTTGGCTCAGACGTTGCATGTTCTTGTGTGTAGATGATTCTTTTGGCTACCAGAGGCTAGACTTGCCGGTGACAGTGACGCCCTTGGCGCTGACTGGCCAAGCTCTCAGCATTCCAATTTCTTGACGAAAGTGCGAGCTTGGCACGGTCACTTGGACAGGCTGAAAATGGCACATTTTTACTGGCCAACTTGAGCTGCCTGTAGAGAAGTTTGAGAAGCTCCGGTCGCTCATTAGCCAATTGCTAGCCAAGCCAAAAGTTTCAAAACATTTGCTGGAGCGATTCCTAGGGCTGGCCATGTGGGTCACCCATCTCCGTGCGTGGGTTTCTACACAGATGTGCATGCATTCCGGCCACTCATTTTTCTGTGGATCCGGGCTTCTGGCCTCAGTTTTGCAACTGCTTGAACGACAAGATGATTTTCACACAGCAGCCACCTTCGAGTGCCATTCTTGTCGGGTCGCAGCTACCTTCGGTGCGACATCAGCGTGTGGACACGCTGCAGGAATTGCAAAGGATCTGCTTGCCGGATCGCCGAATTTGGACGAGAGTTCGCATTGCATCTTCACCGTACCGCTGGAGTTCTCCTAGGTGCAACCTGTGGCCTGTGCCGGTGTGGCAGGGCCGATCACCCCGGTCGCGTCTAACAAACGGTAGCTGCGTCAAACGACTTGAGGGGCACCCTTTCTGACTTGAGCTGCAAAGGACGGGGGATACCCTGCAGTCTGGCTTCTGAAAGCCTTTTCGTTCGAAGCGTGAGCTGCAGGACCATGTCCGCACACTCCAAGCACTTGCAAAGATGACAGAGATGTTGCAAACAACCATTCCCGAGCCCGACCAAACAAACAAGCTGGGTGCAGTACACAGGATGCCGATGTTCGCCGCAAAAACGATTGGATTTCTGGCTGAAGCCAAGTTGTAGCGGACCAAGCGCCTGTGGCACCGGCTTGAAAAGTGGCCTGAACCCACTACCAAGAAGCTCTGGCGATGCTGCTCCAGAAAAAACTTGCTGCGGCTCGCACAGAATTGAGCTTTTGAGAAAAGAGTTCACCAGCGAGGAATGAAAGACTTCCAGCGTGGGGGCCTGACGCAGGCGGCCGTTGGGGTGGGAACTCAATCTTTTTTTAGTTGCTCGTTGACAGGTTGGGGCGGCGAGGAGTGGGGCACATGGTCTGGTGAGGACTGGGGCGCAGGCGCCGAGGGAGGAGTTTGCCGTCTCGTCGAGTTGCTCGTTGACAGGTCATGGAAACTGGAGGGGGGACGATCATGCTCAAGGCTCGGAAACATGTTCCTCTTGCTTTTGCGTGACCGTTTTGATGTTCTTTGGCCAGGTGATGAGGAGCGCTGGAGAGGAAAGCACGCTCACAGGCAAGGCGGCGACTCGTTCGTCTTTTCGTCCACACACCTGTGTCTAGCCTCATTGCCAACAAAATGTCAGAGACGTCTGCTGCAGTCAGCTGATGCCATTGAAGCCGCGTGTCATAACACGTCTGGAAAAAACAAATCAAAGCAGCGAAATAGTTGTGCAACTTGTTGGCCGAAAATTGGTCCAACAAGCGTGCAAAGAGCGATTCCGGGTTCTGCGAATCCTCAATGCTCTGCAGCAACTGACTGCGTGGCAAAATCCACGCAAGCAGGTTTCCCCACTGCGTCAATAAAAGTGGGGAGCTGCTGGGCTGCTTGACGCGAAGCACAAGATGGTCTTGTGGCTTAGGTGGCTGCGGAGGCGCCTGACGTTCGCGCGGCAGCATAGTTAATTGAGGAGCGCGCACACAGCAGGCGTTGCTGCTTGACCAACATGCCAGGCCGGCGCGCTAGCAGGAGCCCGAAAACTTGCCTGAGGAACCGGGCGCCCCTTTCCCAAATCAGTTACGGACCACTGCGATGAATGCTTGCCCGGCCGGATGTCCATGCCAGCACATGACCTGTTCCAATGAAAACTAATGTGATTGCATCTAGCCACATGAATGCCAAGCTGGTGAGCCAAATGGCCCATGAAGCACACCATTCGAAACAAACGTGAACAAGTACATGCGTCGGGTGGTCTCCCAAAAAGCAACCCGACCTACCCAGCCTCCCGTTTGAGCTCCTCTTGCGAGCGGGGAGCTCCGCGCGGGCCCCCGGATCACCTCCCGCGCGAAGTCCCGGAGCTGCTCGCTCCAGGTGTAGAAGTTGTAAACCTCAGCGCCAGAGCGAGATCGCGCAAGCGGGCGCTGGCACGGAGCAGCAGGCGGTTTCACCCGGATGGTTGTGCCACCCCTTTCTCCCCCTTTTTCAGGCCCTTGAGCCCCAGCACGCCACAACCTCTGCTTTTTGGATTTTTTGGACTTGTGATTTTGGACATAAAAAAAGCAGTTGTTGGGGGTGCTGGTGGCTGTTTTTTTGTTGGGGGGGGGGGTACCTTTTTGTGGATACGGGAAACCAATAGTAAAACCAGTTGGTCGGTTTTTGGGGCTCCCTTATTTTGAGACACTCACCCACATCCAGAAAACTACCTGCTTTGCAGGGAAACAGATCCCCGAAATCAGCTGGTAGAGGTGATGCCTAACTCGGGAGTTCGTCATAGTATGGCCGCTTCCTTTCTGGGCCTTTGGACACGCCAAGCGGGTGTGCTGGTACCCTTGTGGGCTTCAGAGAAATAACGGGGACCACTAGAAGTAGTTCTAAGCGGGTGGAGTTGCCTCAGTTCTGAGCACGGCCTTTTCTTTTTCAGAGTTAGTTCTTTGGTTTGGTTGTTTTGAAGGAAAACCAACCGAGACCACTCGTTTTAAGCATGCACGTCCTTTTCTCGGAGGGTACTGTCCCCCCCAGGTCAGCTAGCTAACTGATGGCCATTGCACCCCGCGTCAAAACGGGTGCTTCTCACAGGCATGCCGCTTCCTCCAACAAATTCCCTCAGTATCCAAAGATAGGAGGCCTCCTTGACCTTTAAACTGGAGTGTCCTTCGGTTTCCCCTTCGGCCGAAAGCACATCCCCTGCATGTTTCAGAATGCAAAGCCCAGCCCCCGCAGAGGGGCAAGGACAAACGCTCCTAGGTAAAGGGCATCCCTGAATGTCAGGCAAAATTGAGTCCCACTGGGCTGTTCCAAATCGAGTGGCCAATCCTCATCCATATTGAAAAAAATCCCCGACGGGAACCAGATCCATTCGCAACCAGGGAAACTGAAGGGAACGCCAACCCATTTTGGGTCGGTCAACTCTGCACCCCAACGAGTTCTCTGAGTCTCTTCCATGTTTCGTCTACCCGCAAAACATGTTAGGAGATATTGGGCAAAATATGGTGAAACCAACAGACTCCAAAAACAGGCGGGTACCGCACGCTTAACTTGGGTTGCTCCAAGCCCCCCTGAGCGAAAGTTTGGTAGGTTTGTCCTTTCGGGGCCGTTCCCGGGACACACCAAACGAACCAAATGGGTATGGGTCAAAACTAATCGCCAGAGAACCGCAGGCTTTAGTCCATGCTTCCATTTACCAGATTCCATTTAGGGTACCTATTGTTGACCAAACAAACCAAACGGACCGCATCGCCACGGACCGAATCGCCCAAGGCTTTGCCATCAGATCCAGGCGCAGAGCCGAGGGGATGGCTCAGGGGCACCTCCACATCCAGCCGCTCCCCGCCCCAGGCAGTGCCCAAGTTGGCGAAGGGCGAGCCCAGCCTGTGGATCAGTAATGCTAAGATCTTCCACCAGGCGACAGCTTTAAAAAAAAAATGGAGAAGACCAAAACTAATCTAACTGGATGTGTTGGTGGTGTACTCGACTGGTAGCAGCTTCATGATTCATAGAAACCAGCGGGAAATTCAGCAGGAAGTTTGCGCAAATACCTTGTTTAGGGGCTTGGGCGACCTTCAGAATTTCCCGTGGCCGGCTTCTTAGAGTACAGGAAAACGGAACAGCCTCTTGTCGAACATCTCTTGCTTCGAACGCCTCCTTGTGGCTTCAAGGGTGCCAGGGTCCAGGTGTTTTTGCATGCGAGGAAGCCTGACCGAATCCCTGCATTCCCCCCCCCAAAGTTGAGGTCAAAAGCTAGCTTCTGGACCACCGGGACTCTAACTAAATTTACCTCAGGACCTATCCTCAAAGGATATACGCCGAACCGGGTTCGTTGGGGTTCGGGGGACCAAGACCGCGGGGAAGGATTTAGGGGATCGAATCCGAGTTGATCATGTTTGGGAGTTCCAAAAGCGACCAAAACCCGTTGACTTTGGTTGGGTTCTTCCAGTCCTGTGCTACGCCAGGCACCAGAACCTACTGAAATGGGGGCTCACGTCCACGCGACCCATGCGACATCCGCCTGCGCCCATTCTCCCCGTTGATGGCCAAGGATTCCTCGCTCGTGGGCGGCGGCTTCGAGCCTCGCTTCGCTTTAAGAAGAAGGCGGCTGTATGGGATGGAAGCCAGAGATCCACGGATTCGTCTTGATAAAGCCTATGGGGAAGATCCCTCTTCCGTGGGGTTTGAGTAGATCGCTTAAGGCTTTTAAGCCAACATGGAACCTGACAGGGGGTCCCTTTACAAGGAAAATTGTCTTCCAGGACCCCCCTGACAGGTTCCAAGTTAAGCGGTGGGAGGGTATAGTGAATGAAACTTACGTCGAAAACCCATACGAAAGGATGTCCTCTCGACCTTGGGGTAGCCACTGGATGCTCAAAAAACAATCACTAAATTCACAAACCGACAATGAGGGACCTCTCGCCGGGGATTCCCCCTGACAAATTGTACCCTCCAGAGACGATCAGCACATGGGTGTGTCTTTGTTGCGGGCTCTGCGCCCTCGGGGTTGGTTTACAGGGCAACAGGGAAGCGAAGCTCGTTTTCGGGCGTCTCCTTTGACACATACCCATCCAAAAACCGCTGGTTTTAGAAAGGGATCCAATCTCGAAATCCGCCCCAAGAGACAACCACGTTGCCAGACGGGGGCCAGACTCCGCGACTGGCTGCTTGGCGGCTGTAGCCATAGCCCAGGAGGTCGATGGAATACACGCGGAACCCCGCGTCCGCCAGGGCCGGCATGTTTTGGCGCCAGTGGTCAGCGTTCACAAACCTCAGAGCCACGGAAATTGGCGTCATGTCTCCAGTTGGGAATCCTGAAACTTCTAGCAGTACCTCCCATTTTTCTCAGGGATGCGTTGTTTTCAGAACATCGCCCAGGGCACCTATCCCAAAGGTAGGGGCTTGAGCCCAAATCTATGCTAGCCACGGGGGACAAACAAAATATACACACAAGTTCTCCTGAATGTTTCACAGTCGTGGGAATAATAGCATGCGGAATCCATTACACATGTTGTCAAAAGACAGATCAGGGGTGTTGCACGGACAATGTCACAAAAATTGAGGTGTGTTGTCAGAAGACAACGGACATACCCATTGTGCTCTTATGGTTTCAGGGTTCCATTTTACTGACTAGGTAGTCTCAAACGCGGGAATTGGCCCCAAAGCAATACTGGATTGAAAGGGTTGCCCAAGAATATAAAGCAGAGTCCCATTTTGGGCTACCCCAAAGAAGAGGCTTAAACGCAGGGCTGCCCCTTCTGGGGCAGGGTCTAAAAATGGAACCCTGAAACGACCAACTGGCGCGATGTGCACTTGCTGAAGGTTCAGTTGCAGCTCCCTGGCGGTTAAGGATTACCTTGGGCGCCACACCTTCAAACAAGAAACCAGAGCATTCTCCAGGGCAAACGTTGATATCAACTTCATGGTCCAAATGACGGACTGCAACTGTTGGAGGTCCAAAGAAGCTGAACAAATTGAGAGACTCCTACTTGCTTTCAAAGTGCTCCATATATGTCCCCTTAAACATCCAAGGGAACTCGCCCATGTACGAAACAAGTAAAAATTAAAAGACATGGACATATGTGGAGCGACCTTGTTGACTTCTTCTTTTTCAGACCCCCGCCCGTTTCAGTTGAGGTACAGCCCATGCACCAGCAGCACGCTGGGCCCATCGTTCTCTTCCCCCAGCGCTTGGTACCGGATGCCTCGGCTTGCCCCTGGTCACATGGCTGTGGGCCAAAAGAGCAAAACACCCCTCTACCCCTCAGATTCCCTTATAAAATGGACGTATCTGGCTGTGCATCAAAAAACCGGTACCAAGATGGAACCCTGGTAAGAGGAAACATGGACCAAACCTGCGTAGACCCTCCTGTTTAATTTTGAGCCACACCCATCTGGGTTTTGACCCACACCCACCAAGACATGGTCAAAGCGCCCCTGGGCAAAAGGCAAAGGGCACCCTTCTAGCGGAGATTGGCACGGAACTCAAACAACCTCGTTTGTTGGGATATAGCCAAACCGTCCACCAACAAAAACATTCAAAGAAATTCAACCACGGGACCTTCAAAGCCTTCGATGAAAAGGGAACCTTCAATTACTTGGGTGTCATTCACAACCCTCAACCAACCCTACTCTCACGATGGAGTGTAATACAGGGTGGTCTTCTGATTATGCTTGGCATACCTCCAAGAGGCATCAACAATTTATAGCGGGCATGCACTTGTTCAACTGTGTCATGACTGGACCACTCTGTGAACCCCAGTACGCCTTTTATGGTCTAAACGGCATGCGGTTGCCACCGAAGGGCCAAAAATGGCAACCAAATTCCTTGTTTGAGTTCGTCGTGGAGCAAAATTCAATGGAACCAAAGACCAGCCATGGGGTGCCTTCTCGGAGCGCGCTTTGGGTCCTACGATTGCTGTGCTACAAATTTGTCGCTTTCTGGAGCTCGTACTCTTTATAAGGTTGTTTCAAGGGGAAACCACCAGGAAGCCAATCAACTGAGGGTTCCATGTCCTATTGGTGAACCATTCAACAACTCCCCCCCCCTTACCAAGCACAGGGATTTTGTGTGCGCTCTGAGAAAGTTGCGGTTGCCAACAACTTCAGGGGCACAGGGAAGATACCTCAAACAATCGCAAGGGATGGAAGTCCGGCCGTTACTCGATTTGGGTTGCCGCTCTCGAGATGGATCTAACTTGGAGACACACGTCTAATGAGCGAAAGGCCATGATTGGAGTGCATAAATTGCGCAAAGGCGGAAATCCATTTTTGGGGGTCCCGCATCCTACTTAGATACAAACCTCCATAGTTGTGAAGCATAACCCTTTCCGCAATGCTGCGGATCCTTTTGCCACTAAGGGATGCCTTGGCCACTCACAGAAAGTGGCACCGAAAACCCAATTTTTCCAGTCGCGCGAAAGGCGACTTTAAAAGAATGGTTGACCCGATCTAGATGATGCAACTCCTTAGGTAAACAACAGTGGTTGTGTGGAAGTATCTTCTTTGAGGGCACCCGTTTCAACGGGGGTTTTTAGGGGAAAGCGGGAAAAACACCACCATTTTGGACCCCCCAACAAGACACGCCCATCTTCACCCCCATTGTTTGAACGGAACCCAACTCCCAGGACCTCAGAGCGCGCCAAAAGGCGCTGTCCACGCCACTGCCAGAATCGATTGCGGATGCCCTGTGGGTTGGTCTCCGGGATGTCGGAGCGCCCCGCCTGTCGCGGAAAAAGTGGGCTCCAAGGAACAGCCCTAGGGCTCAAGACGATCGTCTGAAACAATGGGGGGGTTGGGGTTGGGGGGATTCGAAGTACCATGGAAGAATGGTTGGGTGAATTTTACCACCATTGTTCAGCCTTCAGGAGTTTCCTGATCTAAATTTGGTCCACCATTCTTGGGGGGGTTGAACCCTGGGGCGTGCCTTTTTTGGAAGGTCCCCTGCGTGGGTTGTTTAAAGAGGAAGTCAACACACCGGACAGCACACAATTTTGTGTGGGTTTCTGATCTTGAAACAAACCTACTGGGTACCCGAGCCCCCAGCGGAGGTTGACTGGGGGGCGGGGCCATCCTAGTTGGGTCACCTACCTCATAGGAAGCTCCACAAAAAGTTGGCCCTTGTTGGCCATAGTCGTTCTTCCCAAGCGGAACACTCACAAGGCTTGCCTCTGCTCTTTCTCTTTGCTGGGCTGTCCTCAGATCCCCTGCTACAAGCTAAACTTCTAGTGGATTGCATGGAAACCCCACTAAACCCTGAAAACCTAAAAACCTACGGGGCTGGCTGGGAACCGCCAAGTCCGGGGCTTCATGACAGGTGCAACCGCCAGGTGTTGCGACCACTTGGGCGCCAATGAACTGCAAGGCTTGGCCCTTTGAGTCTGAGTGGGTTGGTTCTGAAACGGGAAGTGCTTGAGATTGAGCGGCAAATACAACTCCAGCTCGTATGAGCCACGGTCTCAATGTGCAGTTCCCGTGAGGGAAATTGGAAAAATCGTGAGTCCAATGGACGTATGTGGAAAACTTCGCGAGTGTTCCATGTCCCAAACCCGGATTGACTATAAGCAAGCCAGGATTTGTCCACCAAATCTCACCCCTCCAAGTGGAATCCATGTCCACTTTCGGGGGAGAACTGGGACTTTTCTCTGCAAGAGGGCCTTCGTTTTGAAAAGACAACAGTCTCATCTTCAGATGGGTGATTCTCAAAATGATGGTTCGCTAAGACAGTTGGCTTCTTTTTAACCAACCAAAAGGGGGTCCACCAGTTGGCTATGAATTATGTTGGTTAGTGGACACGAATATCCACCAAAGGGCTCCCCTATTATCATTCACATCCATTTTGAGAAACCCCCAGATCACCAATCGAGCGGTGACCCTCAGCCGTGTGCCTGTGCGCGCAGTCTATGTCTGGGGGTGGTGCTGCGTCTTGGGGATGACACAAAGACCACCGGCGCCGCAAACAGGAGGGCCTCACCGCAAAGTGGCCAACTGGGCCACACACACACACACACGTTTCTTTTTCTCCGTTCCCCTTTCATTTTGCTTGGTGACGAGAACCAAGGGGAAACGCCCCAGAAACCCGCCCAGCAAAGTGGGGCATCTCGAAAATGGGAGTTGGTGCCCTTTCTGGGGCTTCAAAGCAAAGCCCGCGGGAAATCCCTTTCCGTGCCGGCCATTCAGCCTTGGTGGTGGCTCACCTTGCAACAGGGCAACTCCTTTCGCGTGGCACTCTTCGGCTGAAAAAACAAAACCGATGGGTCTCATGAGCCCGTCGAAAGAGAGATTTGCCGTTGGCGCTTCTGGGGGGAACACCGCCTTCTGCTGACAGCGAAGCGATGAAAAAAAACACGGCCGGGGGGGCGGGGCAAAACCGAGGCCGGTTTTAGTTTGGCAGCCCTTTCCGAAAAAGAAAGAGCAGCCGAGAGTCGGCAATGAGCCGCCGAAGAATTCGCGCCATTGCTTTGAGCAAGGCAGGGAAAATGGAAAATTGGAGGCTTTGTTTGACTCACTGAGTGGGGGGGGTTGGCTGCCATGTGCAGCGAGATTCGAGGTTGCCCAGGGAAGGGGGTACAGACTCATATGAACTACTCCGGCTTATAGCCTTTCATGGCTCGAGTTCTTTGGAGCCGCTGCAAAGTCACATGGTCTCAAAACGTGCCGACCCGATTGTGCATGCTGCGGATGGACGAAATCCTGCACCACCCAAGCAACCCTGGAATGATGATTCACCGAGAAAATCCTAACTTTCCCATGGTTTCCCATGGTTTCCAAGTGGTGCAGGATTTCGGATTTCGCAACCATCCACCAGGGCCTACCTTTTGACGCCTGAGAGGCGTAGTTGGGTCTTACGGATCTGAAGGCGAAGCCTTATCGGCCACCAAGCTGACCGGACCAAACCCCACCAAAAATAGAGGCTCAACTTTCTCCTCGCCTGCTCAGTTGTATACAGTGTATCCCAGTGGATGCTTCTTGGCCTGGTCACTGGAAGCTACTGTGCGAGTTCTCTGCGCAAACACCTCTCTTTTAGCCGGATCATGCAAAGGAAAACGGGCATCGATCATGCTAGCCCTTGGTCTTTGCAGCAACCCAGTGGATCCCAGTCACCATAGTGGGTAGATGGGTCACCCACCATAGTAGCAGTTGAGAGCACCGGGCAAAGCTTCCAGCAAAGGGCTAAAACCCTCCAGCCGCGTCTGGATCTGATCTATTTGCGGTTTCGCTCCTTTGCTCGAGGCCTTCTGCCTTGCAATCAGTGCACAAATTCTCCATGCAATGGAGCAGTACGCATTGCATGAATACGTTCAAATGCAACTCCGGCCACTCGGATTTATATGTCCTACGTGTCTTTTTTTGGGGAGGGCCTCGTTTACAGTACATGGGGATTCAAGTCCATCAACCATTTTGGAGGGTCTTCCTTGAAAATCAAACCATACGGGACCTCAAAACATCCTAGGGCTCCCCGACTGCTGTCAATTCACCTCATTTGTCACTTGACTCCTTGCTCGCCAACTGTTGCAGAATGTATCCGGCGCTTCATGCAAACCCGTCGAACCGGCTGGCCACCTCATAACTCCTCTGTCTGCCTGTGGGCTTGCAGGAAATCCGGATACGTGTCCAAATGGGGGGGGGGTACCCCAAAATGGTGGCTTTCCTTTTGGTTTCCCTCAAACCCATCTGAGGGTTCCTTCGCCTCACAAAAACACGACACACCCATATCTCGTGCCGGGGACCAAGCACTAGCGAAAACCTAAACGCAGGGGTGGCTCACACTTGAGCCAGGGGACAAAGTTGGTTCATTGGAGTGCGTGCCTCTTTTTTGAGTGTACCCTTGTTGGGCGTACTTTAAAGACAACCAAAGGGAAACCACCCGTTTAAGTGTCCACTAAAAAAAACGCTGACCACACCCATGTTCTTATACAACTGAGGATTGCGCGTTCGAGCCACAGCCAAATGTGCGCGATTTATCTTCAGACCACCCTTTGGGCGTGCTGGCAAAGAGAGACAAAGGGGAAACCGGCTTGATCCTCGGAACCCTTTAAAGGCAGCCCGGGCTGATCCCCATCTTTGTATCCCAGTTTGATCCGTATCCCCGTTGATGCCGGCAGTCTCCGGGATGAATACATCAGAACACATAAAGATACATTGCATATGTTCAATGAATACATGGTGCTAAGAATTCAGCATCCTATCCAAGGCGAAGTCAATCTATTGTTCAACAAACCGATTTCAAAGGGACAACCCTGCCCAGCGTTGCCTCATAAGCCGATCGGATTGGCTGCAATTGGGTCTGGTTTCTCGAAAGCTCAAAGGACCCTTCCGATCTATGACGGCTTTTGGTTGACCAATGTCATTTGGGTTGCCCCTATGACCAAGCAACTTGACGCCAAGAGGCAAGTTGCCAAAAATTGCGGCACGCCTGTTAAAGATCTTGCCGGCCACCGACACCAGCAGCTTCTCCCATTCGCGCTCTGATCGCGGCGAGAGGTACCTCGCTCATTTGAACTGTGGGCGTTAAAGGGAAATCCATAGGCAACCACCATGTGGGGGGGGTGCCCGTATGCTAAGACACGACCAATTGTTTATGGCACCTCCCGAATCTCTTTGGTTCAAATTTCAGTTACAATCCAAGCACGGCCATACCCTGTCGGACTGGTCTCCTTGGCTCCCCGTGGGCTGTGCGGGATTCTCAGGTTTGCTTGAAGGGAAGAGGAAAGTCACCATTTTGAGGGGGGTCCAACCAAATTTTGACACACCCTAGCTGAGCCGCTGAGTTGACTCGCCGAGAAATTGCATGAGAACTTGTTGCGGTCCTTAACTCAAATGATGAAGATCCTCCCACAAAATGTCTCAAGAAGCGAGCTCTAGTCAATCCATATTGATTTGCAATCCGCTGTCATCAAACAATCGCGTTGCTGTCATGGTCCTTCAGCTTGGGCTTAGACCACATCTTGGACCTCTTGAAAAGGGAAACTCTGAATGTGGTTGTCTCAAATTTGGGAGCCACCAAGATGGATAGCGTCTATTTGGTCTTGCACCAACTCCAAAGAAGGACAGCAAAGGCGCTACCAGTAGCTATTGATATGTTGGAAGTCTAGTAGCCCTCGGTGCTTCAGCGGGGAATAGGGATCCCTATATGTCCATCCTATAAGCGTCACGAGCAAACTCAGGTCAAATTGCTTTCCGGATTTCGTTCAAAACCACCAAAAGACGGAAAATGGGGGGGGGACGTTGAGGGCTGCGTGCACCAAATCGTGCAGCGGGGTTGTGTCACAAATGATGGACGCCCTTGGGTAGTTCAAGGAAACCAATAAGGAACCGACAGTTTAGGGGGTCCCTTACTTTGACATGCCCATTTGAAGACAATGCCTTTTGAAGACAAACCCGACTCAAGGAACCACCTCGAACCAACCCCTATGCCGACCTCGCTTCGCGCTCCCGCTTCGGCTCGACAGAGGGCACTCGTCGGCCTTCACCCCGTTCTTTGCAGCCAACGTCCGCATGAAGTCCTTGCAAGCCGCCCCTCCCTTTTCGCCTTGGAGAAGCAAACCCGGGATTTTCGGGCTGAACCATGAGAAAATTGGAAGCGATGGCAAGGTCGGTACAAAACAAACATGCGGTGGTCCGTTGCCCAACAATGTCCCTCCCAAAGGACCATAGACTACCCCCCGCTTTTTTGTCCAACCAAACCTCATATATATATATATATATATACATATATATCACTTTGGAGAGCTGCCAATTTGGGGGTTTCGCAAAATGTGACACGGTTCCCAAAAAAAAGCCGGTTTCCTTTTGGTTTCCATCCAAATATCAACCAGGAAGGGGTCCACCGTTTTGAGAAACCATTTCCGCAAGAAGGCTTTCTTGCAAGGAAAACCGAAAACCCACCGGCACCGTCCTCAATCTGGAGCTTGTCTGGGGAGGCCTGACGGGCACTGGCCGAAAGGGGGGAACCCAAGCCCCCCCCCCACCCCTCAAGACTCATTCCCCAGGGATCCTTACATTATACACCTGAACATTGCCTTGTAAATGGTGGTTTCCCTTTATTTTGGTGGAAAAAGCCATGTTTCAAATGGGCAAAATGTATCTGTTAAGGAGCCCTGTTCCCTGAATGGATTTGTTTCCCTTGCCTCTAGCTTGGTATTCCCTCCAATTAGAGTTGACACACTCCACTGTTTTTTGGGCGCAGAGGAGAGCGTTATAGAATCTTGTGATCCAACAGGCTCCTGGTGCATCGGAAACCTCGCGGTGGGGCGGGGGGGGGGCGATTTGGTCGTGCCCCGCCTTTGGCTTCTCGGCCTCAGTCTTCTCCTTCTTCCTGGCGCGTATCTGATCGGGCGGTGCTCCATCCTTCGGCGACCATTTGGCTCAGAAATTGAGGTCTGGCAAGGGGGCCCAGGGAACCCTTGACCCATTTTAGACGCAACTGGTTTCTCAAAATAGGGGTCCCCTTCAGAGTTGGTTGGCTTCCTCTTGGCTTCCCTTCAAACACAAACCAAAAAGGGGGTTCGAATGAGATGCTAAGCAACACAACCGGTTTTGATCATAGTAAGGCTCGGAGCTCTGGCCAAGTTCGCAAAGACATCAAGAAGCTTTCCCCGGAGAAACTGTGCACCTCGTCTCCAACAACCCAAGTGGTCAGGGGCTTGAACTAGTACCGTCATCTTACAGGGTGCCACGATTGTTGGAAAGATGCTCTTTTTCACTTTCTCGGCAAAACACTTTCGGACAGGCGTCTCGCAATCCTCGATGCGTCTGATGAGACTGCAAAAAAATGCGAGGAAACAAATAGAAAACGATATCATGATTCCCAAAGCCAATCAATGTCTCTCGCTGTCTCTTTTCCAGTGTTTACTTTATGGTTGGGTAATTTCTGGAATTAAGTTCAAGGGACTGGACCTTCTCTATCTCATCCACTTGCTATCGCATTGGGTCTGCTGGAAAATTATGATGGATGCACACAACTAAACAAGACATAAAAACACAACTAAACAGCTAGACAGGCAAACAGAAAACACTAGAAGAAACACCTATCGATAACAATGACAACACTAAGAATCAATAATAATGAGACAAAACAAAAAGAAAACACCCCGATGAATGGTCTGTGATTCTTAGCGCATGCGCCCACTCCTTTTTGCCGATGCGACTCAGCCGCGTGGCTTCGGATGGGTTGGACTGCGCGGTCTTATGGACGCCACGCTAGTCGGAAGTGATTCCTTTTGCAAACATGGCTTCTCTATCTGCTACACAAAAAGCTGAGGAACCAAATTAATATATCATTTACCTCATTTCCCCTCGAAACTCATCCGAGGGCGGAGCTTTTTAAGAACCCCGCTTCCTCCTATGCCTTCACCGGGAGCCCACTCGCCGAACCTTCGAGTGCGCTTGCTTCCTCGGATCGATCTTTGCGGTTTCGACAGCCTTCCGCAGGGATCGTTCTCTTCAAGAGATCGGCCAAACCCCTGGGAAAATGTGTGGTGTCCAAAAAGAAAGATGGGTGAAGAGAATGGGGAATCGACCCTTAGAACCTTAAAACATCACCCCTAGCGGGCCAAAGAGGTGATGCTTTCTACCACCAAAAAGAGAAATATATAGCTGAAAAACAAACTCACAGAGGTGGCGCTGAATAACGGGGAGCCCCAAAGGGCTGGCTTGCCTCAGAAAGGAATGAACCAATGTCGCCGGATCACACAGCGTATAGGGGGTCCCCCAAAAAGCGATCCAAATCCCCTCTTGAGTGGTGTCGTGGCTTTGGTCCCATGATTTCAGGGAGCTCATCAAAGACTTTTTGTCACACTTGACAGCCCCCCCACCGAATTCCTCCAAGTGAAGCCCTAACCACTCCATCCAAAGTGATCTCAATGGGAGAGCCCTGAGCTGTAAAAGGGAAGCGCTCAAACAAAACGTGATCTTAAAGGGCAACCCACTTAAACACAAAATGGGCGTGAATTTCAATTGGGGTACCCTTTTTTGTGGACATCCACATGTCTACCCAGCACTCTTGGGAGTGGTTCCTGACCAAAATTCACAGGGCCAGGGTCTGCGTCTCGTTTTCGCGCCGTCGCCGCGGCGGGCGGCGGCGCCACGCTGGGGCCCCGGGCTTCTTCTTGTTCTCTCGCGCTTGCTTCAGCTTCTGCTCGCGCGCCCGCGCCTTCATGCCCTGCGGATCCAAGCCTTGAGTGCCTAGGGGGTGCTGTATACTTGGCCCACAAAAACGGGGTACACGGAAATGGCGTTCTGGATCTGGTTCATACTTGGTCGACCCTAAAATATGGAATAGTTCCGGAGTTGGAATTCCGGGAGTGGTTGAAAGGGAAACCACGAGGATACCGAAGCTTGCCCGGGCTTCTGGGAGGTAGACCGTCACTTGCAACAGAAGTGCATGTTGCGCCCACTTCATTCTTTTGTGGGGTTGTGGGTAGATCCCTTCAATAAATATCAAATTTGATTGTGACTCATTTGGTCGTTTGCCTCCTGCTAGGGGCTTCCTTGTTTCGCTTTCAAACCCCAGCATATACTTGAAGCAACCCTGATTTTTTTTTGGGGGGGGGCATGGCCGAAGTGGTGGTGTGTCTTTCTGCTTTGAGACCAAAAAAAAAAAACGGTATTCCCCACATCACCCAAACCGCCCCGTGGCAACGGTTTTGGTCTCGCGACCCACAGAAACCTCCAAAAGTTCCGAGCGCTTCGCGCCTTCACCACGCCCTTCTTGGCGCCCTTCACCACCTTGGCAAAGGTCTCTGTGGCCTTGGTCTTGAACTTCTCCTTGGTGACCTCTCGCTGAGTCGAGAGCCACGCGGCGGTGGCGTTGACCGTTTCGGGGGGGGGGGGTGAGCGCGTCTTCCGGCAAGACGTGTGTCCGGGAGAAGGAGCGGTGGTACCCTTTAAAGGGAAGCCACGCGGAAAATCATCCAGTACACCCCTTTGCATCCAAAACAACACCTTTACAACGGATCCTCATCAGCGTATTTGGTCTCGTTGAAGTATTTTTCGGCCCAAGCCCTGGAGACATGACCCTTCTTGGGCTCATGTATAGAGTTGAAATCTAAACAGGGGTGGTTTTGGGAAAGAATCCAAAGGCAAACCAAAGCCCGGTTTGGGGGTTCTCCGAGGTCCTCTTCTTGGAGAGACGCCAGAAGGAAACCACCACTCAACCCCAAAGAAACTGACCATTCTTGAGGATCGCCCCCATTAAACATCACCAACCTCTCCCAAAGCGATGCTCAAAGCCCTTCAAAAGGTGATAAGCCCCATTCCCTTTGCTTTTCTTTGAAAGCTACCAACTCTACACACCACCCATTTCAACAAAAAGGGATCTATTCCTGGGTGAGGGAACCCTTTAATCAAAAAAAATGGGAAGGTTTCCTCTGAGGTTCCCTTAAAATGTCAAACCTTTCGTGCTTCCTTTGGGTTTCACCCCATTCACAAATCTCACAAGGCTGAACTATCTTCCTCCGCACTCGGCTGGAGAATTTGAAACACACGTGCGGCAACTGGGGACTGGTTGGGGCCCCCCCGAGCCCAGCTTCGAGCGCGGAAAGCGAACTTCCTCTGCGCGCGGCCCAACTTCCTTCCCTCGAACCTTCTCCAACAAAACGAAGCCCCTCCGGCTTCCGGCTGGTCCGGCTTTCCCCGCCTTGGGGTTCAGGCGCACGTAGGCGTAGGGCTCCAGCTTCGAGCCCTGGCCACGGCTTCGTGGCTTCTCGTAGGAAATCGGCCAAAGGAAACCGAAAGGAAAACGAAAAACCGAAAGGAAACCACACAAGCCATTTTTGGGGGCTTCCCCGATTTGACACATAGGCAAAATACATGCTTCTGTGATACCAAAGTGCTTCTGTGAAAACCCCATCCCACTGCTTTATCACGTGAAAAGGATTCCCTCTTGGCATCCCAGAAACTGGCCCCTAGCCCCCACAACCATGATTCCACGGTGCATCAAAAACATGTTGCAACGGACCTCCCTGACAGTCACCGCAAGCGGTGCTTCCCGAGAGGAAACCATGGACTTGCACTATTGGGGTTGCTTCTGTTCAAAGGAACACACACACACACACCAGCTAGAAAACAGACCAAGAAAAGGAAATCAAACAAAAGTGTGAAAGTCAGTCTTCCCCCCCTTCCCGCCTTTCGCTTGGCGTCACCTTGAGCCTTCTTCTTGCCAGGCTTGAAGCTGTCCTCTCAAGGATCGTGGATTTCCCTTTGCGCTCAATGCACTTCAGCAAGCGGAGGTTTGGGCGGGAGTCTCTTGTTTGGTCACAAGTGCATTTCCGTGATCTTGGAATGTGGTTGCAGGGCAAAGTACTGCAAGCCAGAAGTAAGGAACACCCACATAATCCCCTCTTCGAGCTTGATTTACCCCAAGTTGCCCCAGAACAATTGTGGAAGTGGACCAGGAGCCTTCTCAAGACGATGGCAGTCTTCCACAGCACTCCGATCGTGCACTTCCATGATTGTTGGAAGGCGGTAGGCAACTTCAGATTATTCCGGACCATTCTCGCCAGAGAAACTCCCCTAACATTGCTGATGTGTTCAACTAAAGAACGCACCAATTTGGGGGGTCCCCTACAAACAGACACACCCACGAGTGTGGGGTTGGGGTCTTCCCGCAGCGTACAGCTGAGGCGTTCAGACTCTAAGCTTCCGGCCATGCCCTTGATGAGATGCACGCCCTTCCTGGATGGCTTGAAAGGAAACGGGGAGCAAATTCCAAAAAGGGCCCAGGTTTCATGTGAATGTTGACCCAACCTCGTGGGGTTGCTCCACGGACGTCCAGTGACCCCTCAGGAAAGGTCGATTCACTCCGTCCTACCGTATCAACTATATCAAAGGCAGCCAGGAAGCCATCCAAAAGAGAGCCAGTTTTGAGGCGCGAACACCGAACTCGCGTGATCCAAAGCGACACAAACGAGTCCTGGCAGCCTTCGCTTTGGCCTTGGCCTCAGATCACACGTCTCAAACAGCTTGACTGCAAAGACCGTGGCAGGGAAGAAGATTGGACTCTACCCTTACGGCTCCCCACAATTAGGCTACCAAGGATTTCCACTCGGCAGTGTCCCCCAGTTGCCTGGTGTGAGAGCTACCTGGAAGCACAGGGTCACGTTTTGGCCATCGTTTGGCTTGCTCCCGAGACGCCGAAGGGATATTATTCTCTAGTGACACCAATTGAGTCAAAATCAGAACCTGGTATACCCGAAACCACATGTAAAGAACAAAGGATGCTCTCCGATGGTTGAGACTCCGCCCTACCAACCTGCAACACACATGCCTTCCCCCTAGAAAGATACACGCACCTTTCTCAAACATATTTTTCCCCAACCCCCAAATCTCCCAACACTGAGTTACAATTAGCCAATACTAAACCAATTCGAGGCCAGCAAAGTTCCTGCCAACCTCCAGTCTCATTAGAAGACATTTTAGAAGTGTCACTAGACCAGTAAAAAACCAATACTAAACCGCTACTTAAAAAAATGCTAGACAAAGCGTTAAACAGCACAAAACCAACACATACTTCGATGTCTGCTTGATCCTCTTGCTCGGAAATTGCCGATTCGGGCCCGCAAAGGGCGGACCCCATTTGGACGAGGACCGTAGCGGATGTTTTTGGGGCACACATGTACCCATCAATAAATAGCGTTCCTCCCTGGCAAATATATTTCTGCGGCGAATCCATATTTGTCTTTGGGGGAAGTGATTAGGGTTGAACCGCCCTTTTCCAACAACAAATGTGTTGTTTTTGCAAAGTACCCCGCTAACATGCTTGGTCTTGATATCGTGGTATACGGTATACCCATGTCCCTTCGAGGTGGAAACCTTGCCTCGATCCGATCTGCCGCTTCCCTGCTCGCCTCTGCGCGCGCCTTTCGTTGCTGCGCCAGCTGCGACAACCTGAGCTGCCCCCGGCAATCCTCTCTGGGTGTGGAGCTTGCCGATTCGCGGGTAAAACGAGCTCACCACCCAAGAAACCCTGGAGTGATGATTCCCCTGTAAATACCAACAGGCAATGGTTTCCTATGGTGTCTTGGGTGGAGCAGGATTTCGTCCATCCACAGCAGGTCCTTTGCTGATCCTGTACTTCAGGGTTTACATGTTGTGACATGTGCAGATGCATGGCTCGGTGCGTGGGAACACTTCCTGTACCGGACTTCGAAAAGAGTCACAATCAAAACAAAACCTGGTGTTTCAGGATCTTGCCAAAGCCAGGTCAAGATAAAAATGAGCAGTTATCCCTACCTATGGTTGGGACTCCACTCATCTTCAACTACCCGAATCGTTTTTGATAGGTGTCAGGATTCTTGGCGGTAGAAGAGGCTTCCCTAAAAACATGCCTACAGCCACAACCAAAATTTGCCTTTTGACCCTCCAGAAGTTGCAACAAGACCACTCAATTTGGAATCGGCACCCTTTCCTCCTTTCAGGTTCTGTTCATTCCTTGCATTTGAAAGGCAAATGCCTCTGGTCACGACATGCTCCTTTCTGCTTTCTGGACTGATGGGATCGGACGTGCATCGGACGGGACCCCCGGCGCTCTGGGCTTCTCTGTGCCGTGGGTGAACTCCTTAAACCCTTCTTTGCCTTCCTTCTCCTCAGGCCGATGGTTGGGGTAGGGGTTCGGCGGTTTGGCTTCTTGGGCTTGGGGTTGAAGGTGGTCGTTTCCGGAAATCAAACAACCCAGGTGTGATTGAGATTGGGAGTTGCCAACTGGTGGAGAAGAGGGGCGGGCCCAGTTTTTGTTCACCTCCAAGAGCTCCAGCCTGCGCCCTCAAAGAAGGACCTGGTTTGCAACCCCGAAAAGAATCACCAGTTCCAGGCACTGGAATCTGTGTCTCTGAGCAGCTTGCGGTATCTCAAGGGGGCTAGCCATGCAAACCAACTGTAAACTGGGTACATGAGTGCATTTCAAAGGACAATTACTTGGGGGATGCCAAGGGCCCATGCATTATGTTTGGAGACAGGGAGCCCTGGCAGGATGGGTCAATGGCTCATTTTGGTACGCGGGGTACCAAATAGTTAGTCTACCTAAAAAGTAAAATACTGTAGTTCTGGAGGAGACACAAGTACTGTTGGCCCCGGTTTTGTCTAAACCCTTCCATTTCTTGAGGGGGGTGTCCCCTCCAAAAGTGATGAATCCCCACTAAAAGGCGGTTCCCATACTTCCGTTTGCTCAAGCCCCCCGGAAAATGATCAGACAATCTACCCAGTGAAGAACCATCCTTCGAAACCAAAAACGATTACTCTTAAGCAAACACAAGCGTAGGGAAACCAAAAAGCGAGTAGAGCTCTCTGCTCGAACGCGCCCCGCGCCTCATGGGTCTCGTCCACCACTAGGCGCCCGTCTGTGGCGAAGCGCAGACCACTGCGCCGCAGAGCGTCCACCTGGAAAACGCCCACGACAAATGCGGCGCCGCGACTTGAGCGCGCCACGGTCAAAATTAATTAGTTGTTTTACTTGTTCAAACTAGCTCTTGCTTGATGGGAACATGTCTTTGTTGGTGTTTCTTGGCGGAATTCGACAAATGCAAAGGGTGGGCTGCGGATGTAACAGGCCAAACGCACCAATCTGCCGTGGCTTAACGGATATGGCCCTGTTTTGGACTTGCGGTTCCGGAAAGATTTGGATTCCTGGGTTCAGAATGGAGAACCTCCCGCTATGACCCACTTCAGCCCAAGCAGAACCCAAACCTGTTGATAGGGCCGCCATCAATTCGAGGCAAGGCAGGCCAAAGATCCAAAATTTAGGGACATGCGCCCTGTTCATCAGATCTTAGAACTATCATACCCAGGTCGACAAAAAATTGGCCGGTTCGCCTTTTAGACTGCATATAAAAATTGTCTTCCCTTGCACTCGCCTAAAACGGGTACCCTCACACGCACACAAAGACACATTCACCGCCCCAGGACTTGAGTCCCCAGTCGCTGGCCTTGTTCTCAGCACCGGCACCTCCAACCTGGCAGAGACAATCGAGACGTGGGTCATAGCCATGGCCCCAACGGGAGCTTCGACCATGGCATATGCAATGAGTTGCTTACGTTTGGGCTACGTCTGGAATAAGTCATTCCAAAGCAAAACCTGTCCAACAATCATGGAACTGACAAACGGGTTTTGGAAGACTAGGTTCTCTTGAAAAGGATTCTAGTCCACTTCCATGACTGTTGGTAAGAGGGCTGGTTGGTATCAAGAAACACTTGTTGTTTGCCTTGTTCTGGAGATCAACGAACAACTCAAACTTTGACATCAACAGAAAATCAGGCATCAAAAAAAATGCATGCCGCCAAGGGCCGGAAAATAAGTCAACACACATCTTGCATCCTCAGAATCACCAGCAAATGCACTCATATGGATGGAGTGTGTTTGAGGTTAGCTTACGCTGAGAATGAGCGTCTTTGGGTGGGTTGATGCTGGGTTAGTATTGCGGTTGGTATTGAGTTGGTTCAGGGTTGGTGTAGCATAGCTTTGGCATGGGTTTCTTGGTTCAGGCCGACATGAAGTAGGCTTTGGGTGGGATCCGGTTTTGTCGTTCGGATGCGAGTAGGGTCGGTTTAGGGTTGGAAAAATGCTGAATGGAGGTGGTGTAGCCTGGATGTTTGGTGTAGGAATGAGTGAGGAGGGTTGGTTCAACCTTGGTTCAGGGTTGGTTTAGGGCTTATTGAGGGTTTGTTGGGAGGTTGGGGTTTAGTTGAGATTGTTGCTTGGGCCAGCTTACCGACTGCATCGACCCTCCTTCACACCTCGCCAGAAACGGGACCATCCGAGCTCTAAGACTCACGATTGGCATGCCATGGCGATTCTTCAGCACGTGGCGGGGGGTCCCTTCGTGCGGGTCTCCCTCAATCCCTTCCTCCTCCCTTGCTGTGGTGGGCACAATTGTTAGGTGGGCATTTTTGTGTGCATCAACCGCTTTTGAAGGGGTTTTTGTGCTGAAATTCAGTTGCCATGTAGGTAGTGCCTTCACAGCCCATGCAACTTCAGAAAGTTTCAAGCGCTTCCCCAAGGCAAAGTTGTGTGTGTGTTCCAACTTTGAGTTCCATGGTGGGGTGTTTTCACAGTGGGGCTGGTGGATTGGCATTAAACGAAACGACTTGCCTGACTACGATATTTTGCGCATTAAACAACAATTCTGGGACACGCAATGACTTTGCGATCAAACATCATCCCGGCTTAGCTAAATTTAAGAACTCGTAAACGTATAATTCTCAAAAACGCGCGAGGTGGGGCGTACGGGGTGTTTTTGAAGCAACGAGCGCGTGGACGGACGAGTTGACGAGTAGACGGACGAGCGCACGGACGAGTGGACGGACGAGTGGGCGGATGGACGGACGGACGGACGGACGGACGGACGCACGGACGGACGGACGGACACGCGCGCGTGCGCGGCGCGCACGCACGCACGCACGCACGCGCGCACGCACTCGCGCACGCACCCTTCCGTACAGAAATAAGGGCAGAAATAAGACCATTTTATGGTCTTAAACAAGGTCTTATTTCTGTACGCGCGGGCCCGTACAGAAATATGACCTTTTTTAAGACCATAAAATGGTCTTATTTTTGCCCTTATTTCTGTACGGACGGGTGCGTCCGTGCGTGCATCCGTCTGTGCGTCCGTCTAACCGCACACTCGTCCGTCCACTCGTCCGTCTACTCGCGCGTGCGCTCGCACACTCGTACGTTCACCCGCTCGCTCGCCACCGCGTTTCCCTCGCGCGCCACTTGCCCAGGTTTCCTGGGACACGCGATGACTTTGCGATCAAACATCCTCCCCCCAAAAAAATCACACCCACCCGTTCCATCTCGCGCCTTTGATCCTCGGATCCTCTTTGACGGAGGTGCGCGAACCGTGAGCACCTCCGCTTTGACGTGGGAGTCACAGGCGGATGGTGTGAACGCATCTGGGGGTCTCTCTCTCAACAGGTTCCCCTTGAAAAGGTTGGTGTTATTTTGGGTTGTGGCCCTTAACATGCCAACCAAAAGGATTGAACAAATCCATTATATGGCTATGTGTCAGAATAGGATGCCCCAAATGGTCCGTGTTCCTTCCCAATATGAACAGTCTGCCAAAGGGTCCATTCCGCAACAATACCCATGTGCGGACGTCGCTTTTGCGGAACAACCCTCACATGGTTTCATTCATGGGTGTGTCGCAAAATCATTGTCCAAAACAACACATGGCTTCCGTTGGTTTTCTTGTTAACAGACGCAGAGGAGGGGCACGGATGAAACAGGATTGTTGCGATGCAGGAGCCACTTCGACTCTCGCTCCATCGCTCTCAGCCGTCCGCCGAATGGGCTGCGTCCGCCGACATGAAATCCAGAGGCACGTCCCCGTCTTCTTGGATCCAAGTGGAGGCCTCGGAAAAAACCCGCGAAATCGGTCCAACAGACTTGCAAAAAGAGCTCTGGCCGCTGGTGGCGTTCAAAAGGTGAAAAAGGTGGGCTAAAATTCACAACAGCTAAGACATGCTCCTATGGTGGTCGATGTCACAGCCAGGCACCTCCCCCCTTGGATTTCTAATGGGGAAGCATAAGCATGAAACCCAGGCCCGTATCTGACAACACCATTCACATGAGCCATGGAACAATGTAAAATCTGCTGTTCCAGTACTGGAGGAGGGAAAATTAGGGTTCCGTCTCGCTTCTGTATGTCCCAAATGCACCATGGACTGGATGGTTGGACCGAACCTCACTCGAGTCACCACCAAAATCCGATAGCAAACGGGTCCTGAAACGTAAAGAAGCAAGAGGCCTCCGGGCTTCTTGATATTCCACTTGGGACTCCTTACGAACCAAAAGCAACCTGCCGAGTTTGTGGCTCACTGGGACCCCACGCCGCAACGTCTCCCCGCTTGCGCTTGCCTTTCGCCCGGCCCTGGCCAAGCTCGGCTCCAGAAAAACAAACCAGGAACTTGGAGCTGGATGGAACCCGCCTTCCTGAAGCTCACCAGCTGCCATTGTCACAAAAGGCAACGCTTCCCACCCCTTGGTCTCTCCAACTTGTTTGCCACCGTGTTTGAAAAGTTGGGGTTCTCTGATTGGACTAACTCACCCCTGCCCCCCTTTTCCTTTTGCCCCCGATCCGGAGGTCTGGGAAGCCCAAGCAGTGAGTGGGTGGAATGGTTGTTTGGCCTTGAGGTTACCTTTGGGTTTCTATTCGCAAACCCTCTTTTGGTCGGTTTCGAAGGGGGCGGCAGCAGGTCCGGGCTTTGTTGGGCATTCTTCTTCCAGGGGTTGCCCCTTTATAGGCCTGTGCTGACTTGCTCCAACTGCTTCTTCACGGGGTGGGGGGGGGGGTAGGCAAACTAGGCTAGGGTGAAGGGAACTTTCTCAAATAGCGAACAGACCAAAAACTGCATCGGCAACACAAGGTGGCACCAGGTCCAAAAAGGGGACTAATGGTAGCTTAGGATTGATAACATGTCTTGATCCAGAAAAAGTCAGGTTGGTGCAATTCATCAAGGTCCCTACGTTTTCGTTGCGGAACATGTGTTTCAACAACCACCCCTGCAAAGTAGTTGTCAGGAACAGTCCAAAGAAAGCAAACTTTGGCATGCGACCTGAGCCCTCCTGAGCTTTCTCTGAATCCATCGCCTGGCCGTCCTCGCTGTCCGACTCCGCTTCCCAGGCATCCAGAAGCGCCTCGCAAGGCGCTTGCGCGAAGCCTCGGACCGTCGCTTCGGCCCCGAAATCGGCTCCGAAATCGGCTGTGCGAATCGAAGGCCTGCACCGCGTTGTGCGCCATCACAGCCTCCGTGGGAGGCTCGTGCTTCGGGCCTCGGGATGGTTCGGCGCCCAACCGTTGGCAAAAAAGGAGCTCCAATCAATGGAAATTCCGGAACAGTTCGCTGGCGGATTCGCAGGGCGTGGCCATTTCTTTGGAAAGGGAATCCTTCACTTTTGCCGGACATGCCCGACTATTCATCAACAAGGTTTGTTAACCCGCAAACCACTACCCCCAGGATGAAGAAAATGGGTACACACTGGTCGTATGTCGCAATGTGTATATGATGCCTCAATTTACCCTGGAGTAGAGGTTTGGGGGAAGTGAAAGCCCTCTCAGAACAAACCACTCAAACACCCAAGTTTGCATTGCTTGAAACCCGCTCATGTGGCATCTCCTCACAAAGTGGATGTGTCAAAGGGAGACACCGGACAAACCATGTGTGAGGTCAATCGCAACACGGGCAAATTGTTCCATTCACCCTGATTGAAATGGGCATGTGTGGCTCTTTGAACTCCGAAACACTTGGTTTCCAGCTGAGGACCGTGCAACAACACCAAGGGTGTTTGGCATAGTTTTAGAAATCCAATTTTCAGTGGTATCATGGTTGGATCCATCCAGCCATGACCGCTTCATCACTAAGGAAAGGTGCTATTGGCCTGAAGAAGCATTTTGCCCTTTGACTGAGCCTTCGGCCTTCCGGCCGAGTGCGCTTCTTGGCCTTGCGCAAAGCCAGGAAAGGTCGACCAAGTCGCGATCTTCACCACTCTTGGCGAATTTCCTCTAATTTCCCTACGTCTCCCTGGTTGTCCAGCAGTTTCCCGGTGGTTTTGCAGCGGTTTCCCTGCAGTTTCCTTGGCTCCCTTGCCGTTGCCCGTGGTTTCGGTGGCCTTGCGGTTCCCCTCCAGCGGTCCTGCATCTCCTGTGATCTTCTCTGCCGTCTCCCTTGGTTTCCCGGAGGTTCCTTTGCCGTGGCAGGCTGACTACTGAGGGGGCCGCATTGCTTTCAGAGTCTGTTGACAATCCTCTCGTTCGGATTCACTCCCTCTCACTGACGACACGCGGCGCGAGGGCACTGGCATTGAAGGCTGCAAAAAGTCAAATGGCGCCCCACCTATCAGACCGGGAGGCGCATCTACGCATTGCTCCCAACTCAGAGCTGCGCCGCACTGACATTCAGGGCAACATTTGAAGCGTTCAAGTTTGGAAGCAGTATGCCCTTCATCAAAACTTGCGATTGGACGGGGAATCCAAATTGGGACGGTGTTCTTCTCAACAACAGCGGGAGGCGCGCCCTTCAAGCTTGCGTGAACGTCACGATCTTCGCAGACATCATCACTTCCCCCGTTATTCTCGCTCCTTCCCGATGTTTGCTCACGCCTAGTCGAGAAACCTGTTTGTTGCCATCTCTGTACTTTTTAAAAGTACAAACGCGTCAGGCATGAAATCGAGCGTTGCGCCCGCAGACTGGCTTGCTGCGACCCACAAACTGCTCGGACACAGCGCTAGCAAAACTGCCCTGCAAAACGGGCGACTGTCGCTTTACGCGGGAATATGAAAGTATATGTTCAACGCTTTTGGGCGGGTGCGGAACACTCCGTGCAATTCTGGGCCACGGCATGTGTTCTGGATCTGCTGGTTTTCTTCAGGCTTCCCTGCAGTTTCCCTTGCGGGTTTCCTTGCAGTTGGCCTTGCAGTTCATGCGGCGGTTTCCCTGCGCTTGCCTTTGCGGCTTTGCCTCAATGCCTTAGGTGCCAACGAGGAAATCTGAGCCGAAAAGGGATCTTATCCACCCCACGTAACCTGACACTGTGGAAAAAGATTAACGGGGCAGATATCCGCACCTGTTTGCCCCTGGCTACCCCGAATCTTCCCAGGTGTTGGTTGTGTCTCAAGAACACGAGCTGTACCCAACCACTTCTTGACAATAGTTGCGCCAGGGGAGTGGGGTAGTTCTCACAAACAATGATGAGTGAAAAGAATGGAGTGTGGGTGTATCAAAAAAATACACTCAAGAGGTAGGAATACAGTAGGGGGATTTCCAACCAAAAACACAGGCGTCAATCCGAAAAGTGCTGATGTGTTGGATCAAATCCTCAAAGTGGTGGCTTGGATTGGTGATCTGGCGGCTAGTTGGTGGGTTTGGTTTATGTTACATAAAAACCAGGGTGCAAATCCCAGGCCACCAACAATCCTAACTACCAAGATTCTGGCGTCTCCTGGAAGCAACCGATCTTCGCGCCTTGCGGGTTCCTTCCATGTCATCGTCCTCCGGCTCCAACTCGGCCTGTTGCAGGCAAGAACAACCGGGGCACATGCGTATGCAAGGGGCATGGTGGAGTGGTTGGAGGCGGGGGTGGCAAGGGTTGGTTTATTTTAGCGTGTCTGAGATTTTGGGTTGTCATGAGTGGGTGGTTTGGGGTGGCTTTAGGATTTGTTCAGTGTTGGTCTAATGATATGTGTTATTTACGGGTTTAGAGTTGGCATTGGCTTAGGCTTGGTTTGAGGAAGCCTGGGTTTGCCTGAGTTCTTGCAACAAGGCCAGGGTGGACGCTAGGGATGCGAGGGATGCCGAAGATGCTGAGGTGAGGGTGCGGGAGCTGCAGGGGGTGCCAATGTATTTATGTGTACACATATGGGTCTGTATTGGCTGGCTTGCTGCCAAAGGGGCAAAAGGGCTCCCGCCTCTTCATCGCCGGCCTGTCAGGGTGCCAGAGGCACAAGCGAACGGTAAGTACCCGTCTGGCAGAGAAAGGGAACCCTGCGTGACACAAAAAGAGATTAGGGAAAACGGCACCGCTAAACAATTAGGAGTCACGGACAAAGGGGACAAGATCAAAACTAGACATGCCATGGCTCCTTAGGTCGAAAACCTCTACTCCTGCGGTTCTTGACCCGGATTCATGAGGCATGGGTTTACGTCCTTGAATCCTATATTGATTCGGAGCCGACTCGCAAGAGCCATTGCAGCCGAAGAGGGGCTATAAATAACGAACCAAGGGTCATATCCTTCCCATGGTAGCTCAAAAACATAACCCCAGAGTTCGATTTGTTGGCTATCCCAAAGGAGACTTAATCCCAGGGCTTCAGGGGTAATCGAAAAAATGCATCCCTCGGTTCAGGCCACCAAACCAAAGAACAACAAACTGTTCAAAATTTGAGAGTTGGCGTTGGGCGAGTCAGTCACCCAGGATGCCTTGAAGGTCTCCCAAGTCTCCTTCTCCTGCCCCTTCTTCTTTCCCTCAGATCCGGCGATTTGGAAGAAGAAGAAGAAAAAAACGCGCGGGTCCTCAACTCTCGCCAGCTTTTCTTAGGCGTGTCCGGCAAATCGCCTTGAACATCCTTGATGAGACCCCACATAAGTTGCTGCCCTTGTAACCAACGGACACCATGGGGGAAATCAGATGGCTCTGTCCTTTCTTTGAGGGTACCCTTGTTGGGGTTGGTTTAAAGGGAAACCAAAACGAAACCACCCATGTTGTTGCTTGTTTCTTGTCATTTGATTCTTGATTTTGCACTGCTTTCGTTGTTTCCGTGAATATGTAACAAAGATGTGCAATGATACAAATAACCCCAAAAGCAGAATTGGCTAAACAAAACTAATGAAAATAACGCTGAATATATGTTGTCTGTGTCATTAGGTTGGATTGTAGTCTAATACTATGGTGTTGAAGTGTTTACAACTTGTAAAGCAACTAGTGTCTAATCAAATTTATATTGTAACTCGTGCTAAACGAATTATAGCATGTTGGGGTCCCCGTTTTTTGGTGGAAACCTCCCCTCACAGGGCCATAGTGTTCGAGGGAACCCTTCAAAGGCTTCCGCCCGTCCATGGTGTTTTCCCCCGTAGGAAAAAAGGGTGGAACCATTCCAAGTTCCCTTCAAAACGTGAAGTGTCTTCTTTTCAGGGTACCCATTTTTGAAAGGAAACCAAAAGGAAAGCAACTCATTTTGGGGGGGTCCCCTAAAGACGACAAACACGTGTGTGTGTGTGTGTGTGTATATATATATATATATAATTAGACCTTTTTCGAACCTGACACTAGGCAGCACACCTGCACAAATGATCATGGAGTTTGAGTCATAATGGTTTATGTCGGGGGTTCTTAACAAGGCGGGCGCTCTTTTCGATGGTTTCATTCGCAACCCTGTCAAACCGGAGAAAATGTATGTCGATGGTGCGGCTCTTTCGGAGTATCCTTTTTGGGTGTCGTGTAAAGGGAAACTAAAGGGACTTCCCCTTGGTGCCAAGCCTCCCCGCGGACCCCTTCGATGTTTTTGAGGGGAAACAAAAGGCCACCTGCTAAAATGGCCAAAGGCAGGTTTGGGCGCTGGAACCCTCCCACAGCGTGCTGTTTCGTTTTGACAGACGTCAATTCTTGTCCAAAGGGAACCTGACATCAACCGGTCCAAACCATCTGCAGGGACCACCAACAGTCGAGTACGTTTGACAAGACCCCATCTTGGCAAATCGTTGGTTCTGAGACCATTGAGCCCCGACATTGACTCTTGGGTCTACCAAGATGGCAACAAAGACATGTATCCGCCTTACTAAAACACCCTTGAAACAAAAAACGGGTCGAAACCGAAGCGCCTGCTAAAACGGCCCTTTTGGCGCTCCGGTTTTCGGGCTCTGCTCAATGAACTCAAACCCAGAGACCCATTGGGGCCGTGGCGGACGTGGGCGCCTCTTCCGGCTCCTCCCATAGAGTGGCCTGATATCCGTCGCTCGGGGAAAAACTGTAGCTGCACCGATAATCGCTTTCAAGGGGTCCCCGCCCCCCCCCATTTCCATTCTTTCATCCAGATGCGTCCCAAAATGGGTGGGTGCTTTTGAACTATGGTTGCGTTCCTTTCCGCTTCGACAAGGGAGCAAAACCCATTTGCAGACCCATCTGCTCGAATGTCCATTCAATCTAAACTCAGAAATCCCGGACTTGGGGCCCCAACAATTTTCTAAATACATCTGTGTGTGTCTTTTCTCGGGGACCCCCAAAATGGTTGGTTTCCTTTTGGGTCCCTTTAAAACCAACCAAACAGGGGCACCACGAAGAAAGCATACCCATCCTTCGGCGACTTTCATGAAGGAGGCCGCGCCTTCTCCCGGACGGTCTTGGGGCGCCAGGTCCTAGCGACGGAGTGAGGCGGTAAGCCATCCTCAAAATAACCTAGATGGCTTACTAAAGAATAAGAGAATGGCTATTTAATGCCTACGAACAAGCCATCCTAAATGGTTCAAAGCAAATCATACCCCAAGAATAAGAGAATCCCTCAAAATGTTCCCTCTCAGCGACCCGGTATACTACATATTCCCTGGATTCCCCGATGTGTTTCTTGCGAGCGCGAGTCCAAACTGATGACCCTAAGAGCTGTTTTCCCTTATGCCACTTCTCAAAGACCCAGCTAAAGGGCCTCAGCCAAGGGCTAAAGGCCTTGCTCTGCAAGTTGACTTTCCCAAACAACATTTCTAGAGAAAGCTCGTTTGCGGGGGTCGGTAGGGTCGGGTCCCTGATTGCATAGATAGAGCTAGAAGGGGAGCAACGCAGACGAATGACGAGTAGAAAAAAACTAGGGAGCATTGAGGACCCCTACTCACCTCCTGAGTGGATTGGCCCAAAAAAACATCCAAACTGTTTGTTTGCCACAAAAATGGTCTTCCCAACATGCTTAAAGTCCATAAACTCGAGTGAGACCAAGGGCCGTCTCCCAGCTCTGACTCGGCTGGCAACCGGCCTCGCCACCTGCTTCTGCACGTGTCGCAGCAGGGCCTGATGAGCCTGGCACGAAGACGCGCGGGGATCTTTGGCTGGTACTCCTCTGCAGGCGTCTTAAAGGGCCTCTCCCTTGCTATTGTTGGGGTGCCCAAAGAACATGCTTTTGCTCTGTGGTTCTGGGGTTCGATGCATTTTGCTGGGGTGTAAACCATCCGTTTCAGAGAGAGGAAATCAAAGTGGTTCGGACCCTTCTGGCGGTGAGGGGCTCCTAATGTCTCTCCGCACAAGCTGAAATTGGGGCCCTCTGCGTGGGGTGAAATCAGCCGCAAACCAAAAATCCCGCGGACTGCAATTTCACGCGAGCGGTGCCCGAACCTACTGGCTGCTGTTTCCGCCAAACCTTCCGCGGGTCTTACGAGACCACAGGCTTTGCTCACGCGGGCCCAGGTTCTCGCGTGCTCTCGCAAACCACATGCCCACGGCCTAAGCGCCGTGTTGCAAGTACCCTTTGCCCTCCAAACATGGCCAGCGGTAACAACCAATTCACAACAGGGCACTCACACATCAAGAGCACAGTGACCTCCTGGAACCATCAAATTAGAGCTCGTGCAACGCAAGTTTTAGCAACAAACCGTAGGTGAGACCTTCCCGCACGGCCCGCGAGAACCGGGTCTAAAAACTTCACTTGAGGGTGTTGGGCGCTCCAATTGGCCCGAGAAACAACCCCACCCAAGCAAAAAGGTCGTGAACGGACATGCGCATGGAGCTCTTTCCACAGGCGCAGCTCTGATTTGGGCCCGATTACTTGGATGGCCGCCCCATTTAGCAAATGGCAACTGGTTGACAAGTCCCCTGAGTGAAGCTTACCCTTGGCACCTAGAAGACTTGTCAACCAGGGATATTCCACTTACCTAAACGACCCTCCTTTGCGCCATACTCACTTCAGGCGTACCTCCACGACCCCTGGTCTTCCCCTTCAAAGCGGTGCTTCAACGCCTTGGGGAAGGCGTCCTCGAGCACATCCTCGGGGATCACCTTGACGAGGCGCTCCACGATGCTGCGGATCAGCATCTTGGCCGTGGCCAAGTGCCGACTTTCGAAGATCCTGGCACCACACGAAAATTGAAATACAAAAAAGTTGCATGTGTGTGTGTGTGTGTGTCTATCTGTCTATCTGTCTATCTGTCTATCTGTCTATCTATCTATCTATCTATCTATCTATCTATCCATCCATCTATCTATATATATATACATATATATGTATACATATATATATATATACATACTGTATTTGTATGTATTTATATTACGTATACAACATGTACTTATGTCGCTGTTTTGCGGCTCTTCGACAAAACTATGCACAGCATGCAGGCCAATGCCGACAAAGCCAATGTCAACAAAACGTATGATTGAATGAAGCGCTGCCTCATGATCTTCGGCAGGAGGTCGATCAATGATTCCTCGTGCAGGGCAGGCGTTTGCACATGAGCCAGAATCAAGACCTGGTATCAAAGCAGTCTACCCAAAACTCTTGGTGAAGAGCGTAAAGGCCGCATGCACCTATGGCCAGAATACTGTCCCCTGCCCTCCCTCGATTTTCATGGATCCTGGTATAGCTTCTATGTAGGCATGACTAGACAAAAAAAAACACGACAATAATAGCCAAAACAATGATAATGTTACTAATGATAAGACGATATGCGCGTATGCATAAATCAACAAATAGAGGTATATATCTGGCGTTGCTTCCCGCAACTTCCCAGGGTTTTGCAAAGCCCTGCCTTGGGTACCACAAAGACCACCACCTTGGTGAACTTCAGGGCAGCGCGCCACACCTGCACGTGGAACTTTTTCAAAGATTGATCGCATCCAGAACCCTCAGGCTCTTGTTTTATGACTTGGAGCATAGGAAGTGGCTTGCAACAGCAGCAGGGGGTTCAACTCCCCAATTGAGGAAATCTTACTTTAGGCGGAGTCGCCAATCACATGTGGGGCGCAATCAAAAATTCGGTGCTAACATGGTCTACCCACCATGTAAGGAATTAAGAAGGCGGCCGCAGCTACTTATGGTTGGGATTGTCCCTCACCAACCTTCGCCTACCCAAGTTTTGATCTCAATTTGAGGATCTCCGTTTGAGACGTGTTTGGGAGATCCTTCCGTTAATTTGAAAGGCAAACCAAGTTTGTTCCAAGAAAGCATACTTCGCACCAGTAGGTAGAAAATCCAACTCAGAAGGGTGGCATCCGTCCCAGCTTTGTCCAACCTATCCAAACCCTCCCTGCGAATTCACACAGAACCCCCCCAAAACCATGGAGGAATGTTGCGCAAAGGCAACTCTTTGTCCAGTTCCAATACCTAACATCCTCTTTCCAACAATGAGAGTGGACCTTTGCTCCCCCAAAAGGAACAGCTGCTGTTTGATGTTGAACACCCATGGACTGAATGGTTGGGGCCCTCAACCTGGACAATGGGGCACGAAGCAGACCGAGTTTCGGGGCCCATGTGCCTTCTGTTCAAAAAGGCCCGCTAAGGAGCTATATGCAGTATGTGCATAATTCCTGTTGCATCTTGTTGTTTCCTGTTCGAAATGAAGCGGGCCCCCACCTAAATCATGCAAATCCCACTGGAAGCGCTAGCTTCGCTGTAGCTCGGGGCTAGGTCGGGGACCGTGGCATGTGAGATGCGCACGCATGGCCCTTCTGTCCGGTCGCTCTCAAAGCTTGAGGTATTTCTTGCTCGCAACGCGAAAGTGCTGCGTCTTTGCGAAAGTGCTGTGCCTGCCATGCCTGCCCTTCCGAAAGCATTGCGCCCTTGGCCCTGCAAAAAATCTGAAAACATGGGCAGTTTTTTGCGTTAGCTCCGCGCTAGCACCGCGCTAGCAGGCAGTTGCCAACTTGAACACGAAGGCACGTGCCTTGTTGGAGGCAATACCCAAGAAGCCACTTGCATGTTTCTAGGCTGTAGTTGTCAGTCTGGCTAAGTAAAACTATATACGCAATTCCGCTTTGTTACTTGCTGAAGATGTGGTGTAGAACATTGGGATTTCTCGTGTTTAAATATCCTATAGCAGCAGCTCTACAAGCTCGGATAGCTCATCCGACAGCAGCTAAGAAAAGGCCCGCGCAGCTCTACAAGCTCGGATAGCTCATCCGACAGCAGCTAAGAAAAAGGCCCGCGCTAGTGTGCCTGTCAGTTCCCGAATGATACGGGCCCCCATGGAATGGCGATTTACGCTGCAACGGGAGCTAACATTGTGACAACCAGCCATGTGTTCCACAAGCCGAATCAGTTGAAGTTATGTTCTTTCAAATGGTCTCCAACTGGGGGAGCCCCAAAATACATGGGGCTTCCCTTTCATTTCTTTCAAAAACAACCCAAAGAAGGCACCCTCAAAGGCACACCCAAATGGGACCCCAAAATGCTGGCATTCCTTTTGGTTTTCCTTTAAAGCCCGCCTCTTCCGAAGCCCAGATATCCCTGGAGTGCATGGGGTGCGATGACAAATGCCCGACTCGCCTGCTGGTCCCGGTCTTCCAGGAGCAGAAGCACCACCTTCGCAAGCAATTCGAGTCGATGGATTCGCAAGCCGCGGCTTCCTTGGCTGGGCTTAGGGAAAGGAAAAGGCTGGGCCAACTGCGGAAAAGGCCCCTGTTATAGGTCTGAACTAAGGAATCCGCAAAAAAAAGGAAACCACGATTTGGGTGAGCTCGTATTACCCCCAGCTGAGCTCGTTGGATTAAAACAAGGGGACACCCACCCCTGCCAAAAATCAATGGACCCTTCTGGCTTGGCTTGAGAAACCAAAACTTGAACGTCCCTGTTGGGCAACTGCAACTAGAAGGGCTGGAAAGGCGCGATGGACTGCACGGCCGCCTTTGGAATGCAGCGGCAAACGCAACAATAATATTCTTAAATACGAAGGTGTATTTTTGTGTGTTTAAACAAATTCGCCTTCCCCAAAAAAAATGGAGTTCAAAGCCCCAAGTTATCAATCCAAACCTATGCGACCCGGTCACGCGGGTAAGCCTTTGGCCCCTGCCAGCACTTGGAGGCGCGGAGCATCCTATATAACCCCAGCATATTCCCGAGGGCTCAACCTGCGGTTAAAAAAAAGGACAGGGCCCAATTTAGATGATGCAACTCCTTAGCCGGCCGCTGGCGGTACTCTTAACCCAACCATTGTTTTAATGGTGGCCACTGACTCCCAACCAGTCTTTGACACCAAAGATGGGGGCTGGGCGTCGATGAGACGCTTCTGCAACTCGGCTGCCTCAGCCGAGGGGCCGAGTTGACACGGCAACTTCTGGGTTTGAATGTTTGGAAGAGAGCGCGCAGCGGGGCAAAAGGTTGGCGAGGCGTTCTATGACGTTGGAGTCTGACGAGTAGTGTCTGCCTGAAGGAAAACCAAAAGGAACCCACTAATGTTGATGGTCCCCTAAGAAGAGACGCACCTGTTGAAAGCGAACCCGGAACCAATCTGGAGAGTGTCTTGCGATTAGTTCGCGTTTGGTTGCAACTTGGGTGAACACTGGAACATCGTTCCTGCAGGCTTCATTGTAGTAGAGAAAAGGCGCCAAACGTCACCAAACCAAACAGAGAAGTGGAGACTGAGCGGAAGTAAGCTGCTAAGTCCGGCTCCGAAAGCCTGCAAAAATCAACCGCTGCGTTTCTCTGACGCACCCCCAGAGGTCAAAAGAAATTCCCAATGGAAAATGAGATGATGTAGATGATGAAACTCCCGAAATGGCAGATCACATTAACCAGCCACTGGCATGGCTTGAATCAGAGGGACACCTTGACCCAAACAAAATTGCGCTGATCTCGCAAAGAACGCCTGGCTCAGCACGCCAAGCATGCGATGGCCCAAGAAAGGAGTCGGACAAAGTTGTCCAGGACAGGACATCCAAGCCGAAGACAGCTTGTTCCCAATGGTCCCAAAAGCATTCGTTGCAGGGTGCTGGGGTGGAGGGGGTCTCAACTTTGTAACTCTATGAACTGAGAAAGCGGCCATTTTGCTGTGGTGCTCGTAGAGCATGCGGCTGAGCCTTTAGCGGACTGAGGGTTTGCGATACCCCTCTCCCTTTGAGTGGATTGGCCAAAACGTCCAAACTTGATTCCGAACTTCATGTTTGCCACTAACCTCCAACTAGCTTTCCAACCTGAAAACGCCACCCAAGGAAACTCACACAGCCCGAAAGGTGATGTTCAAAACCGTCTGGAGAGGGATCGACTAGCTTGATTGTGACCAACCTTTACCATGACTGCTTGCTCACCTGAAAGGGTGATGGTGGCTAAACTGGCTGCCCCTAAAATCGTTGCTTCTTGAATTGGTACCCGTTTTGGCCTTGGGCAAGGGCCCAACTTAGCTGCTGAACTCACCCACATTGTTCTAGTAGTGGTTTGTGGCCCACGACCGGGCAAGTGAATATTAGTATTAAAGAAGAAACAAAGCCAGTCCCAGCCAGAAATGGGTGCGGATATCCGGCCTTTAGATTGCTTTAAACATATTTAAACAAGGGGCTGCATCAACCAGGGGATCCTTCACATGGAACCGGGTGAAGAAACCCTGAATGGAAATAGGGGGATGACACCACCTCTAAAAGGGCATGGCGGATTTCCCGAAATTTGGGTTGTCAGCCACTTCCTGGCAAAGGAGTCCCTTCTCCAAATCGGGGATATCAACTCTAGGGTTCACGCAAATGGGACGGGAGATCCGCACGCATTGCCTGGGACTCACCTTCGCGTCGGGGTTCGACATCCCGCAGCTGTGGGTCTAATATAGATACCCATTTGGAGTACTTGGAACCAGGGGTTCCAAAACCGATCCTTGAATAGCTACCCATTTGGGAACCTGGTAAATGGAACCAAGGACTAAATCAATCCTGAATTGTATTCCCTCGACGGAGTTGCTCGAGTTCGTTTTTCTGAGTCGCCGGGCGCATCGAGCGCCGCCGCCTTGGCGTGGCGGCTCAGGCCCGCCAGCCCGGCAGAGACCAAGGTCACGATCTCCGCTTGCAGCTCCTGAGATCGTAACTGACGGCTCCGCGAGATCCGCTTCTCGCACCACCGGTCTGAAGCCCGGGTTTCGGATTCGGTTCCCCGTTGTGTATTATTATTTTTCTACACAATGGTGTCCAATGGTTTCAAAGTGGTGCAGGGCTTCGTCCATCCACAGCCAGGATCTAACCAACATTTTGGGGGTCCCCTTAAAAAAAGGCACAACCATCCATAACCCCAAGTAAGCAGGTCTTTGGGGCCCAATGTAAGAACAAGGGAACCAATCGGAAACAAAAAGGAAACCCAATACTGATTCAGCAGGGGAGTCTGGGCAAGGTTTTGCCAATGGTCCTCAACGGCTCCTACTGGCCACTCGTGGTCACTATGGCTGAAAGCGGAGAAACCACCCAAGGATTGATAGGATGTCTTTCCTCTTTTGCGGCCCATCTCTAGCGCTCTTCCCTCTCAGCCAGCCTGGTGGATGGCGGTGGTGGCCGCAAGGTGTAAACACTCCCGAGCTGCATCTCGCACAGCAGTGCTTTGGTCGCGCCTCGGAAACCGACAAGGGCACAGATAGCGCGGACAGCAATTCCAGCCGAATCATACCGTCTGTCCGACAATCGTGAAGACTTTCATCAGCTCACAAAAACCCTGTCCGCTTCCAGGAATTTTGGATGCGGGTTACCCATGCATGGGCACGCATTCTCTGCGGGGATTTGAACCTCTGGAAAATGGGAGAATGGGTGGCTGCCAAACAAAACGATGGGTGAAGAGAATGGGGAACCAACCCTGCGAGGAATCTTGCGTTAGCTGAGGCGCGCACAAATGGAAGAGCACTTCAGGAATGAGCGTTGTGAGGAACTGCATGTACTCCTGCAAGAATGGTACTTCTTGCACCTCGAAAACTGAAATATACTACGAGTCCATCTCGCTCGGACACAAATCACCCATTGCCCCCACCCGAACTGGCAAGGGCTACTCCGGAGAAATAGTCATATATGATACAGGGGGTGGTTTGAGCCGGCATTCGTCCAGTATTCGTAGGGTTTCATCCAACTCAACTGGAGCGGAAGATCGTGCATCCACAGTATCCCTCCTTTGCCAGGGGGCGAAATGTGTCCAAAACTCAAAGATCTGAAACTAGAAAAAAGGCCCAAGGGACCTTCATGGGTGTTCGCTGCCCGGATCGGCGAGACCATGAGCTCGTTGAGATATGTCCTCCCTTTATCCCCCAAAACCAATTCTGTGATATTCTGCCTTTGTAACGGGGCAAATTGTGTTCCCCCCCCCACAAGAATACACCGCCCTATCACGAACCCGTGGGTCTGGCTCCTTTCGCCCTTTCCCGCCTGCTTCAAGGCAGGGTCTGTGGTTCGAGGCAGACCTCACAAAGCGGCAAAATAAACGCCAGTAACAATTTTTGAAGGTTCATTTTGAGGCGAATCCATAACTTTGTGCGGGGAACGTACCACCAACCTTTGTATGGGTTTGCAAGGAACATATCCCGAGTACATAGGTGTCTTGACCACGGCACATATGATTTTAGGACACAAACAATTTGGGGGCGGGGGGGGGGGGGGAGGGGCACGCAATTTCGTGTTTCCCTTCAATGACATCAACTGGTCAACCGCGTACCTATTTTCGACATCCTGAGAGCTGTACTGGTCTCCAGCAAGGCCAGCAGCGCCTGTGCCGAACTTCTACAGAGATATCTCATTCGTCGCGAATCATTGAAACCTATACACCAATATATGGAGCGAACAAAGCTTCAAAGCTTGATTTGGACGATTCAAGTGACTCCTGCATAAGAATTCACTTCGCAGGAATACTAGGGCTGAAGCGGTCCATCATGTTTCATACACTCCAAGTGTGACAAACTTTTGTGGAAGAAACCCCGTCTCCAGAATCCTCTGATTGAAACGCTGATGGAATCCAAAGGTTCTGCAAAGTCCGATCCGAAAACTAAAGAATGAGAGCCGGTCAAAGCATAAGGATCGTTCTGGCTGAGAATCTGAGGGTCGCTTAAATGTTGAGAGTCATCAAGAGCTTAAGCGTCGCTATGGGTTTGAGCGCGCCAGTGAAAAAAACGAGGGTCATGGAGAAAGCCAGTGTTTCAGACTTTGAGAATCGGTGGGAAATTGAAGGACCTCACAAATCTGAGGGTTGTCAAGATGCTTACCATCGCAAAGTGCTTCGGGGTACGGCAGTCGTGGGTCTCTTCCGGGGTCCTGCAGCTTCGAAGTTTCCTGAGAAGCCCCCGCCTGCATGCACGTGATCCGCGCTTTTAGTGCCGCGCACGTCTGCCGCGCATCCTGTGCTGCGCTTGCGATGCTCAAGCCACGGCGACACATCGGGTGTGTGTTTTTGCGGGTTGCCTTTTTGGGGCTGTTTCGAAGGGAAACCAAAATGAAAACATCCACATTGGGGTCCCCACGTACAAAAAACCATGCTCATCCAGGCTTTTGGACGAACCACTGTGTTCAAGTCTGCCTTGCTGGTCCGGAGAATGGAACCCTTTGGTTCTACCTTTTGCTTCTGTCCATGGCGGTCTCTGGCACATCCGAACAAGCCCTGGCGAGAGGAAGGGAGACTAGTGGATTTTCCATGTTTGCACCTCCAAAAAATCAGCTTGTTTGCTCCGAGGGCAAGTCACGGCTCAAGCTAGCAAACAATCATATGACTCATAACTTATTGCAGGGGCGTCAAAGACCCGTCCCACTTTTGACTTTGTTCCTGCCAGCATGATTGGTTGCAACATGTTGAAAGGATTCCCACAGGAAAGACACCCCAAATTAGTCCATCTGCATGTCTGGTCCAACTCTGATGAACCTCGGAGCACAGCTGAAATAATAAAAAGCCTATCTTTAGGGTCAAAGAGTGCGACTCTGAACCAAGACAGGCTCAGTCCTTCAGCACAGTCCAGAGGGCCATGACCTGGATGCAAGTTGCCCCTTGATTGAAAGAACACACGCCCGAAAAAGGGAGGAGTGTTGAGGATTGAGGCGAAAATTTGGGATTTAGGGTTGGGTTGGGTTTTGTGGGTTTTGCTACCTGCGCCTTTGCCTCCGATTGAACATGACATTATAGACTTTGTAGAGTCTGGTTCACGTGAACCTTACAAATGTCAGATGATGTCAAAGGTCCCACTTCGGGCTCTGGTGGTTCTTGCCTGAGCACTGCATCGTTCACATTGGCTCTCTGATATGTCCGGTGGCCGACCGGCCATCCTTGTCTTGAAATACCAAAGCAACTTGGACCAGAACCTTTGGGCCTAGGACTCCCAGCGTCAAGAAAGGACCACCTACTCCTTGAGGGGATTGATTCCGGAGCGCAAACGCCCCTTGGCCCAAACGGCCATGCGATCCAGCAATCCAGCCGGAGGGCTGGAGTTGGTGAGCTTATTTGGGGGGGGGGGGGGCAGAAAGGAGGGGGTCAAAAAAGGAGGTGTCCAATCCGGCCTGCCCAACTTGCCACTGCGAGGCTGTCGCTGGATGTCGAATGACCTTAGCAAACTCAATTCGCGACAGCGAGTTGCTGTTTTATTCGCTCGCCCAAAGGACCTCGTCGTACTTGAGTATGTCTAGCAACGCAATTTGCAGGTAACCCCCCCACCCCCCTGGCAGGTACCGCCAGGAGCCATGTTAATGCCAAAACAATGTCCTCCAAAATCGCGGGACTCAGCGCCATCTGGATTCAGCGGCAACCGGCCTGATATCCATGTCCTTTTCTCCAGATTAGGGACCCTTTGGGCTTTCTTGTGGCATTTCCCTATGTTGAGACAGACCCGTGTATGCGACAATGTGCTTTGTTGTGGATGCACACTCCTCGTATCACATGGCACAAAGCTCATGTTTTAATCACTCGCAGAAGGCAGCGGACCTGGACAAAGGTGGCAAACTCGCTCGCAAAATGTTGCCAATGATATTGTCAGCCACCACCCTCCAAGCTTCAGCAGAAACTCATCCGCAAGACTTCTATGCTAATGGGTCTATTCCAGTGACATCCTCAAAATTGCCCTGTAAATGGTGGTTGAATTGGCACCTCGGTGTGTCTTTGAGGGGAATCCTCTGTAAGGTGGTTTTTAAAGGAACCAAAGGAGACCCATCAATTTGGCAAAGGGGGGACCCGCTTTTCCAGCGAACCAAACCTGTCTGCTGAACCTCAGCGCCTTGCACCCGCCACGGCGCGGTAGGCGGCCTTCTGCGCAGCCGGGTCCTGGCAAAAGGAAGTTGCCGATGCTCAGTGAAATCTGATGAATTGGGGTCAATCAAACCTCTGGTTCAGTCAAAAGCACGGAATTCATTTGCGGATCAGGGATGGTCAACCCCTCTTTTTGTTCGTTCGCGAAATCCGTTCTACTCTGGGTGTTGTCTGTCAAAGCTTCAGGAATGAGGACGGTCTGCAAAGGACCTCTGAGTTGGTGACCCTTGAAAAGCTTCGATCACAAACTTCCCGGGCACATCTTATTCCTTTGGCCCGAATTCCTCTGCTAGGGAAGCCCGAAGGTCGGATCCCAAGATGGGGATGGGGCTCGTGAAGTAGGGGCACCCTGCTGTTACTGAGTAGTACCATGTATAATCGGGCAAACGAATAAATGATAAGATGCGTGTACACATACATGTATATATATATATATATGTATATGTATATATATATATGTTTATATATGTGCGTATGCATATATCATGCACGTATTTGTCACACGCACTAGTCTACTCCTTTAGCCAGGCTCTGCCCCCTTCCCCTTTGTGCCCCCGGACAGCCCCGTCCTCGGCCCCCTTCAGTGTGGGGCTAAAGACTCGCAGAACCAGCTCCAGGTGCCTCAACCGTTAAAGCTCCGAAGCCATCCACTTCCTTGCGGGTCCCATTTGCGTGTCTTTTTTGCGGAACCCTCTTTTGGTTGGTTTTAAGGGGAATCCTTCATTGGTGGTTTGAACTGGTTTGGATTTGGATTTGAACCTCTGCTTTTTGTTGATAAATGAGAAACCGCCCCCAGAAACGGTCTGGAGGTTCAGGTGTGGAGAGTACATCCCACTATTTGTACATGTTACTTTTTGATTTCCAGCTAATCTCAGGACGACTTGGGCGCTGGCTCCCCTTGCAGGTGCGGGATCAGCGCTGTGGCCAGGTCGCCCAACGCAGGTACTCGGTGGCTCCATGGCAAAATGGATACGCAAACGTGCAAGCAAGCAAACAAAACGGGAGACTGCTGGACGCAAAGACTGACAAACTGGTTATATGGGTGCGGGACAAAACCCTGGTAAATCGAACAAGCCCCTCGTGGCTTAAGTTTGACCCGTACCCATGTAACCAACTGGCCAGCCAACCGTCTGACTGACTGGCATGCCAACAAGCGAGCCAAATATGTGTGCGTGTGCGTGCGCGTGCATATATACTACATACATTGTACTCACACACACTGTAAAAGCAAGACACGGCATCGCACAACCCCGCCGTTCCGAGGTCACAGCCATCCCCAGGGCCGAGATTGCCGTCCCCCTGCCCTGTGGTCGCCTATCCGCGTGCGCGAGCGCGTTGACCGACCAAAGCCTTGGGCCACACTTTGGAGAAGCCAACTGAGCAGTGCCCAAGACCCGATCAAATGGCACACATGCAACTGGCCAAACAAATCTGGTGTGGGTTTGACCCCTATGTGGGTTTAACCCCTATGTGGGTTTTCGGTCCTATGTATGGTCCAGGAGTCTTGTGAAACCTTTGAACGCGCCAACTCTGCTTCGCTTAAATCCATGAAAAATCCTCCTGTGCTACCAAAGTAAACCATCCCCATGACTGACGGTATAACTTGAAACAAAATTCCCTTGGTATCACAGAAATCGGTCCGAAAACCAACTTGATTGATTGTGGAAACTACGGACTCAAATGCAATACAAAATAGTACCCTCCCACCAAATGACACGGAACCTGACGTTCCGGGCATCCTGGTTTGGACCATTTTGCTACAGGGGCCATTTCCCTTCGTCGGGTCCAATGCTAACCTCCCCGCCTTCAGCCACTTGGCCACCAGGGACTTGAAGACTGACCTGAGCGAACAGCTGTCCTGGGTGGTTCTCCAAGCCCTTCCTTCTGCTTGATTTTCTCTTGGTCTGCAAATTGTCTTACTCTTTTCTCATCTGTTGCACTGTTCAACTCTGAACTCTGTTGCACTCTTCTCTTGAACCCCTGTCCTTAAGCCCCCCAGAAGCTGAGAAACACATGTTCCATCAGGTCTCCCTTCAGGTCTCCTTCAATCCATCCCAAAAGGTGAGAAACACACGTTTGGACTTGAAAAGGATTCCAGGAGAAACAAACACCCTATGGACCAACCTCCTTTGAGGGGATTCAGCCACAGTATGCACTTTCCGCACTGGACATGGGACAATTCTTGAGCCTCCTTGGCTTTTGAGGAGTTTCGTAGTGGGTCGTGTTGGCTATCCAAACTCCTCAACAATTTGTAAGTTTGTCTTTTTTGTGGGAGCCTTTTTTGTTGGGTTGGTTGAAGGGAAACCCAAAAAACACCACCAGTTTGGGGGGGGTCCCAATCCCCGATTTTGAGACACACCCTTGTCCATGAGTATGCTTACCAACTCCAAGTAGATTCTTGGCGCCAGGGCCCGACGAAGGCTGGGTCTGCTAGCTGCACATAGCTCTCGACAGCCAACAGGGCCTACAGATGTTGGCCCTGGAAAAATGGCTGTGGGTCAAAGGTAACTACCCATGTTAAAAACCCTGGGAAGAAGAAACATGAACTAAAACCTGCGGTCTGGTGGTTTAATTTCGGTTCTCTGGAAATGAAGAGGGTGCCCCCGCCATGAATTGACCTGTTGACAAATGCGTCAACAGTCAACCCACCCGATGTGTGGACCTGCGTGGTCCAGCCACCTGAAGCATGGTATTCACCAACTTTTCTTGTGCAGAAGCCCCGTCCTGATGCCTGCTGAAGCCAGAGCGTGAGGCGTCCTCGCAAGTGTTGGAGCGGATCGCCAGTGGGTTCAAATCCAAAAAAGACAATGTGCAAGATCGGGGGGAAGAACATGGCGCAAAAACTACATCTGGTTTTTGAAAAAAGAATGAGGGAGACATACATGGAGTTCATAAATGAACATTTATGTAGCTGCTTTCCAAGTGGGGTTCGCTGGCTTGGAGCGATATCCACTAGTTCAAATCCCAAACCGACCAATCCAAACCACCAAATTGGTGACCTAAGCTCCGGAAAGCTAAGCAATACGTGATTCAGTCATGCGTGGTAAGTGGTTACCATCGGCAATGCTTCCAATGAATACTACTTTGCTGGTACCTGGAATCCTTTTTGAAACAAGCTTCCATTGGTCAACTTGCTCAGTGTCGCATTCAGGCAGCATGTTTACCAGCTACGCTCCTCCTGGAAACTGTAGACTGGAAGACATAGAATACACCATACCTTGAATCTTAAGCCAACGGAAGACATGTCAATGGAAATCTGGTCACCCCACCCGCAAGGGGTAAAAAATAACAACGAAAACAAACAATCAAACAAACAAAAACCACCAAACCGAAGCTCAAAACTCGGCAATCAGGAAAGGGGGCCTCAAAAGGGAACGGTCGAACCAAATAAAGCCAGCAATAAGTTGAGCCAACATGAAATCACTCTATAATGTACTTATGTGTCTTGAAGTTATTCGAGGCACTGAATAGAGTCAACAACCCCTCATAAATGTTTCAGTAGAGCAAAATCACAATCTCTTGTCATTGCAAATCGTGAATAAGTGGCATGTGATAGCTGATAGACCCTCTCCTGTTGATGCTGATCACGCGTTGCGGATACGTGAACCCTGCAAGTTCACGGAAGGGACCGATTGTCCGGGTCCGCCAAAACGAGATTCCTAACCAAAATGACGGCGCGTTGGATTCCCGACCCCCAAAAAAGGGTTTTCTTTTTGGCTGTTCCTTTAAAGGCATCCAAAATGGATGCCCTCAAAAAAACAACAACTTAGTAAGAAGAGGGGTAGAAAAGTCCCTCTGGGCCGGCCTGTCCCTCCATCTCAGTCTGCATCTTGACGAACACGTTGAACATCTCTGGCATGACCTCACTGGGAGCGCATGACCTCACTGGGAGCCCTTCAGCGGATGTAATTTACATGGGAGTGCCCCCAAAAATGGTCGAGTGAAATCATGGTAGCATGGGGGGGAAACATGATTGGGGCTAGGCCCTGTCATTTGCGGGTGTATTATATACATTTCTACATATATGTATATGTATATGTATATGTATGTATGTATGTATGTATGTATGTATGTATGTATGTATGTATGTATGTATGTATGTATGTATGTATGTATGTATGTATGTATGTATGTATGTATGTATGTATGTATGTATGTATGTATGTATGTATGTATGTATGTATGTATGTATGTATGTATGTATGTCTGTATGTCTGTATGTCTGTATGTCTGTATGTCTGTATGTCTGTATGTCTGTATGTCTGTATGTCTGTATGTCTGTATGTCTGTATGTCTGTATGTATGCATGCATGTATATATCTATCTATCTATCTATCTATCTGTCTGTCTGTCTGTCTGTCTATCTATCTATCTATCTATCTATCTATCTATCTATCTATCTACGTATCTATGTACGTACGTACGTACGTACGTACGTACGTATGTATGTATATGTCCATATTTACCTTGTGTCTGTGCGTGCGTTTTGCTCCAATCCTATTTAAGAGGCATCGAAAGTGGCAACCCCACTCATCTCTCCAAAACGTGGACCCCCCTACTCCAGAAAAGAATCAATCCTAAAAGCCACCCACCCTGAAAAACCAAAAAAAACCTTTAAAAGAAACAAAAAACAAGTCCTAAAACAAAATGGCCCTCCGTGATCAATCCCTCAGCCCTAGCCACCTTTGACTGCGAAAAGATCCTCCCACTGGGCCACGCGGCGCGGGCAGAGAGGGTCTGCAGGCACGCCTTGTTGGACTCCTGCAGCGCCTGCGACAGCCTGAAGCGGCTGAAGCGCCGGCGCGAGAGATGCAAGGAATCGGACATGGAATGAGCCCTATAAAACCCATCCAACCGGTGGTTTCCTTTTTAAGGGGAGGGTTCATTCCCTCATTCCCTACAGCAGCGACCCCCTACTGTGGATGGTTGCAAAATCCAGAAATCGCACCACGAAATGAAACCATGGGTTGAAACCATTTGTTGTTTGCAATTTTCAGGGGAGCCATCATTCCAGGGTTTCTTAGGTGGTGTAGGATTTCGTCCATCCACCGTATAAAAGCCATCCAACAGTTTCCATTTTAAGGGGAGGGTTCATTCCCTCATTCCCTACTGAGCACCAGCAGGGGTTCGCACTGCTAGTACTTGTGGGTAATTGGGAAACTACCCCAGAACACCTCCAAACAATCCTAACCCCAAACCACACCAACTATGGCGAAGCTGAGCCATAACTGTGCACAGCTTCCTTGAGGGGATGACTAGATCAAAATGGGGGAACTGATCTTGCCATCTACTTTCACCCAACTCTAAACCTTGTGATACCAAAGTGGGATGAACCCATCCAACCCCGACTACTTTGTCAATTAAAGGCAACTCACAGAAAGTGGCAAGTTGAACCTCCAAAACAAAACAAAAACAATACACGTGCCCGTGCCCGTGATACTCCCTGCAGATGAAGGACGAATCCAAAAGCGGAAGTCCGATCCCCAAACGGAGATTGCCCGTCCATGGCAAAGCATGGCAATCTGCAGAAGAGTAGTTTAAGTTGTGCAAGAGAAACCAAAAACAATACCGGAAGGAGACCACGAGGAAACCAAAAGGAAACAGAAAACCAACATGAAACCAAAGGGAGACCAATATGACAACAATTGCTTGTCGCCTTTGTCCAGAACCCCCCCCCTTCAGCACCTGGAAGGCGGCTCCCGAGTGGCGTCACACAGGTGCTTGATGGCAGCCTGTGCCAGTCTCGGGATCGGAACCCCAAAAATCGGTTCTTCAAAATCCAGCCAACAAGGCTCCGCCATTTCTGTTGTTCTAAATGAGTGGTTGACCTCACGGCGCTTGCAAACCAGACGGGATTCGACCAAATGTAGGTGTCTTTGAGGCTCGGCACGGTTGGTTTGCAGGGAACCTCATGTCATCCCCAACTTGGACGCATACCCAACTGATTTTCTGCGGAAATAAATGATAATTGTCCAAAAGGGATAACTTTCGTGTTCCACAAATAAGTTTCCAGCAGTCATCGACAATTAAGTGCGAAATGGGTTCACGATCCAAAACCCTGCATGATTGTGGGAAAAGGGTAGCTGTGTAGTGGCGAACCCGTAGCTTCCAAAAAGGCTGAACGGGGTTCGCGGGTCCCTTTGCTGTCCAAAGGTGAAGAGGCTTCGGTCAAACCAAACCAAGATAAGAACCAATGTTGACCCCGCTTCGGGGTCCGTTGGTTTGGATGCCTCCCTTCAACATGGTCGCGGCCTGCGCGCAACAATTGATATATCACGATTCACTGACTTGCTTAAGCAAGAGACGCCAGCTGGCAAGCTAGCTCTCATAAAGATTGGCCAAAACTGAAACAGGAAAAGGTCACACAGGGTCGATTTACTTTGGGCGCCAAAGTGTAGGAACGGTGTTTTTGGTGGTTGGTCTCAAAATAGGGAACCCAAAAGATGACTGTCAGTTGAAAACCAATGGCCCAGTATGTCCTCATAAAAATGACCATGTTTCACGCCCACCCCTCCCAAAACACACAATGCGCCTGTCTGTTTTTGAGGGTACACCATGTCGGTGTTTCGTTGTGAAGGGTAACCAAAAAAGAAAACCACCCAACGGGGGGCCCAACCTTAACACACCCAAGCACACCCAACTCTCACGTCTCAGGCTGGAAGTTCGATCTCCGAGCCGCAGGCCCAGACGTGGTCCCGCAGCGCTGGCTCGTTCTGAAGCACCGCCACCTGAGATGCTCAAAAGACACATTCCCAAAAAGTCCCCTCTCAGTCCGGAAAATGCTACTGCTACTGCTACTGCTGCCACTACTACTACTACTACTACTACTACTACTACTACTACTACTACTACTGCTACTACTACTACTACTACTGCTACTACTACTACAGAACTAGTACTACTACTACTACTACTACTACTACTACTACTACTACTACTACTACTACTACTACTACTACTACTACTATTGCTACTACTACTACTACTGCTACTACTACTACTGCTACTACTACTCCTCCTACTACCACTACTACTACTATTTCTACTACAACTACGACTACTACTACGACTCCTCCTCCTACTACTTCCAAAACTACTACTACTACTACTACTACTACTACTACTACTACTACTACTACTACTACTACTACTACTACTACTACTACTACTACTACTACTACTACTACTACTACTACTACTACTACTACTACTACTACTACTACTACTACTACTACTACTACTACTACTACTACTACTACTACTACTACTACTACTACTACTACTACTACTACTACTACTACTACTACTACTACTACTACTACTACTACTACTACTACTACTACTACTACTACTACTACTACTACTACTACTACTACTACTACTACTACTACTACTACTACTACTACTACTACTACTACTACTACTACTACTACTACTACTACTACTACTATTACTACCACCACTACTACTCCTCCTCCTACTACTATTACTACCACTACTGCTGCTCCTGCTGCTGCTGCCGCCGCTGCTCCTGCTGTTACTCCTACTACTTCTACTTCTACCACTACCACTACCACCTACCACTACTAGTAATAATAATCACGCTTCAGAACATATGGCCACCAACAACGGGTTGGTCCACCTCAAACAACGTGTTGTTGGAACAAAGCTCGGGCTTCGCCACGCAAAGGTTCCTAAAACGCGCTCAATACGGTGGTTGTGCGCGGGTCAAACCCCTCAACCGCACCCAATTGTTTGGTCCAGTGTGTCTTACCTCAGTTCCAAATCGGGATCCAAGAAATGGTGGGCTTCCTTTTGGCTCCCTTTCAACCACCCCCCAAAAGAGACCCTCCAAAAACCACACGCCCAGATTCGTCTCAGGCCAGGGCCAGCTGCTTGGCAAACTGCCCGCCCTGCGCCAGCAGGCTGCTCTGCATGTCCAGCCTAAGGCGCCCAGGCTGTTGCCCGCCAAATCGGCCGGCCGAAGAACTTTTGAAGTTGGTAACAAGAGCCCCAAAAAAAGACGACCCGGGGATGTGAGGTGCACTAAATTAAGCCGGGATCATGGGAGAATCACGCGCCTTTTTGATTTCGGCCCTTGCAACACTCAGTGCTTGTTGCTTTTTGCTCAATCAAGTGGCTGATGCAGGTTGAAAAGGCCCTGGCGGCTCGTTGCAGAAGCCGGGCAGCAAGCCCCACACCTAGCAGACGACCACACAGGCCGAAGACTTCAATTTGCATAAGGTGGGAGTCTCTGAAAAGAAACGTGTTTCATCAAGAAAGCCATCCTAGCCCCAAACCTTCCATGTCGCAGTTGCCTTGCAGACTTCCAGTCAAAGAAGCCTAGATTCGCAGCATCAATCCCGCACTTCCTGAGTGCATTGATTACCCCAAGCCCCAAAGTGTTGGCACCAAACTTCAGACCGCAGAAGCCTTTTCTCTTCCCCAAATGGACGTGACCCAAACGTGACCCGTTCAACTCGGAAATCGGATCGCATCGCACCTGCTCCAGCAGCGTGAGGTACTTCTTCTCGAGCACCTCTCACGGACATCACCCATATGGGTGGCTCGTCTTTTTTGAGGGTAGATCCAATTTTGGGGATCCCTCATTCTAAGAACACCCATGTTGCAAACAAGCCTGTTTTGCCCCTTGAAGTCAATCAACCTGATCGTGCGTAGCCATATTGAACTGGGACCCCAGAAAGGACTTGCGGCCACGGGCAATGCGTTCCGTATGGTTCCCCTTGGCACACCACCAAAAGGAACCTCGCCTCAAATTGGACGAAAAGTTCCAAGCCACACGAAGGAGAAATAAAGATAGCCTTGAGCTGTTTAACAACCTCCACCTCAGGGTCTAGCAATCGGCGTGCATCCCAAACCCGTTGAACTGGGACGTCAAAGTTCAAGTTGTTTCGCTGGCAAGTGCACCATGGGTACCGGCAGCTGTTTTCTGGATGCTGACAAAACAGAAACACAAACATAGAAAGAGAGAGCGAGAGAGAGAGAGAGAGAGGAAAAAAAAGGAGAAAAAAAAAGGAGAAAAAAAAGGAGAAAGGGGGGGGGGGGGGGGTAAAATGAAATGGGTTGATCAGAAGGGGCCGCGCTCTGATGATCCCCCTGTGTTGCTAGAAGCCCTTCTCAATGAAGCCTGCTTCATGCATGCACCCCTTTTATAAGTTACGCCTGTTGTTGGTTTCTAGCGTGTGGTTACAATCTTATTGCACACGTTGGAGGGTGCCAACATACTATGCCCCAAGAATGCACGGTACTTGCCCCTTCGATGCAAAAGAGAGTTGCCTGTTTAGGACACCTCGGTCGGCACAGCGCGTGTTTCTCTCAGGGCTCCGGGTTCAACTCAATAGCGGTCAAGTGCAGTGGCTTTTTGATGATACCAAAGGCCATCCCCCACTTTAACGAGGATTATACATTGGAACCCACAGGAGTGGCCGTCCTTCAAAGGGCCCTTCGGAAATCCGGGCACTGTGGTCCAAAATAGGGGGGCCCTCAAAATGTAGGACACGCAGTTTGCTTCAAATTGGCAGACAGCCTACACTTCAATGTCCAATACTTCCAACCAGACAGCCGAGATGTACCTTGGTATGCTGCTAAAAAACAATCCGCGCCAGGTCCCTTTGAGACTGGCTCATCGGATTGCTGTGGCTGTGGATGCCACATAAAAGAACCTGGATGAGCCGGCACCTGACAACTCAGCCAACCCTTCCCTTCTCTTCATAAATCCTTCTCTTCAACACATGCTCCAATCTCCTGGGAAGTTTGGTGATGTCTAGAAATTCAGAAAGAGCGATGGGTGAGGAGAATAGAAAATCAACCCTCAGAGCAATGCATTGTCCAACTTCCCTTCAAGAAAACAGCTTCCCCTCAAGGGGCTTGGAACCCGTGGGTTTGGTGGTGTTCCGGAGGGGTTGCCCATTTTACCCTCCACCAGAACCAGGGGTTACCCCTAAACGACCATCCAAACCACCAAGAAAGGGTTTGAAGAAAAGGGCCCCAAAGAAACAAAACGATCTTACACTAAAAATCGCCAAGGTCTCCCTTGGTTCCGGTTGGCCCCGTTCCTCAGTCTGACAGGTTGTTTTTGTTCAGCCTCCCGCAGGCCTGTGCATCAGCGCGAGCCACCTCGGCCGCCTTTGCCTTGCGCTCACGTGGCTTGCAACCAGCCCGTAAGTCGTGTCTTGTGGTTCGTTTCGAATCCACGAATCTGTGATACGACAAGGGGCTCCGGAAGACGAACCACCCATAAGAGGGGATTCCCTTGTGTCACAGAAGTGGGGATAAACCCCTTGATTCCACAACCCTGTTCGCTTCTGTTTTGGGTTTTTGCGAGTGTGTCGTTGACTGCTGCTGTAGTTGTTTGTTTGTTGCTAATTGGTGCTGGGGTTTTGGGACCTGGATTTGCTGATGCAAATCATACAATTGCTGTTGCTGTTGCCTTCCTTCATTCAGGGTCAGTTTGGGGTTGGGATTGCGCGATTTCCTATGTCCAAACTATCACTTCCTTCAAGGAAGCCGGGCCAACCAACTGGTTGTTTCTCGGCAATTTGTGATAACCGAAAACATCGTAAACCCGGGTTGGTTGAGCTCCTGCAAAACATGAAACCCTTGTCCCTGGGATTCAAACCACCAATAAACTAGTGGGGGTTAGTGTAACCACCATTGTCTACCTAAGGATTGTCATCATCTAATCGGGTCAACCATTCTTGTATGAGGGTTGAACCCTACGGTTGCTGCAAGAGGGCACCCAAGCGGATTTCGAGCCAGCGAGCCATATCCGCTCGCCCAACCTTTCCCGCCTTCAGACTGCTCGCCAGGGGGATGAAGTAGCTGATGAAAAATTGCAGTGACGTCTGCTGGATGGAGTCCTGACACGGATGCCAGAAAAGGCGTTATCAAACCTATAAGGCATATGCCAAAAACATCCCCCACATCACCTTAGTTTGAACCTTCCCTGTGATTGGATTTCCAAAGCTGGCAAGTGAAAAAACACCATCCCCCGCTGCAAACGCTGGATCATTTGCAGCAAGCTAGAGGATGTCCCTTGTTCCCTGCGTGATCCATGTCCACCGACACTTTTGAGATGGTTCCAACTCATAAAAGTCATAGCCATATCTAGGGAAACAACACGTGTTTGGGTTGGGACCATCCCGGGAAACTCGTGCCTTTGGCACCACTTGGAGGAAAGACCGAAAGAAGGCCAGCTGCTTCTGGATTTTGAGAAACGTCCATGTCAAACTAAAGTTCAAAGAGTCAAACTCGAAACCCAGTATTTCTGGCAACGGGGCTGTGCACAAGTGCTGTAAAAAACACTTCTTGGCAGCCAGAAGCAAAACCGCAAGGAAGCAACTGGTCAAAAACACGGCAGCTCGTTGCCCGCTATGGGACCTGTCAGGTGCCATGACAACACCGCCAGAAGCCGGCGAATTCAGGTGTGCCATGGTCAACCATTGCCATAGCCTCCATGGACATGGGAAAGCTGGAGTGTCCCCTGTAGGAAATCTGCAAAAGCTAACTAACAAGGTTACCCCAAATCAGTGCGAAGACTCCAGTTGTCAGAAGTTTAGTATTGATTCGTTTAGTATTGGGTCAAATACACGTAAAAGCAGGAGGTTGTCCTGGATTGTGTCCTGAACAAGAACTATTTAGGGGTGGATTCAACAATGAAAGGAAGGTATTAAGGGGACCAAATGAACTTCTCGTTTGAGAGACCCAGTCAAGATCCAGAGGGATCTTGCGGAAAAATGGTGACTGTAGCATCCCAAAGGAACCCAATGGTCGGAACAGGCTTGTGTTGAAAAAGGGTCATTTGACAAAGGCATGGGCAGTGACGGTTTGCAGGGACTGTCGCAGCCAGACATAGGTGCGGATGCTCCCTTCTTTACAATGTAAACTCAAATCGTAAAATGTATCATTTGTATATTTGATTTCGCCTTGTAGAAGTGAATGGGAAAAAACAGTGCCTTCAGCATGAATTCATCGCTCAGCAGATTACGATGTCGTAGGCCGTAGGACCGTAGTGGAAACTGGGACCCTGTTAAGAAATATGTTTCCCAAATAGGGGGGACCGGGATTTAAGAATAGGGGGAAGCGATAAATCACCCCCCCCCACCCCCCCTCAATCCTGAGTTCTCCATTACCCCATCACCCGGTCATCCAAAAGGGTCCTTGAGCACCAGCATCATCCAGGACCGGGACTTCTGCTCATAGCCGCGCTCCGTCAAGGAGTGCCTCGAAATCGACCGAAATCGAGTGAAGCCCCGCCTGGGGGGGAGGGCGTCCGATTCGGAGCTGATATCTTTCGACCAAAGAGCTGTGGTGTCTTTTTGAGGGAATTTGCAGAGCCCAGTGTCCAAGACCCAAAAGCTCTTCAAACGTGTGTTCATGCGCTGGAACCAGGAACAAATGAAAACCGGCTGTCCCCTGACCTTGTTAAAACCACGGGATGGTGAACTCTATGTGCACCGTCTGTTCTGGCCACCCAAAGACTGCAACCAAGCCCTAAAACGAACACAAGGCGCACACCGAGAAAGCGAAAAAAAACTTCTGGACGCTTTTGGCCCCCTGGCTGCAAGAGCTCCAGCGGCGCCGTGCTCAAGACCTGCCGGGAACAGGCAGATGACGGTGTTGCGGGATCCGCCGGATCCGGTTCGGTTGGCACCACACCATTGAATGGTGGGGTTAATATCTTGTCCTGGTTCTCCCTTGGCTTTGCTTGGGAATTGATCCCTTCAGGGGTCCTTTAGAGTCCCTTTAGCAAAAAACAACCCTGAAGGCCCCAAAAGACCCCTTTGTTTCTGCATTACCTTTTTTCCTGGGTCGAAGGCAAAAAATGGGTCCAGTGGTCTAGAAAACAGCTTGCATGCAGCTTTGGTGGATCCAAAAACAGTGTTGCAGTGTGCTTCAGCTTTTCCATTCGTTTGGTTTGCCCCAAAATCAACCGCAAAGCCCAGCCTGCTGTGGGCCGAAGGCCTTCACTGCGGAGCCGATGGCCTCCTGTAGCTCCTGGCGCTGGGTAGAAGGGAGCAACCTGTGTGGCTCGCCTGCTCCCGCTTTTGGAGGGGGGCAATTTTTGGTGGCGTAAAACGAAAACCAGAGGTCTTGGAAAAAATGAAGCCCAAATGCTTGGGGAGATACAAGACAAACTCCGACAGGAACCCTACCCCGATAGTGGGCGGTTCCTTGGGCTGGTCTTTTGCACCGTGTTGGTTGGATGGGGGGGAGGTTGGCCTATATGTTCAACCTCTCAGAGGTGAGCGCTGAAATCAGTACCTCAATCTCATGTGCAAAAAGCATCACAATCCCAAGGGAAACTCACCTCAAATAAGGCAAGGTGCCCTATATGGGTTTCTGTGTGTGTGTGTGTGTGTGTTGCTGTTGTGTTGTTTGTGTGCTTTTTTGGGGGGGAAGGATCCCCCAACAAGACCATGTTTCCAAGCAAACATCACCCGGCAAAAGGTGATGGACTGTTTGACCTGGCGAAGGTTTGACCGCAGGCGGGAGGGGCCTGGCCACAACCCACGCCCCAAGTGAGCCACAAAGACCTTCATTTACATCTACCGTACCGTATTTGGCTTAGATGGCTCATGTGTTGCGTGTTTTCTGGGGCTGAAAAAAGACAAAGGAGCACTAGGGTGACCAAAAGGGCACAAGGATAGTGAAGAATCACAAGGGCCCCTTCATATCCGAACCTATTTCTGGCAGGGGCCTTTTCTTGACCTCCATCTACCCAGGTTTGGTTTGCGGATCAAATGTGCAGGATTTTCAACTGGAACACCCCATCAAAATATGGAAGACATTTACGGGTTGCGCATGGTTCAAAATCCCACCTGTGATACTCGGATTTTTTAGTTCCGATTCCGTAACTACTTTATCCCCTGGAGGGGGCTACCTCCCCTCCAACAAGTGAGTAATGTGGCAATTCCCCGCAACCTGTGAGGTGAGTGATTGTCCAACCACCTCCAAAACCATCCCAACCATATGGAGCCACGATTTGCCACCTCGGCCACTGGGCAAGTAAGCAGCAAGCAGGGGCACACCAAAGGGGGCAAAGTGGCTTGCGGCTGGGAAACTGTTAAAAGCAGAGAGGGCCGTGCACTTGGCGGTGTTTGCTTGGTTGCCTATGTGGTAAATCGCAAAAGAACCCTTTCGGATGGTTCCTTCAGGGACGCCCATTTCGGAAACTGACAGGAATTCTGGGGGTGTCACTTTGATGGGACCCAGTACGAGGTGGGGGGTCCATGACCCGATTAATCTCAAGATTCACCACTGTTGACCTCCAAAAACAAACCAACCTAGCGCTTATGCTAAAGGCAGAGATGCTGTTTGCCAGCCACAAGATGCTCACGGTTGCGGTATGAGGTGTGGAACCCCCTTCTTGTAAACCCAATTCTGTGAAAACATCATTGGACATCTACTAGTTTTTTGGTTGACATTCCGATGGCAAATCGAATCCACCCGAGTCGAATCGCTTTCCGCTCTTGATGAACGTGACAAGCACTTGAGCAGCGCCCAAAACCCATTGACAAGGTTCTACTAAATGGCCACAAAGGTTTTCAAAGGCCTGACCATAAACCCCATGAAACCGGGTAGTACCACCTAGAATGGCAGAAGGGCCCTTTGAAATCGGTGTTCGGGCGCGCCCTTCAACTGCGCCTTGCCGTAGACATTGAGCTCGCCGCCCCTCGACTTGTCCCTGGCCTCTCAAGGAGTCCGCCCAACTGGGTGCAGGTTCCCTGCTTCCCCCTTGTCCACCGCCAAACAACTAAACAAAGAAGCATCGAATATGAACATAAATATATACAATATATAGATCAACGTTGGATGGTTTTATCTGAGGTAGACCAACTCTGTCGGGAGTTTCGGGAATGCGTGAACTCCCCAGGCTCCCAAAATGGGTGTGTTCAGGGAACCTCCCCTAATTTCGACAACCCCAAAGCATCCCTAAAACATCACCCCTGGAAACTCAGGCGCGACTGCTCCAAAAGCTGAATTCCAACGGGAAAAAACTGGCGACCTCATGGACTACGCGTTGGGTAAGTCATTCAGCTCAGTTGCCGGCTCCGGCGAATAGTAGTGATATCAAGATAAATCCGGTTAATATTGAAACGTGAAGTATCAGCAACTTGTCTGGTACAAAAGGGCTTGCGAGGGACTCTGTAGCCTTTTTGATGCTGTTTCAAAAGGAAACAAAAGGAACATCTGGAGTCTTGGGATCTGGGCGGGGGGGTCCCATATGAGCGACGGTCAAAAGTACTTGCTTCCGCCACGAGGTATGGGAAAACCCGGTGCATGTGTGGAGGAACTTGGTGAGCTCTCCCATGTCCAAATCTCTCAAATGGACCATAGACTCAGGAAATGTTGACCAAACCTCACATCTCTCCCAAAAACCACAACCTTCTGCATCCCCCTTTTACCTTCGATGTCATTCCCAAAAAGCAAACCACATCTACAGCTCCTTTTGGCTTCTTTCTCCCAAAGCCGTAGACGGACACCAACAAAAAGACGCACATCGCCTCCACAAGCTCCGCCACCAGCGGCCTGGACTGCCTCAAATGGATTTTTAGAGGTGTCCCCCGAAACTTTCCCACGGGGAAAGCCCCATTTTGCCTGCGCGCTCATACCGCCCTAGGTGCCTGTTGGAAAATTGCAAGGCTGTGCTTGTGAGTGCCCAAATGGTTTTCACCACAAGGATTTTAAGTGACCTTTAGTCCAGGAACGGGAGTGAGGGGAAGATGGGGTGCCACTGGATTTTTTCCCTGGGTTGACGAATTTACCGAGGATGAAAATCGAGGGTGCACCCTTTATGTAGAGGGGATGACTAACCTAAATTGGCCAAAACTGTGGCATCGGCTTTCACTCAACACGAGTGTCAACCCCCCAAGCCTGGCTGGCTCGTCTTTTCGGGTTTGGTTTCACGAGTTTTCCGAGTGAAACCACGCCATTTGGAGGGTTTCCCTCATTTGGAAACTCACCAGAAAACCCACCAGTGACCAAGAGACTTCGCCGGGGCGCTGGAAGCTTGCAGCAGTCCACTGCTGCACCGCATCCAAGCCTCCGGCGCCACGCCAGCACCAGCTTCCCCCACCCCCAATGGGGACGTTGTTTTTCCAACCGGTTGATCGTCAGGAAAAACAGTGGGCCCCTGGAAGAGGAAACAAAAGGACCCAGCACCAACCCTGTCCTGAGCAGCACAAAAAAAGACACAAAATCTTTCTCACACAGCCCTCTGACCGGCGTTCATTCTTTCTTTCGCTGCTTTCAGGAAGTAGGTTTCCTTTTTTCATCCTTGCTTGCTTTGTACAGTATGCTCATCTGCATCATGATTTGCGTAGTCCTGGTCTATTTATGCGTTTCTCGACGTCTTTGTTTGCATGTTGTCTTTATGTCACGATTTGTTGTCTTTCGCTTGCTTCCTTTATATCTTTGTCCAGCTGTTTCTGTGTCCATGTCTTTCTGTTTATCTTTGCGGATGTGTCTCTTAGAGCACCCCTGTTGCTTCTTCTCTGCAAGGGAAACCAAGAGGGCCATTTTGGTGGTTCCCGCTATATATGAGTGTGAGTCTTAACAACATCGTCAACACCTTTGCGGAAGCTGTTGGAGCAATGTGAGTCAGTGCTGTCCACGGTCAAAAGCTGACGCTTTCCCTACGGGAAGTTGGCCAAGCCACCAAAAAACATTCATGTCCAATAGTTCCTTCTTAGATTCGGGTATGTGACGAAGGGAGACCCCCAAAATCGCGCTTGTCCCTTTTGGTGTCCCTTAACATCAACCTCAAAAAGGGGGTTGCCTCAAAACAGCACAACACCATGCCCGCCCCCCTCTGGCCTAGCTCCGACCGCAAGCTGGCCATGGCATCGAAGAGCGCGCCCACTGTGGGCAGCGCGTACACCCAGGAACCCTTCGCCTCAAAGCCTAGGACGGGACCGGGTCGACCACCAGCGCATGGGTTCGTGCATTGTTTGACCCTCTTATGGAGTGGTTTTAATGAGACAGCAGTAAAACCATCGCTTGGCTTAAAGGGAACCAAAAGGAGAACACTGCTGTGTATGTATATATATATATATAGACACGAGTCTCTTCCGAAGCAGGGATTCCTTCAAGACTGGGATTATGCTATGCAAAAGGGAACCAAAGGAAAACCAACCATTTTGAGGGCTGCCACTTTGAGAAATGCCTGTATACATGTAAATAAATGACTAACTAAAGGAATGGCCCAGATTCAAGGTAGGGGATAAACCCTCCCCTGGAATCCACACTCGAACCCCCAGAGCGGGGATGACAGTCTTTGAGACAAACACCTAAGGCCCTCTGCCCCTGAAGAAAGGTTCGAAGGAACAGTCTGAGCAGAGGTTATCTGAGTCCATTCAAATGCTCCAAGGTTGGGTGGGGGGGGGGGGGGGTCCTGCGTCTCCTTTTCCCCCAAGCCAGTCTGATCTAAATGGAGTCCATATAGAAAAACACTGCAAGAAGAGCCCTTTGGCAACCCAAGGTAAGGGCTTTTCGACTTGCCTTTGCGGCCTGAGTCTGGCTCAGATTGGAGGCTTCACATTGACTCGCGTGGGGTGTAAAGGTGCCAGCTCAATGAACCCAAGGTAAGAGGGGTGCTTGCTTGTTGAGTGTTCAACCCAAAAAAAAGGTTCCCATGCCGAAGGTGTTGGACCATTTGTGGTGGTTCCCTCTCTTTCTTTACCCAAGAACCATCTAATTGAAAGGCAAAAATGGTTGGGGACTTTGACTAAAAGTAGACCGGTTGAAGAAAACGAAGCGAACCGCCTGCCTCTCTCTCTCTCTCTCTCTCACTTTCTCTGTTCTTTCGCATGAAGCAACCTGTGGCAAAGACACCCATATCCGTTCCCTTAGGGGTTCCTCATGGGATTGAACAAAGAAAATCGGTTCTCCCAGAGGATGCAAGCCCACTCAAACGGCACCTCCCCGGGCTCCGGCCGATCGCAACCTGTGAGCCATCGTCTCTGTTCCAGGCGGCCGCCGTCTCTCTGTGCTTCCGGGCGGAGCAACGGCCGCAGCGCCTCCGGCAGTTCCTGCCACGCACTGGTGTGCTCCGGACGGGGTGGCGCACAAAAAGGCGCGCCAGGTGCCCACGGCAGAGGACATTGGTGTGCGGAAAACTCAACTTCCAAAAAAGGTTGTTTCAGTCAACAGCTCTGGAAAAATGAGCCAAAGTCAGCCTCAAAAAAAACAAGCTGGGTTGAGATGAGTGCACCCCAAGAGCATAGAATGCCAATCAGGTTACCCACCAGGCCAGGCTTGGTCCACGTCACGCCCAGTATCACAGGGAAATTTGGTGCTTGTCATCTGCTTTCGGTTGAATATGGGTGAGTCCCCCCATGTCCTTCCACATGCCGAAGTGCAATTGGAAAATCGAGCCTCGCATCACTCCCCCCACCTTTGCGGAGATTACAACTTGAACTTTCGCCACGGGGAGAAAACCTGGGCACGCTCGTTTCAATAAGCAACTGCCAAAACTGGGCCTCCGAAAGCAGGGGGAAACCGGCCAACAGCTTGGCCACAGTCAAAATTGCTTGCCTCCTGGAGAACATAAGGGATTTGCATGGAATGCCCTGATTTGTTGTCTAAGTTTGGTGAGTCCCAGCCCCATGCCCAAATCTCCCAAATGGATAGACAAAACAGACAAAGATTGTAAACCTCAGATGACACAGAGATTGAGTGGAACCCCAAACTGGGGAAAACGAGCCGTCCTTTAACACGGACCCACCAGATCCTGCGTTTGGAGCGCCTTACACTTCCAGCCTGCAGGAAGGTGTCCTCCTTGCTCTCCCCTGCAGCACTGAAGATGGCCTCGCAGGCCTGGAGTTCACAGGCGAGTTCACTGCAAGATCCCCACAGAACAACCCCAACGCGTTGTTCGTCGCAGCAAGACGGCTGCATTGAACACTCCAAAAACCAGCAAGCTTGACCTGTCCCGCCACGCTCGGGACCCAACCCCAACCCCCCCCAAACGCGCGCAAAGGCCTCCTTGGCGGCTCGCAACAGTCCCGGATCTTGCTCCGAGAACAGCGACCTCGAGCGAGTCACAACCGGAATTAAACTGGTCCCAAAGCTTAGCCGGGTGTTTTTTCGTTCCCCTTTATAACCAAGACTGAACCGGGCGGATATCCGTGCCCATGTGTGGCACTGTCCCTAGATTCCGCGCTTGCTCGTTCCGGCATGACTTGATCCTGCCAAGCGAGGCCCCCGGCAAAAGCTTCTTGGTCGCCGTCAGCTTCTGCGGAGCCGCCTGTTCGAGGCATATCTGCAATACCACTACCACCATTTTGGGGGTTGTCCTTTTCCTGTCCCTTCAAAGCTGCCAAAAAGGGGTTCCCTCAGGAAAAAAAAAACTGGGGGGAGAAAAAAAACCAACGTCATGGGTACATAGAGGGCCCGAACTTCATGTCGCCTTTTCCAGACGGGACAAAGGGAAGAGCATTATGGCAGCTCTTGCAATCACCTTGGCTACCAAGGGACAGGCGGCGGGGCCTTAGATGATCGGAGCGCTCCTGGCGGACAAACTCCCGCACCAGTTCGCCAGTTGGTGGGTCTGTCCAGTATTCATAGGGCTTCACCTGCCCCGACTGGCGCAGGATTTTGCCCCACTGGGTCAAAGCGGGGTCTTCAAACCGGTCATGGCTGAAGTTCTGGACTCGCAGCGCAACCGACGGAGGCGCGCAGACGGTGAGCAGCACGCTCTTTTGTGAGAACAGCTCGGCTGGCCGGCCGGCCAAGATCAAACCCCAGCAACTCCAGCCGGCCGTTGCTTTTTGAAGGGAGTCAGCGTAGTGCCTCGCTTCTTCGAACTCTGCAAATAGATCTTTTTCTGCCACGCTTTTCGCTTTCGATTTTCCGCTTGGTTTCCCTTTCAGAAGTGAAAAGGGTACCCTCAAAACACAACCACCATCTGTCTTCAAGGCCACGGGCCCCAGGAATGTTCTCGACCAAGCCGCAATGAAGAGCTCGTCGGCATCGCCGACAGGGTCGTTATTCAAAAACAAAACAAAAAAAAGATCCCAGAGAAGTCGTAGCACTGGGTCCATGAAAGCATTTACATGTTGAGGGGTTCTCAACATCACCTGGGAGGATAACTTTGAGGCTGTCACTGTGGTTGGGTGACCCTAAATGGGTTTGGCTGCTACACACACGATTGTCCGCGCGATTGAAAACCCGTGTCTCCAGGTTCTTCCAGAGGACCTGGGGTTCGCAGCAAACCTGATCCAAGCCAAATCAGGGTGACCTGACGTGGAAAAGCTATAAGGGACACTTTCTGGGGGGGAGGCTCAGAAAACCTGTTGCGCGCTTCGGGGCAAAAAATACTCTCCCCGGGCACCTCCTTTGGTAAGGCTGCCGTGGCAGCCGCCGTGGCACGGGCAAAGGCTGAGACGTACCTCCCCGCACGGCTGGCATGCGCGTTTCGTTTCGTTTCGGTTGCCCTTAAAACGACCCAAAAAGGGTGAACCAGAAAAACAAACACCCCGGAAGTGGGGGTTGTGGGGTATGGATACCACCATATTGCAAGTCAACCAAGCGTACTCAACCATAAAACCAAGGCAAAATCACGGGAAAGTGGCGGCAGTTGCAATACTTAGAGCATCCACCGTTTCAGAAAGTCCTGGTCTAAGTCACGGTTATAGAAGACAACTGAAATTGGCCTTGTGGGGTGCTATCTCAGGTGAGGTCCATATAGGTCTCTCGCGAAATAAAGGACCCCACCCCCCACCCCAAACCAAAAATAAAGCATGGGTAATGCCTGGTTGGTGTCCAATGGCAACGGTTCAAGTGGCATACAAGACAGCCAGAATAAGAAAGCTACTGTGTTCTCGTGGTTTCCCTCTTAAGTAACCCCCGTAAACGTGTACCAACTCAAAAAACGACCCACCCATAGCTGAAGTTATCAGCACATCGCAAGCTCACGCCACGTTCAGCATGGAGAGCGGCACCGCCACCATGCCTGCTGCGCGTTTTGTTCTCAAGGGGCTTGGGGTTTGGTGGGGTCCCCTGGTTGGTCGAAATGTGACTAGTCGGTTAATACATGTTTAGTCAACTGACAAGTCAAACATGGTCAGTCAAAAATGGGTGGTCGGTAAACTATAATTGGTGGGTGTTAAATAAATTTGCCAAAAACTGTTTGACAACAATTGATCAAGGCAAATGTTCGCCAATAAATTGACCCAATGGAAAAGTGGCCGGCCAAATTAAAGAACCCGTTCCTTCTGATATACCTGGGTCCCTGATGAACTCACTTCATAGATGGGTAGTCGAAATATGGTTGATCGAAACACGTCAGCTAAGAAATTGTCAGTCAACCAACAAGTGCTAATCGAATATGGCTTGTCTGAAGCTGATTAGGCAAAGAAGGCTCGTCGAGAAATTGTCGATAAGCCATAATTGCATAATTCATGGTTACTCCACGAATGAGATTGTAACATATTCATAACGGAGGCTGATACATGAAGATTGGAAGTACCGATTCCTTGCTCGTATGTCTTGATTCTCTGGTTAATCCACTTTGTAACGGGGTACATACCCCTTTCCCAAACAGGAGGGATACCCCCACAATGAGCTTCTGTCCCGAAGATCTGAGACGGTTTCCATTACCCCCAAAGCACTACCCCAAGCAGGAGATAGGGTGTATTGGGGAAGTGGTTTGGGGGTAGTGGAAGCCATCTGAAAAACGAAAGAACCGTGCCGGGCTTGTGAGTCTATTCCCCAACCAACCCAACGCACCGATGCCGCGCCTGGCAGGAACTTTGCTGCCAGAGCTGCCCGTCCGGCGCGGCCAGACTGGGCCTGACGAGGGAGTCAAGGGCCTGAGACCCAGGTGGCGCTCGACATGGAAGAGCGGAAGACACCAAGGAGAGCAGAATTGGTACATGTACCTTGCTTGTCACTTTCGCCAAAATGGCTCGGAGGTGCAAACACCTCATTCCCACGACATGCCTCCTTCTGCCATCCACTCTGTTGACCCCTCAAGGGGTTACAAATTGACGAATCGATCAAGGGAGCTGCACATGCGGAAGACTGGTACAAAAGTCACAACATCGCATCGTCTCCCTTTGACATCTCAACTTAAGGCCGACCCTGGCCCTCGGAGACTCCCCGACCTCCGCCGCGTCCATCATCTCCTCATCCCACTCCTAGAGAGCATGGGACAAGCCGTCGCTCATCCCGAAGCTTGGTTTGATGGCCAAACATGGGCCAACATTGGGAACTCGGACTCCACTTGCTGAGTTCAAACAAAACACGGTTTCCCTTCCAAACTCCAGCAAGAGATAGTCCCAAGCTCCAACAAGGGAGGCTTTCGGGGCCTCGGGCCCATTCGCGCAGCTTGGCGCTTGGCGCGGTCGCTTTGAGCATGTGCTTAATGCGGGTTCGGCCAGTCACACTTCGAAACAGCGCTGGGCACCTTACCTTGGTGGGAACCCAGGATCAATCACCCTCTGGTTGACTAGGGCGTGGTTCATTGAATTACTTTTCGGTTGGGGAGCACTCGCCCTTTAATCCACCAGGTTGATTAATCCGAGGTCAACATTCATGCCAACTTCCGATTAATCAAAACCACGCTGATCAGGAGCGTTCTCCTTTGAGTTGGACATCAACTCATGTTCACAGCCTCGAAATGTTCAAATGCATACAGTCCTTCGGGATAATCCGAAGTTAAACCTGCGGAGCTACACGGCAACCTGGTGGCAATGTGTTTGCCTGGCCAAATGTCGGATGCCTTGTCACCGGGTCGTTGGGATTTCTGTGTTCTGCTTTTGGAGGAGAAAGGTGTTCAGGAGTCCGACTCATCTGACAACACATTTTCTAACCGCTCAGTTGACACGGGGTAGCTGAAAGCATGCGTCTGTGGTGTTCAAACCTCTGCGGAAACTTGAAGCGGAAGAAAGATTGCCGCGCGGCTTCAGGTGCGACAAAGGGGTTTGTCACCTTCAGGCTCGCTTCGCATATATGCGCACACATGGCTCATCCGGATTCCCATCCGTCCAAAGCAGGGCTCCCTGTGCATTCCCTAACCATTGAACCTTTGGGCATTGGGGCTTGGCTTGGCAAAGGTTCGGTTCCCCATGTTGACAGGGTCCAGTACAGTGACATCCCTGACTCAAACTGTCCTCTGAATGGTGGCTTTACCACCCCGAAAGCAGCTTTGAGGATCGACCAAACTGCGGGTGTCTCTTCTTTTGAGGGCACCCTTTTTGCGGCGGTTTACAAGGAAAGCAACAGGAAACCAAGTATTTCGAGGGCTCGCTCGTTTTGAACCCGTATTCACTTTGCGGGATCTAAACTGAGACCCTTTTCAAGAACAAAAACAAGAGCCAGCAGCTCCTCCTGTGAGAGATGCTCTGCCGCGAACTCGAAGGCAGCGGTGCAGCAGGGGTGCTGCCTGGGGGCGAAATTTTGTTGGTCGCCCTGCCCACCAACAGGTCCTCACAACGGCGGCCAAGGCGACAACGAGTTGGGAGGCCATGGTGGGCCCTTCAAAGAGGGCGAACCCCGTAAAAAGGCATCCAAAAGGGAATATGTATTGTCGCTGCTGGTGCATGTTGGGATTGGGCGCGGCCCCTGTAAGGGCCTTGACAACCATAGGATGGAGTTTTCGAGGCGGGGTACTTCCCATGCTCAAGGAGCCGTGACCATGGGAAGAAACACCTGTGAGAATGTGGGCCACATTATCGACGGACAAAATAAATGCCGATCGGCACCAGTTGGTACTTGTCGAATTTCATCCAGGCCAGCAGCCCCAAAGTCTATGGATGCAGAAGAGGCGTTTGCCAAGCAGCGAGCTGTTGACCACTGCATGCACTTCTGCGAATACTGCCCTCCACGGGAAGCACCAGCGGCCAAATCTTTTCATTCATGCAAAGCCATTCAGTGAGACCTGCCTTGGTCGATGCGCCATGCATCTGCGGCATCGTCTCATCAAACTTGTCCACCATGAGTGCGTTGTTGTTTTCTTCTTTTTTTCCGGCAGCAGCTGCTTGCTGCACTCCATGTGGTCTTCGTACATCTTATATATCTTATTTAGAGAAGCCAAGAGACAAGACTGTAGAATTTGCTCAATTATGCCTCTCTCCCTGCTAACCTGATCTAGATAGACTTTACGATTTAAATGTGTTCATTGAATATTTGATTGGTGTCATGCAAACATAGGTCTTATTGCAAGCATGTCTGAAGGTCATGCCAAATGAGGGAAAACTAAACTAGTTGATGTTTAAAGCTTGTGCATTGCCATGTAACGGATTGCCAACTCTTGCCCTTTACAGGGGCATCACTTTGAATAATCAAAAGGACTGATATTCGTACATATTTCTCCAAAAGTCAATTCTCCAAATTGGTTTGGACTGTGCCTCAAATGTGGGGGTTTCAAAACGATGGACGCAGTTTAGGGTCCAAAAGACCGACTTAAAAGGCGGCACAAAATGTCAAGAACGCTCATAGGGGTCTTTCTCAGCCTTCACTTCCGTGGCGATTTGAACTCGTGGTTCGGAGGTTAGGCAGCAGTTCTGTCTATCCCCGGGTTCCAAACCGTCAATTGATTGAGGGTGTCTCCCGCAAACTGACGCGGAACCAAGGGAAAAGTATCCCAAAAGAACCTCCGCTTCCTGAAATTCTATCCGATTTCGCCGGGTTTCGTGTTAATCTGGGCTTTTCTCAAAATACGAACCCTCCAGGTTGTTGGTTTCCTTTTGGCTTCCAATAAACCCACCCAGAAGCAGTATTGCTCCGAAAACATCAGGGTAGCAGGGATTGTCCGGGAAAAGGCAACCCTGCGCCAGCTGGTTCTCCCGGTTTTCAAAGGCTTTCATAGGGTTTCATCCAACTGGCGCCGATCGGCGTGGATTTGTCGAGTAAACCTGTCGGACTTTCGGATGGACTCGGCACCCCGCCCCAGGAGGGCAGGCAGCCTGAGGGGCTGCCAAACGCCAATCGATGACTTTCAGTTCTTGGGAAATGGCAAAATGCGCAGTGGGTTTACATGGTCAGGGAGTCCCTTTCCCGGGTGTTTACTTTGGCAGCATGTGTAATAGTGGGTCATAGTCGATCGAAAAAGTGGTCCTGCCACGCCCCAAACACACCACTCCCCTATAAAAGCATTCCCCAGTGCAATGGAGGGCTGTGATTTGGGGGGGCAAGAGTTTGATTAATTGTCCATTGGTTCTCTGGTCTTTGGTCTCCTGCAGTTTCCCTACGGTGTCCCTTTAGCTTCCCTTTGGCTCCCTGCAGCGCAAACCCGAGCCCTTACAAGCAACAGCTAAAGTTACCCATGGTAAAAAGGTGCTCTGGAGCTTCTTATCACCTTGTAGGTGTTCTTGGATGGCATAACTCACATATTTCCAGGTTGCGGTTCGGGTTGGTTTGGGTCAGGTTTCCGACTCGTAACAATGGCTGGCCTAGGGCCGGTTTAGGGCCAGCCTTTGGCAGGTTCAGAGCGATTAATCCCTTGTTGGGCTTATGTTAACAGTAAAACCAAAGGGAGAGCACCATGTTTGTGTTTTTGTTTGGGTCTCCAGGTTTGAAACACACCCATGTGCGAACATGTCCCCACAAACAATCAGAGACTCCAGGTACCAAACACGGTTCCTTGCTTGAAGATTCTTCAAGATCAACTGGTGAACTAACATGATTTCTTCCACCATGGCTTGAAGTTCTTCCAACATTTTCTCAGAAGGAAGTGTGGAGAGTGCAAACTCTGACTGTAGCAGATTCTCACACATGCTGGGAGGTTCCTTGATTCTCGGAGGTTCATGTCCAATGTTGCCAGGGGCACCATCTCCAACAAAAAAGGCCCGGGGTGCAAAATGGCACCGAAAAGTGACAAAGTGATGCCAAGGAAATCAGGGTGTGTCTCCTGCAAAATCGGTACGGTAAACACACCTTGGATCGGTGGTCCAACTCAGCTGGGCCACGCAAACCTGCCTCGTCAGCGCCACAAAGATGTCCCCCAGCTGCCTGAAGGGCACAAAACAACATGCTGTCTAAGAGTCATGCTTTCTGGCAATATGAACAACACGATTCTAGGGGAAGAATGAGAAGAGTGATAATAAGGACAATCATGATATGGCAAATGATTCATGATCCTTGCCATAGTCTCTCCACATGACCATCCAAAACTCAGACTGGATGAATTGACGGAACCCACCTTTTACATTTTTTTGAAGCGCCTATTCCCCATGAGCAAAAAGCTCGTCAGACCTTCTGTAGGCTTTATGGACAAGAAATTTTCGGTCCCAGCCAAGGGGTTGACGATCATCTCTACCAACCTTCCAAGGAGTCTTACGCCTTGATCTGGGCGCTGGGCTCGTCTGGAATCACCTTCGACACCGCGCGGAGCATAGACACCGCCTCGTCGAGCCCAAGCTTTACTTGCCGCAGTTGCCGACGCTTCTACCGGACAGCTCAAAGCTATTGGGTTTCTGCGCGGAGGCTCTGGGGTGGTTTGGAGCAGATTGCAGGGAAGGTACCAGAAATTGTAGAGGGTTCCAGGGCTGTTGGGGATATCACCTGGGCTTATTTTGCCTTGAGGGGCCCCCCCTCCTTTCTTTGGGTGAAAACTTACACCCCTAAATTCATTGCAAGACATGCCGGCAAACTCGATGATTGAAATTGACAACATGTAGCCTTCAACAAGCAGCGCTCCCTATTCCCGCGGGTTTGACGACAAATATTTCATGTTCGCGTTTGAACTGGGTTCCTCTTATGCACCCGTTCAACATCACACCACCAAAAGGAGAACGCTGATGTTGAAGCCCACCCAAAAAGGGAGTTCTATGGACGCCGCTTGAAACGCGGGCTGTAAAAGGGAGGCTTGTTCCCCTCGTGAGCAAGTCACCTCACTCGAGTCCTGAGCTGAGCCGCACACGCGCTGGGCAGGGATCTCTTCAGCCTGCAAAGCTATTGGGGGCGCGCCTTTTTTGTGAGGTCGTGTTGCTGGTAGCCGCCGCAAAGAATGGCTAAAGCGCCTGATTCCCTACTGAGACCCAGTAGGTATTCCATGCTGCCCCCCACCAAGGGGAGGTTGCAGGTTCAAATCCAGCGGGGTTCGACGAGAATCCAGGCAACCACCCTTTTAGAAGGGGAATCCATTCAAAAAATTGTAGGAGCGTTCTAAAAGGCTCTGTGTCAATGGGGATGGTTAGGAAAGAAAGCCAAGGGCTCGTATGAGCCAAGGCAAATACTGCCAAGGGAAAAGCAAGGGCTCAACTTGGTCAACCGCTACTAGTTCATGGTTGATGACCATCCCAATTCCCGAATGACCAGGTGCTTTTAGCAGGGCATATATGCACATTATTCTACTTGTAGTCGCATGCTTCAGGGCATTGCCTGCCCAAAACTCCTCCATGGGGAAAACCGAAGAATCAGCGACTATATAAGCGGACAACACGTGACTAGCCACTTGGTTGGGCTCAAATTCTAGGATGATAGTCCTGGTTCCCTTGATGGGAATCCTTCTAGCTGGGCTGGCATTCACATTGAGGACTTGATGACCATCCCTACAAAACCTAAAGCAAGGGGGCTAGGCAAGGTTCCCCATATCTCCCCTTTGAACCATGAGCCCTACCGACGAAAACAGGGACGACCCTGTTGGGGGCGGTGGATCCTACAACTTCCCATCAATCAGTGCGCAACTCCAATCGCCGAGCGCCTTCTTGTCGGAGCGTGTTGAGAGCATCTGCGTGAGGTGCTGCACGGCAAAGTCTAAGGTCTGCTGGTCCTCGAAATCCGAATCCGTGTAGATTTGGACCCCCAAAATGCGTGGGTTCCCTTTAGTTTCCCTTTAAACCATGCCCGCAAGGGCAGCCACAACAAAGGAGGCACCCATTTCCTTCCCTGTCAAAGGCCCAGCGTTCGTTCGAAACCCCAATCCTAGGGCAAACCTCATGGCGCCAAGGGGCTCATAAGGCCTAACACAGTGGACTTCATCAGCCCGTTCCTTGAGTTTCCACCATTCGCTCGACAAATATAAGTTGTTCCCTTTTTTGGAGAGGCGGGGAGAACGCACCCCCAAACAAAATCATCCGATGGTTTATGAAAACAGGGCGAACCTTGGCGTCCACTTGGACTTTGGCTTCAACATAACCTTTTCGGACAGGTCATCTAAGAACCAAAACAGCTGTTGGGTCTTTATTGTTTTCAACAGCACCCTTTGGTTGCCATGGCGAATCGGGCTTCCTCCAGGGCCCAAAAAGCGGGGCTCGTTGGAAGTAGAGAGTTCTTTGCGCCACACACGCGCACACACACACATGCGCGCACACACAAACCTGCGCGCACCATCCCTGGCTGGATCGGGGGAAGGCAGCTGCCTGGCCGGCCGCTCCGAACCCCGCCCGCTCCGAACCGGACTTCCGCAGAATCGAGACCGCAGAGAGCTCCGCCTAGCGCAAGGCCGAGTTTTTTTGACGCCACGAAGGCTTAGGATGTCTGTTGGAAGACATGACTTTGGTGCCTTGAATGTTGCTTTCATCCAAACAAAGACTGTTTATGTTGTACCAAAGACCGCTTTGCTTTGTGTTGTTTTGCCAATGCAAAAAGACAAGACCATTTGCTTGTCCAGGGTCTGCTTGCTTGCTGGGTGGGACAAATTGAACACTTCCCGGTTTCTTGACGGGAAATTCCGGCTTAACCGTCTAGCGCGCCCAGTCCTCAAAGGGACCTTCCCAGCACGTCGGCAAAAAGGGCGGCAGTATTCCAAAGCCATCCTGTCCACTTTCATCATTGGAAAGAGGGTGACCAGTTCCGTTTTCAGGCATTTTGACCATGACTGTTGGTGCCCAAACATCAATACCCCCCCGAAATAACAAAAAATGAGAAATGGCCCCGGCTGCTTCGCGACAAATCCCACCCAGCCGGAGCAACCTCCGGCCTGCCGGCGCACACCGCCCCGGGGGTCTTGTAGGAAGCCAAAGATCGGCTTCAAGACCTCAGCGGCGCTTCCGGCCCGAAGCCGGCTCAAGCGCCGGTCGGGCAGCGCTCCTCTGGTCGAAATGGCCATGGGTCAAAATCCAAGTCAATCCCCACTAAAATAGGTTCTAACATGGGTGGTGAACTCATGGTTTTGACCCACAGCCAAATAGGATACAGAGCCCACAAAATGGGCCTCGAGGCCCCCTGAAGTCAGTTATCGAGGCTGTGTCTCTCCAGAACCCAGATGTAAAACTCACGACCTATCTCAGAAGACCTGGGTGTTGAAGCTTGGACGTTCCGGTGGGTTCCAGCCGCCACCCAAAGGCAACAAATGACAACTCGACAGTGCAAATGCAGATGATTCATCAACGCCTCGGGATCGCAGGGACGAGTTTTTGAGGTTGTTCAAAGGGAAAGCCAGAGGCAAACCACAAATTTGGGGCCCCAAATGATGGAAACCGACAGAAGGAGGGGTCCTCTTCGGATTGGGATTGCCGCTGATTTCCAGCCGCAGAACTTGCCTCTAATGCCAATACGGCCCAACAAGGCTCCTTAAATGTCCCCTTCAAACAGCACCCCACGAGAGCGAAACACGACTTTGATTGGCTGAGAAGGCAACGCACCACCCAAACGGGAAGTATGCTTCAACGGCGCTCGCAACATGTGCCAGAACATCCATCATTTGAAGACAAGCCCCACCCCCCCCCTCCATGAGGTACCATCAAAACAGAGCGGTTGAAGCTTCGTATGGGACATTCTCCTTGCCATGGTGCGCCCTTTGATTCTTTAAACCAGGTTTGAGTAGATCCCCTTCACAGGTTCTGATTATTCTCAAACACAATTAAATGTTTCGGCCTTGTTTTTGCAGGGTAGCATGCAGCTGATAGTCGCAAGTGGCCATCCGTGAGAACTCCCTGTAAGCGGCGGTCTTTGGTCTAACCTTACAGGAAAACCAAAGGCAAACACCAAAATCCATTGTTGGGGACCCAAATATGGCCATGGGTCAAACCCCGTACCCCCAGTGAACATCCCAATCCCCACTAAAATAGGTTCTAAAATGGGTGGTGAATTCACCTACCCCAAAATGGGATCCCAAAACGGTTTTGACCCACAGCCAGCAACCAAAGGCCCTGTAAACTGAGGTACGTGACCATTGGTTTTGAACCATGGCCATATGGCAGATCAATCCGATCCCCGCCTTGCGGTTCGGCCGCGAAGACGAGGCATAAGCCGCCTCCGCCGCCGCGCTGAGACACAGCAGCGCCTCATGGCGCCGCTAGCCGCGGACGTGAAGCCCTACGCCCCCAGCACTGGTAAATGATTAGAACCAACCAGCAACCAGTGCCATCGATGTTCAACCAAACTGCCCTAAAGGCCATGTTCAGTCGATTTCTTGGACAGTCGCAGCTTGGCATGGAACCCAACAAAAACACGCCCAAGGGGTGGCCATGGTTTTCGGAACCGAGACTGTGGATGAACGAAAGGAAGCCGCTGATCCGCAAGCCCCGTACATTCCAACCAAAAAGGTGTCATGGAGATGAGCTTGGCAGTTTCTTGCACTGGTTACGTGCACTCCCCTGCAAATTGATTCGTACAAACCAGCTACAGGGGTGTCTTCAGGAAACTAGCCAAACATCGAACAGAAACAAGGAGCTCCTGGAGCTAGTTTCTTGGCCACGAAAGGAAAAAAAGACAAAACAAAAACGTCTCAAGTCGGCGTTGATTCCACGCTTGCCAAGAAAAGGTCCTCCCCGCAAGGTCAAATGGCCCTTTGCACGGGTTCGTGGGCCCCTGGTGACCGTCTTATTTGCAGCCGAGCTAATTGCGCATGTAAAAAGGAAAGCTTTGGAGGTCGGCAACGACTCTAATCAGTCTGCGATCTACAGGTGCAGGCAGAGCTGCTTTGACAAGCATTCAACATGTGTCGGGGTTTGAAAGGGCTGAGGGCGTTCCTTTGGGAAGGGGTCAAGATCTAGCGCCTGCTTCCCAGAAGAAAGCGAGCTAGCCTGGCGAGTGATGTTCTCGTTGACCTGGCATCTGAACCTGGGCGCGCTCAAAAAGATTCCCCATTGACGCCACCCAAACAAGGTCCATTTTGGAAAAAAAACACAAGTATGTGCAATACTGCTTGTTCTCTCAAAGGGCATGGGACCACTGGGCTCCCCAAACAAACAATTCATGACCAATAATTTGTCATGAGGCATCAGAGTCACTGTTCAAGAAGTGTGCCTCCAATGGAAGCTGACGATCCGGTCTGGAACAACTTTCGTTTTGGATCCCGAAGCCCCCGGACCACTATGAGTATTGGAAGAGTACAGAAAATAATCAATTCCTCTCCTGAAATGATTGGCCCAACGTCTCAGGACGCTTGCCACTGGAATGGTCTTCCTGAAAAAGCCAGAAAACTAGGCAAGCGACTAGAATCTGACCTGTTCAAATCCCATGGTTTCAGAAGTTGAACTTCTATTTTGGTTCCAGCCACCACAAAATGAAGGCAAAATGTGTGCTTGAAAGTTCAAAAGTCGGCTTTGGACAGGTCAGGACGGTCGACGCCCTTCTTCTCGGCCCTCACCCCTTGGCCCTCCTGCACCGGCGCCAGTGCCGTCACGATGTCATTGAGACCTCTGCGTGTTGCCCGTCTCAACAAAGTCGAAGCTTGATTTGGGTTTGTCTCTGACTTTTGGGAGGCCCGCAAAAGTGGGTGGCCTCCATTTTAAAGCAAACCCCCTGCAAACAACGATGACATGACCATCTTGTCCCAAAGCAAGCCAAAGCAGTCAGTGCTGCACAACGGAAAGGATCCCCGAAAGGTTGTACTTTTCAGGTAACCCTCGATTTGGGCGGAAAAATATAAAATATTTTCCTCAGCCGAGGTGAATCCTCTTGATAGAGCCGGCTGCTCGACACGCCAGCGACCGACCCCTTCCTTTTTCGCCGCGCGAAATGTCGCTTGGATCGAACAACCGCATTTCGGTTGGGCGAAGGACTGTCGCAATGTACCCCGGTCTTGGAGGCCGGGACCCTGTCCGGAAAAAACAAATCTGAGCCGTGTGGCCAAAAGCTTGGTTGGTGTGTTTCTCCAAGGAAGGTTGCGGTTTCCCTTTAAACTGCCGGGCGCATGACATTCGCCAGCTCCATGTTGGCTTCCCAGAGGGCCTTGCAGTCAGGGTCGTTTCCCTCTCGCCAACGGGCAATGGACTCCTTCTCTGCGGCGCTCACTGGGATGTTCCTTTTGTGGTAAGCGCGCAGAAGGAGGTGCACAATGCGCGCCACTGCGTACTCTTGCTCGTGCTGGCGCTGGAGAAAGGCGTGCAAGACTGAGGTGCCTTCCAACATCTCCTGCGAAGCCAAACTCGCAATTGGTGAGGCGGAACCAAACCACCGCAAAGGAACCTTGGGGAGGAATCACCTTCGAGCTGCCACTCTCCATTTAGAACTCGGAAGGACAAGCAAAGGCAAACTCTCGCGGCTTTGCGAACCAAAAACTTTTATGGGAGAAAATAACGTGTAAGCTTGACCCCACGGCTCGTCTATTTCGCGAGTCTTGGGCGAGCAATCTCCTCTCTCGATCCCTCCGACTGTTGACTCAGGTCATCTCCATCTTGGTCAATCCACCTGAATTCCCGCTCCAGGGGGGGAGGTAAACGGCTCGAAGTAAAAGGCAAGCGACCACCACATGTCTGAACTACCAAAAGAATATTATATATGGGACTGTGACAACATGGAAGCTGACTGGGTGGTCCTGGTTCGGACCATTTTTCCTCCAAAAAGAAAATCTCTGGTCTGCGGTGAGAAACCTTTGGAGGTTTCGAAACCAAAGGGCAGATCGGCTCGCAGGTCAGAAGCGGATCTTGGTTTAAACCCCTTGGGCCTTGCGCTTCCGTCCAGCCAAGAGCACCCCATGTCTGCCACATAGAACCCCCCAAAAAGTGACCCCAGGAACTCATGTCGCTCAGAAAAGAAAGGACTTTTCGTGCAGAAACATAGGCATGGGTCAAAATCCAAAAATCGTACCTCCAGTGAACATCCGATATCCGACCACTCAAATAGGAAGCCTAAGATGTGTGGTAAATTCACCGACCAAACTGGGATCAACCACAACGGTTTTGACCACAGCCACATGGCCCTCTCAGGTCCTCGTGGCCCCGCGGATCGGCGTCGCGCTTCAGGCAGGCTTCTATCTCCTGGCTCTTTCACGCACTCCGACCTGCAACAAGTGATCCCAGTTGCTGGTTGGAAGGGAAACGAAGGAAACCCCAACGTGTTCTTTGAGGGCGCAAAATCCGAGTTGCGTCTGGCACTTCGCTCAACACGGCTTGCCAGAAGTACTTGGAGATCTCTTGATCAAAGGGGGTTGACTGTTTGAGCTTCGATTAAAGGGAAACCAAAGCAAAACGCCATTTTGGGGGGTCACGCAAATATGGGTGGCTCAAAAATGATGGGCCACGCATCACTCATACTCTACATCCCATGCCTGTAGGAAATGACCCATTCTGCACCAAAGCCGAACTCGCATCGCTATGACCACTTTGCATACTCCCTTGGTATCACACACGGCGCGGCACACACGCCTGCCCCCCTCTTTTTGCAGGCCACATGTGAGCCAAAAAAATGTGTTGCCATGTTTTCCGCAAGCATGCGCCTCTGGGTACGGTATCTCCTTCAAGAGCTGTGCAGTGAGATGGCGGCATGCCTCCTGCGGCTCCATACCCTGCAACTTTCGCTCGAAGCCTGGGAGCTTGTCCTGAACCAGTGATTCACCTTCAGACATGGGGGGGAAGGGGTATACAGGTGTCTTGTAAAGTAGTCAAAAGGCGGCTTTTGACCAACCAATAAAACGCCGCTCCACTTGGGGGCTGGCAATTCTCTTTACATCCAATAGGTGGAGGAAACAAGGGGCGCAACAAGGGAAATAAGAAGCCTTGTGATCAGTCTCTCCCCCTATCTGTCCCCGGGCCTTTGCCCAATGTCCCCGACAACAGCCAAACAAAGCACGTGTTTGGTTGGTACGTTGGGAGGATGGCTGGCTGGTTGGCTGGTTGGTTGGCGGGCGGGTGGTCCGTCTTTCGTTCTGCTTATTTTTTTTGTTTGGTTGGTTGTTTGTTTACGTGGTCTCGAGACTGCGAGTTCCGGGGGAACGCATATCGATTGACATGCCAAGCTGCGTCTGCAGACTCTAGTTGTAGTAAAACGACCGAGTTCCCAACAACCAGGCGATACAGGCAATGCCAATGTGAAATTATGCAAACGTGTTTCGCCGCAACGAAACTCAAGAAATTTTGAAGCTCCCCGAGGAGAATGTATTTTAAGAGTCCAAACACTTGTCGCAGCCCAGCCACAGCGAACCGCATTTCATTTTCAAGTCCAAGATAGTCGCGAGCCTTTACTGTAACCGCTATTGCTGACGCCGACTGCGGGAGGGGGGGTCCGGCATAATCTCAGCCAAACGCTTGCAGTCTAATAAAACACGGGCGCTCGCAAGTGGGTGCCACGTCATTTGACAGTCTGATGCAAGATCTCGGCCCAAGACCTGTCAGTTGGTGGATCTGCGTCGGCAGAAGCTTGGGAGTCGGCGCAATGGATGGCTCATCATGGTTGAGTCCCGCGGTGCCGGGCATCTTCACTGGAGTGGTCAGCTTTTTTGCGGCGACCTGCACTCCGGCCAGGAGGTGATTCTCCCCTTCGGCACCTTCACTGTGGCTGAGGTAGTTTCATCTACCTCTATCGGATGCTTTGGGCCACACCGGATGAGGCCTCGGTTTGCATTCCCCGAGAGCCCTTGGACCTTTCTCGGTTTCAGTATAAGCAGGCATCACGCCTCTGGCGCATCTTGATCACAACCCCCTTGCTTGTGACACTTTGCGAGCCAATGGAGCTCTGCATGTTGTGGCTGGCGATGTGTGTGACGACAGCTGTATTGCCCAATTGCATTCCGCAGCTTCTCCTCGGCGCTCGCTACTCGCAGTTGGATTCCCTTGTCAACCTTTTTCGCTGCAGGGAGATCAAAAAGGGGCCCAGGACTTCCGCACGGCTGCTTTTTGGGGCACGCTTCGGGCTTGCTGGCACCTGCAATCTTCTGCGATGATCATGGAATGTGTTGCGTCGGTCATGCGGCATCCTTTCATATTTGCAGCTTTGCACCGGCTGGCTGATCTCATGGGTTTCCAGGTCAGAATGATTACATTGCGTCTGCAGGATCAATGGCCGGCCAACAGAGACCGATGGTGGGCTATTCTGGCGCCTCGGGCGTGGGAAGTGGACAAGTCCTTCGGCACGATCAGCCACGTCATCCCAGACTGGCCCCTCTGGTCAAGGGAGGATGAGTCGCTGTTGGCCCTCACCGAGGAAGAACTTATGTACTTGCACAGTGAGGAGTTCGGTACGGATGATCGCCTGCTGCATCTCACATCGAGCTGCCCGGTCATCCTTCACGCATATGGGTCGGCGTTTCAACCTTGTCCCTGCGGTTGCCGTGCTGTTCCACTCAGCTTGCATCGGCTACGCAGAGATGGCCTCCGTGGATTCTATGTGATCTCACCGGTACTCGGAGCTCCTCGCTATTTGCATGTGAAGAAGGCGGCGTTGCTGCTCACCATCCCACAATCGGTAGTGTTTCCTGGACCTCGCACTGGCCTATGCCTTGTCGGACAAGTCGCAGCTCCCCTTCAAGCACTGTGGGTCGCTTCGCATCTTGTACGAGCTACCCAGAAAGCATTTGGCTGGACTCCTCTGTGTGAACCAACCCGCCTCATCAACGACTACAAGCACTCGCTGCTCTTTGAGCGGCACCACTTAACTGAGGACTCACATGCCACTCGGCATGTCCACCTGGTTGATGAGCATCAGCTCTACATCAATGTGGTTCCACCAGCAGGTCAGAGATCTCCTGGCTGCAGAGCAACACCTGCCATGTGACGCTGTGGGACGGCCCTTTCATGATTCCTGGCCATGCCACCCTTCAGGATCGAGGCTACTTCGGTCCGTACTGCCTCAAGCACATTGAGGATGTCTTCGAGGCAAATGGTTCCGGTGGCCATGGACTCAGCAACATCCAGGTTCAGCAATGCTTGATGAGTATTGCGAGACTTCACGGAGATCTTGACGGTGAGCCCACTAGGATCGTTGATCCAACTCTCTCCACACTCCTTGCCAACCTTGAGGAGAGCGAGACGGATCTTGGTTCAACCCTTGCGTTACCTCCTTTGGATGGATGGGTCTTTGCAATTTTTGCATACCATGGACACTGGGCCCTTCTTGAGTGCATTCCACAAGCAGAGGGATTCGTTGCTTGTGTTTATGATGGCATCCCTGGACGTGCTCGACAGGGGGCGCTCAATCTGGTCCGCTCCCTGTCTGCTGCTTGGAAGACTCGATGCTGGAACTTTGGTGAGCTCTGCTTTGAGTACCAGACGGATCCCCACACCTGCGGCACCCTTGCCCTCTACCACCTTGCAACTAGGCTTGACCTCATGATGTACCACCCCGTCCTGCAAGCTCATGATCGCATCCTTGATGGCTGCCTGGATCACGTGAGTGACTTTGTAGCGACCGGTCCGGCCGTCGCTGATGACAAGGTCATCTCTGCACTTGTACCTCTGCTTGTCGAGAAGGGAGTGCCGGATTCCAGGGCCGCTGAGCGGGCACAACAGGCTGTCAAGCGGATTGGTGCTGGCGATATTCGGCAAGCGCTTGAGTCGAAACAGCCTTGGTCAACTTTGAAGGCTCTTGGCTCACGTCCGGCTACCAGCTTCATGTTCCTGAAGCACGATGAGCTCATGGACAAGGTCCGCATTAGAGGTGAGTCCAAGTTTGGCTTGCAGATTGCCCCATCAGAGGCACGCAAGGGTAAGACTACGCGACAGCCAGCTCCCCATGTTTGTCCTGGAGATCTTGACCTGTTACCTGGGTCTTTTCTGGCTGAAGATGGAACGACAATCGGCACCATCGCCATCAGCAAGGTTTCAAAGGGCCAGGTCGGCATCGCTTTTGCCACCGTCGCTGATGCATCCCCGTACCTTCGTGATGGCAGCCCACTCAGTGATGGACCTCTTGCTGTGCTCACTACTACGTGTGTTCCTTTTGAGCTCATTGGCATGCACCGGTGGACCACATTATCTTTCCGGCTCGGCATCTCCGCACTCAGGAGGCCGTTCTCATTCATGGCTCTATCATCCAGCTTGGGCAGGTTCGGATCAATCGTGAGGTTCGCAAGAACGCGCCCAATGTTGCGCCGACACCAACGCGCACCCTCAAGCTGTACGTCTATCGTGATCAATGGCCACAGGACTGGGCTACTTTCACAGCCTCTCCACTCAAGGCCACCATGCAGCAACAGCCGCTACTCACCTTGTGTCGGACCGCAGGATGTGGAGATTCTTGTCCCCGATACCATGCACCTGTTGACGAAGAAGAGGAGCTGAACACTGTCATCATGGACGTCTGGAGCCGACAATGGATGAACTCTCAGGGCCTCAAGGTTGACTGCAACAATGCAGACATTTGGAGCGCCTTCATCAGAGTCCCGGCTGTTGCTCACTCTATTGTCCTTGCAAGCTCTGGATCCTTCTTTGATCCTCGCGATGATTCTGGTAGATCACCCAGCGAGGACTATGGAGTCATTTGGATGCCGGGCGGCTCTTTTTCCGACGCCATGCACAGACTGAAAACCACGGACTCGGCCATTGCCCTTGCACGTTTTCGCGGGAGATTCGGTATCAGATTCACCCAGAAGACCCTTGCAGCGGGCCACCAACAGCTGAAGCCGGATGAGCCTTTTGTCGATGTCAAGATCACGGAGATTTACAGGCTTCACCCATCCACATGGCACTCAGCGACAGCACTTGGTCAAATCCTTGAAGGTGTGGGGATGGCAGGCGAGACCTCTGCAGCCGCACGCAGTGATACATTTGGTGCAGCCTGGAATGTTGGCTCGTGTCATCCGCCACTTGCCAGTGTTCTACAGGGCCAGCATGGTGATGTCGTTGTCTCGCAGGTACGATCCGCTCGCCAAGACCCAGATCCCAAGGCTCTTGTGGCCTCGTCCAAGACCCAGCAGTACCTTCGCAATCAAGGTAAACCTATGCACTCTGCCTCTGACCCCTGGATGTCGGGAGCCGATCCCTGGGCGAAGTGGTCCACTGCAACCTCCTCCTTGAGTACCAACTCCATCGCAACCGACAAACTGCAACAGGTCGAGGAACGCCTTCGCAACGACATCCAGTCCACCATTCAGAAGCAGCTTGACAAGCATGGGGTCAACAATGACATGGGCACCGATGATGCTGACACTCAGGTCAATGACCTTCGCCTGCAGCGACTTGAGTCGGATGTTGCAGAACTTCGGCAGCACCATGTCAAGTACGAACAATGGTTCTCGGACGCGGCCAACGTTAGTGCATGCCCTCAGCATGAGATCCAGGAAGTCGCTGCTCAGGTTTCCGTCCAGCAGGCTGAGATCAACTCGTTGGGTCAATCTATCTCGCAACAGACTTGTCAGCTCCGGGATGACATGTCTCGAGGCTTTGCCTCCTTGGAGGGCCTCTTGATGAAAAAGCACCGCTCCGAATGACTATCTCACCCGAGGCCCAGCTGTGGTGCCAGCCGGGCGCTCTCCAGTTCCCCCAGATGCACCAGATGGAACTTTCTTCTTATGCTCATCCTCCACTTCTTCTTGCTTGGGGATGGCCAGACTATCTCTGCAGGACACCTCTGTGGAACCATGATGGAAGGGGGCCTCGTTTGCAG